GAGGTTTGGAGTCGGAACGACGTGCGGGAGGATGTTGCGCCGAGGATGGCTCTGCGAGGGTGGCGTCGTCGTCCTCATTGAGAAGTCGGAGACGTTCGCGGAAGACGAGGTCGGTGAGAAAGGGGCGGAAGGAGGCCTCGTTGGGGTTGGACCAAAAGGCGAAGAGAAGGAGGATGGCGACGATGGTCCAGGCCCAGAGGAGCGCCTGGAGGTCGTCGAGCTGGAGCATGGACTTGAGGATGGAGACGGGTGTGATGGGGAGGGGCGCCTCGCGTTGACGGCGGAAGAAGGAGTGGAGAGCGTTGGTGGTGGGGGTGACGTTGATGTTGTTGTTGGTGGAGACGTGCACGTCATGGTGGCGGTCGAGGAGGAAGCCGAAGCCTCCGCGGATGACCGCACTCACGCCCATGTCAGGAGAAGGAGTGGCGGTGGGGGCGGTGGTGTGGTCATGCAGGCGAGCGAGCCAGCCGAGTGCGGAGTGCAGAGTGCGATGTGCGATGGTGGTGGTACAAGACGATGGTGTTGGATCACAGGTCCGAGTGCCGGATGCGGACAGCTACCAAGACCTGGAATGGTGGAGCCCTATCAGCGCTGCACACAGAGAGCAGGCTGATGATGCTGATGGCGGAAAGGATGGTGGTGGTGGAGAGGAGAGAGCACGCAAAAGCGAGACGATGGTTGGTGTTGACCGAAGAAGGCAATGAGAGCCATGTTCAAACTGCCGACTGCGGATTTGCAGTCCAAACGATTCGTTGCCGCCGTCGCCGTGCGGAATTTGTGGGATTTTGCAAAAAAAAAACAAACGGGCCTGCCTCCGCGCGTCATTTTGCTGGGAATGCAAAAAAAAAGGGAAAAAGAAACTCGCTCATCTTGGGCATTGCATTGCCAACCACCACCGACGGAAGCAGACGGCCGGCGAATACGCGTTGTGACGGCAGCCACTGTGACAAGCTATGCATGGACGGCAGGCTCGTGCATGGAAACGAGAAGGATGGTGCGGCGGAGGCGGTCATGCGTCGCCTTCGGCTCTCTCTTGCCGGGCAGAGGAAGGCTGCATTTTGCCAGCAAGCCAAAGTCATTCAATAACTTATTTTCATTTCCGGTGGTGGTCGCCGAGCCTAGTCACATTTTGAAAAGTGCCACGTGTTATAGACGTCGATCGAACATAATTTTCGACACCGAGGCTAGGCTGTTAGATCTGAGCACTCAGCGCGGTCGCGGGGCCTTCGCGTTGCGGAAGGGGTGGGGATCGGCTGGTCAGCTAGCTGCGCGTCGAGAGGGCGGCTCGGCCAAGTATTTCTACTCGACGCGTTTTCGACTTTGCCTCTTCCCTTCTGATTTGTCGCTCCCCACCCAAAGCCAGCCCAAAGGCCAGATCGACCGTCCGACACGTCAGGCGCTTCCATCCTCTTTCTTCCCGCATCCATCCATCCGCTCATCACCTCGTCCGCAGCGTCATCACCCCCTCCACCATCCATCCGCTCGCATCATCCACGCATCTGTCATCTTCACCACCACCACCACCACCACCACACGCACACGCTGCAAGTGTCGCTTGCTCAGTCATCTCTGCACACCTGCCAATCATGTCGGACGGCTTCCACTCCCAGCAGGTCAACGGCCATGCTTTCGCCACCACCTCCTCCAACGCAGAGCTGCCGCCCAAGACAGAACCTAGCTTCAATCATGCACCCGCACCCAAGCTAGAGCAACCCCAATCAACCGTCGTGCCACCCACAGCAGAGCCCCTCTCGAGCGTCGGCATTCAGCCCGCCGGTCTCCTCTCCGAAGTGCAGTCCCACCAGTCTCAGGCCAACGATGCACCAGCAGCAGCGGCAGCAGCAGCAGCAGCAGCATCCGCTCCGCACCACCAACAACCAGCCCACTCCAACAACGTCGATGTCAAGCCCTACGACGGCCCCATGGATGTCACCCCCGCCCAGCTCAAGTTTGCCCAGAGCACCCTCAAGTCGCTCAAGAGTCGACGCGAGGCAATCGCATTCCTCCAGCCCGTCGACCCCATCGCTCTCGGCATCCCCCAGTACCCGGACATCATCACAAAGCCAATGGACTTTGGCACCATCGACATCAAGCTCGCTCTCACCGCCCTCGTCCTCAGACCCAACTCGAAGCCAGGCGACAAGGCAAAGTCGGCTCCCCAATGGGGCCTAGACCCGGCCAAGGACGTCTATCGCCGCGTCCAAGACTTTGAGGCAGACGTGCGCCAGGTCTTCTTCAATTGCGCCACCTTCAACGGGCCAGACAGCCCCTACACCCAAAACGCCCGCGTTTTGGAGGCCGCTTTCGACAAGTACATGAAGGACCTCCCAGCAGCCACCGCCGTATCCGCACAGTCTTCCGACGCCGGCGGCGCACGCGCTCGTCGTCCTTCCAACCCGGTGCCCACCATCCGACGTTCGTCTTCCGACGTCGGCGGCCGTCCCAAGAGGGAGATCCACCCTCCGCCGCCCAAGGATCTGCCGTGGGCCAGCGAGCCCCAGAGCGCCTCGTCGTCCGAGCAGCGCAAGGCAGCTCGCCGCAAGCTCGCCAAGAAGGCGGGCAGCCTCTCGGCTCGCGAGCAGGCGCACTACGCAAAGGTGGCTCAGGACGAGCTGCGCTTCTGCACGCGCGTCATCGACGACCTGCTCAAGCCCACCTACTCGAACGTCGCCTGGGTCTTTTACGACAAGCCGACCATGGACTTTGACTGGGCCCCGGCGTACTTCCAGATGATCAAGAAGCCCATCGCGCTGCGCGACGTCCAGAAGAACGTGCGCTCGGGCGTGTACGCCGACGCGGACGAGTTCAACGCCGACATGCAGCTGCTCTTCCAGAACTGCTTCACCTTCAACCCTCCGGGCTCGGACGTGCACAACATGGGCGAGCAGCTCAAGTCGGTGTACCAGGACAAGATGGCGCGCAAGCCGGCGCCGGCGCCCTTGCCCGACTACGAGGAGAGCGACGTGGACGACGACGAGGATGCGGACGACGACGAGGACGACGTGGATCCCGAGTTTCTGGCGACGCTGCAGGCGCAGATCTCGCAGCTGGCGAGCACCTTGGCCATGCTCGAGGGCGCCAAGAACCAGAATGCCGACCTGATCGCCAACACCAAGGCCATGCTGGCGTCGCTGCAGGAGAGCTACGCCAGCTCGGGCGGCTCCAAGAAGAGCAAGAGCAAGGGCGGCGCGGGCACCAAGCGAAAAGCGTCCGAGGGCGGAGCGGCGGCGAATCGCAAGAAGAGCAAGGCCAAGGGAGCGAGCAGTCCGGCGGCAGCGGCGTCGGCGTCTGCCGAGTACGTGCCTGCCAAGAAGGCCAAGGCGGCGGGAGCGGGCAAGAAGAAGCAGGCGGCGGCGTCGAGCGGCAGCGGCAGCGCCAAGAAGGCGACGTCGAGCCGGCGCGACGACAACAGCGACGAGGACATCCGCACGGTGACGTACGAGCAGAAGGAGGAGCTTGCGGCCAAGATCACGGAGCTGAGCGAGGAGCGTCTGGACGGGGCGATCCGGATCATCAACGAGGACAAGCCGCCGAACCAGAACGACGAGGAGGAGATTGAGCTCGACATTGACGAGCTGTCGGCCAAGACGCTGTACAAGCTGTACAAGTATGTGGTGCGACCCAAAAAGGTGGCGGCGGCGGTGAACAAGAACAGCAAGTCGGCGCCGCTCGACGGACGCAAGCGCGGTACGGGCGGCATCAAGAAGAAGAATCTGGACGAGGGGGAGGAGGCGGAGCGGATTGCGCGGCTGCAGCAGCAGCTGGAGCAGTTTGGCAATCCGGATGCGATGGGCTCGGGCGGAGGAGCGGCGGGCGGCCACGACGATCTGGTGCACTCGGAGAGCTCGTCGGACGAGAGCGGCTCGGATTCGGACTCGGACTGAAGTGCGCGAGCGTCTGCTGTGAAAATGCCATGTTGATCCCTCGTATCTCAGTCAGCGCGGCTGTGTGGATGGGTGCCTGTCTATGCCGTTGAATGACGAAGACGAGAGGGGCGTGGGTTCGAGCGTCGGATGGGAGCTTGGCTGGTCTAACATTGCCGCGCGTTTTTTTTTTCTCCATGCGCGCCCAAGCCAATCTGGGAGCTGCAGCTGCTGATTTCTCGAAAAAGCTGAAATTGGGCGGGAAATTCTCGCTTCGAGCCGCATGAGGAACTCCGCTCGTCCGCATCTGCAGCAGACTGGGCTCGCTTCAGCTGCCGAATTGAGCCCCGACCGTCACACAAGAGCGCAGCGTTGCACAAAAAAAAAAAAAACAAAAAAAAGGAGGTGGTGCGTGAAAAAGGCGAGGAAAAAAAAAAAAAAGAAAAAAAGAGGCAGCTCTGGCCTCGCTCGTGCTGCGTCGTCCGTGGGTCCATGTGTGTGCGTGTTTGTGTTTGTATGTAGGCGTGGCCGTGGGTGCGCCTTTTCATACGTGTTGGGTGTCGAGGATCGCTCGCACCCCTTGCAAGCATACGAAGCTCTTCATCGTGCTCGAAACAAGAAAGGGGGGGCAGTCACTCTTTTGCATTTGTTTCGTAAAAGTCCGCTGTAGCTCGCTTTAGGCGGATGCTACTGTAGGTGGCGGCGGCGGAGCAGGAGCAAAGGCAAAAGAGGGCAGCAGGCATCGGGGGATTTTCCCCGCATCCGCCCTGGTTGGCTGCCAGTGTGCCTGTCTCTGCACGTTGAACAACGGCTTCTGCCTCTCTCTCTCGCCCAGCTGCATCAGGGCGGCGGCTGCCCTCGAACCTCGCTGCCTCCCTCCCGGTCTCTCTCCGCAAACAGCTAGCAAGGATCGACGCTTTGCACCGCTGCCCTGGCGGCGCCCAGCTCGAATCGCACTCGAATCGCCGCCCGCCATCCACTCGCTCGCTTCCAACCTCGCTCCATCCCTCTTTTCCCCTCCCTCCTCCCTCCCTCCCTCCATCCATCGGTCTTGCTTTTCCTGTCGTTGCACGCTCAGGCCGGCGTCATCGACTATCCCGACATCCATCCGCACACCATCATCTCAAATACGGCCACATGTCTTCCGGCTTCATCGACTACAGCAGGCGTCGTCGCGCCTCCGGGCCTGCTTCGGAAACCAGCAGGGATGCTGCCTCTCAGCGCGGAGGCGCAGACCCCTTCGACGAACAAGACGCCCGTCCCCGCGACCATCTAGACACAGACACCGAGGCAGAGTCTGCCGCCGTCGCACAGCCCGCACCACGCCAACAGGGCCCCTTTGACGACGCTTCCGACATGGAATCCGCCCAGCAGCCTCGCTCCCGCCCCGCACGCGTCGAGATCATGGGCGATCCCGGCTCACGCCCTTACCCGCATCGCGACGAGCCCGCCTTCTTCGACCCCACCTTCCCCAACTACCAGGACGAGGCGCCGCTCGAGATGCCCTTCTTCGACCACGTCGTCGCTGACTACGGCAACTACGGCACCTTCCAGCGCCTCCGTCTCAACTTCCGCCAGATGATCTCCTTCTTCGCCTCCACCACCGCACTCGGCTCCGTCCTCTTCGTCGCCTACTTTGCCTACTTCAACCCCTTCAAAAAGTCGCCCCCCAAGTCGAAGACCGACCGCGAGTACGAGCGCAGGATCACCGGCGAGCGCGGCTCCGGCAGGCCCGCCTACTACGCCGAGTTCTGGGGTTACCAGTGCGACGAACACGAAATCGTCACCGAGGGCGGCTGGATCCTCAAGGCCCACCGCATCTCGGACCCGCGTCGAGGCGGCGCCGTCGGCCACCCCGTCGTCCTCCAGCACGGCATCCTCTGCAACTCTTCTCACTTTATCGTCAACGAGGAACGCTCCATGGCCTTTTGGCTCGTAGACCAGGGCTTCGACGTCTGGATCACCAACATCCGCTCCAACTTCAAGGCTGGCCACACCGAGTACACCCGCTCCGACCCAAGATTCTGGGCTTGGGGCCTCAAGGAGCTCGCCTTCGATCTGCGCGACGTCGTCGACTACATCACCGCCGCCACCGGTCGTCCCCAGCTCGCCTACGTCGGACACTCCCAGGGCTCCGGCTCCATGTACCTCGCCCTCAGCCCCGGTATCTGTCCCGAGATCGGCGACAAGCTCAGCTGCTTTGTCGCTCTCGGTCCCTCGGTCTACGCTGGCTCCGTGCTGCGCAAGTTCCCCTTCTCCCTCCTCCGCCAGTTCCGCTCGCGCAAGTGGTGGGGCCTCGTCTTTGGCGTGCGCGAGTTCATGCCCGCCATCGGTTTCGCACAGGAGTTCCTCCCCGCCTTCTGGTTCGGCCACATCGCCTACGTCATCTTTGCCTTCCTCTTTGGCTTCCACGACCACAACTGGGTCTCGCGCCAGAAGCCCAAGATCTTCCGCACGGTGCCCGTGCCCACCTCGTCCGAGCTGCTCTACTGGTACATGTCCGGCTTCTCCCACCGAGGCTGCATCTTTGACCCCAGGATCACAGAGCCTTGGTTCCCGCGCACCTTCCCGCCCCACTCCATCTTTTACGGCGACATCGACTTCCTCGTGCTGGGCAAGCCGCTCGTACAGAGGATCCAGCGCTACGAGAGGAACGTCGAGATGATCCACACCGTCGAGCTGCAGAACTACGAGCATCTCGATATGATCTTTGGCGTCGACGCTTTCAGGACCGTCTTCCCGGGTATCAAGGACACCATCCTGCAGACCATCGATCCCGAGGATCTCGCACCCGAAATGTCGGAGCGAGGTGGTCGTTACTAGATCGCTCTACGCCAGTTGCCGTTCCACTGTCTTTTCCCTCCCACCCATCGTGGTCCCCTTTGCTTTCATTTCTCTCCGCTCGTTAAGTTAATGGTCGGGCCGCATGCGTGGCCCAGCCGCGTCGTTCACGCTGTACCTCTGTGCTCTGTACTTTTCCCGTGCTTTTTATCCGGAATGCTCCCTCACTTTCACTCTCTCGTGTGCCGATCACAATGCTCAATGCAAGCCGTCGTTTTTGTTTTGGACATCACTCGCTTGCGACCTCATCGTTGTCACTCGGTGCGACGTTGACGGTCTGTGTATGCGTTTGCGTTTGGATTGACTGCACTTTGGGATGGGCTAGGCGTAGAATTCTGCATCCCCCACCTTGAAGCTCGTGCTGTTGGGCAGGATCGATACGGGCACAGCGCATTCGACTGTCTCGAGCTTGGTTTCTGCCGCACAGCCCATTTGCTTGAGCACGACCTTTGGCTGTTCGCCCACCGAGCCAGCTAAGCTGTCTACGCCTCTGAGGCTGATGTGGTAGCGCGAGAATCCGTCTGCTGCGCCGGGCATCAAGTGCGGTGGTGGCTTTGCTTTTTCCTCGCCCGAGGTCGCAGAGATGGTCAGGAAGGCCAGTTTGACGAGCCAGTTGAGCTTGACTCCGCTAGTGACGAATTCGGGTGTTGCGCCACTTGGTACGGACAGGCTGAAGCTTGCCCTACCCTTGTCCAGCACGCTCTCGTGGTGTTCTGCATGGACGATCCTCGTGGCTCGCTGAAGTCTTCCCGCTGGCAGGGTGGCAATGCTGGGTTGAACCTCTTCGAACGTCTCGAGGGTGGCGCTCATTCGAGCAATGCGCGCCAGCGAGGTGTGATTATTGATGTTAATCACGCCCGTAATCGTTTCACCCAACCGATACCTGGATCGAACCAGCGTAAGGACGGCAGCGACTTTGCCGTCTTTGGAAATGTCGTAAGACACTTTTCCGGACGACCGCGCCAACGCTTCGACCGCCGCCTTACAACCACTGCCCTGGTTTGTGGGTGCCGAGATGCCCGAGTCGAGCTTGATGGTTGATGCCGATTCCGACTTGGTAAGCAGCTGCCTGACGTACGACTCCAATTCCTGGCGTTGAATTTGCGGAGCTTTGATGGATCTTTTGGGCAGGCTGGGAGCTGATGGTACAGCGGAGGCGTCGTTATCGACTGCAATGACGAAGGCTTCTTCCTTTGTGAGGATGACCGGGTTCATGAGGTCGAAAAAGGGGCGGAAGCCCGAAGCGCCAACGTGGTTGTAAACGCGGATGGGGACCTGGATGAGGCGGCTTGTGTGTGGGCGGCCACGAGTGGCAGTAGCGGCGGTGTCGAAGCGGTTGGTGCCGAGGGTGAGCGTGTACTTGAGACGGATAGCCTTGCCGAGGTAGGAAGGCGGCAGATCGACAGGCAACCGCAGCTTGAACTCGAACGACTTGGATTCGCCCGGAGGCAGGACGAGGTCGACAGCGACGATGCTGGGTGGCGTGGAAAAGGTGGGAACGCTGCGGCTCTGAAGCGTACGTTCCTGGGCGTCCTGCAGAGTGGAGCCGGTGCGACGGTGTTGGTGCGGGCGACTGCTAAAGGAGCTGCGCAAGAGGTTGCTCCATCCCGAGCTTCCCGGAAAGGAATCGGCTGCCTGAGCGAGATGACCGCCACCAAGAGTCCTGGGGGTGCCAGGTACTGAGAGTGGAGAAGCACTGGCTCCAGTCAAGTCGCCGTATGCGAGCCTGTGTTTGAGATTCTCAAAGTCGCCGGGCTTGATGAGGCTCTCGTCGATCTCGATGGTGCCTCCCAGCTGGGCAAAGGACCAGAGGATTTTTTCGGTTCCGGAGGGTAAGGCTTCGGGAGGCGGGTATATTGGGCTGTGCGAAGGGCTCCTGGGAATGGAAGGGCGTCTGGATTGGGACCAGTCGGTCATGGATTCTCGGAAGACGCTCTCCATGGTATCGTTGCGACCGAGGCCGTAAAAGCTGGCGGATTGGTTGGCGTCGCCGTTGCTGTTGGCGCGAAATGGAGAAGGCGGGTGGGAAGTGGGGGAGGAGATGCCGGAGGTGGAGCGAGCTGGGTCGAGCGAGTCGAGTTCGAAAGCTTCTGTGAGGTCCTCTGCCTGTAGCTGTGCGACCGACTTTTTGCGGGAATGCGAGTGATTGGAAGCGATGGGAGCCGAGGTGGTTCTCTTGCCAAGGCCCGGAAGCGACGATACGCGGGAGGGCGGATTGGGAGAAGAAGGGTTGGAGTGGGTGGCGGGAGCAGGGGCAGGCGGAGCGGTGGGCCGACCGAGGCCGAGGTCTGTGCCGTTCTTCTGCGGGAGTGCAGCAACAGACTTGGTTGAGCGATGCGAGGGTTTTGCGGATCCGATGCGAGGCGAGACGGACCAGGGATGGATAGCATTGGAGCTCGAGTGCGAAGGAGCCGCCTTGCCTATGAGGTTTCTGCGATGCGGCAGGTCGTCGACATGGAGATGGCGAAGGAGGTTGCTTCGCCGCGATGGGTCTTGAGGAGGGTCGGAGGCGGAGTCGGACTCGTGTTGCCGACCGAGCGCCCTGACGTCGACGCTGCGAGATTTCGCATGTGTGGGAAGTGCGGAGACGACGCGGCGGGTAGCGGTGTCGTTGAGAAGGTGGTCGGACGCGGCAGGTGCGAACTCGCCCTGGACGAGGGGCTGTGTGTGTGCGACGCGCGGGTTGGTATTGATGAAGGTGATGTGGCAGGTGAAGTCTTCGCCAGCGAAGAAGGAGGACTGGAGCGGACGAATGGAGACCTTGAGGGACGATGGCGGTGGGTAGTGATTGTGCGACATGTCGCTGCGAAGTGGAAGATGGTGGTGTTCGACAACGAAGAGTGTGCGTGGCCAGACAGGGTCCGCCGTCCGGCCTGTCGGGATGTGTGGCCAATGCACGACGAAATGCGGGTGCGATTTTTCGCAAGGATGTCAGATCGAACGCGGCTAGCGCGGTGTTATTTTTTTCGAAAAAGCGACGCGGCTGAAGCGCTAAAAAAGCCGCCTCGACGCGTCGCCATCGCTCACTCAGCAGCACGGCGTGGGGCGCTCTTTCTCCACTTTTTGGTGGGAGGTGGGGACTGTGCGAGGGCGAGGGCGAGTGACAGAGGGAGAGAGCGCATTTCTTCGCGTAAAGAGAGAGAGAGAGAACATCACGGCTCAGCTCAGCCAACACCCCTCGCACAGCTCACCTTTGCCTCTTGCCTTCATCTCACTCTTCCAACCACACCGCAAGCGATCAACATGCCGCCCAAGAAGCCATCCACACCGCTTCCAAAGGGACAGGCTTCGCTCTCTACCTTCTTCGGTGGAAAGCAGCCTGGCTCCAGCCCCGCTTCCTCCCAGGAGCCTCGCACAACGCCATCCAAGCAGGCCGCCCCATCACCCTCGGCCTCCAAGTACTTTTCTTCCAACCCCAAACCCTCCGCCTCGACTCGTCGCACCGCTACCGCCACAAAAGCAGACCCCATGGTCATCGACGACTCGGACGACGACGCCGACGATGTCAAGCCTGCACCCGCCCCACCAAAGTCCAACCAGAGCACCCCTGCCAGGAAGAGCCCCAGAAAGTCAGCCACCAAGCGCAAAGCTTACGACAAGGACGACGATGACGACGATGATGACGACGACTTTGTCGCTCCCTCCAAATCTCGTCGAACAGCTCCCAGTGACGATGACGACGAGGACGACTTTGCTCCCGCGCCCAAGAGACCTGCTACAACCGCCGCCAAAGCCAGCTCGTCCACCTCCACCTCGGCACCAAAGCAGCCCGCACGCAGAGCCATTGCCACTGCAAAGTCCATCCAGATCGACGACTGGGACGACGAATTCCAAGATCCGCCTCCAACGCGCAAGCCCGCCGCCAAACCCGCCGCCAAGCCTGCCGCCAAGCCTGCCGCCGCGCCAGCTCCAGCCAAACCGCAGCCCTCCACCGAGCCCGCTCCCGCTGCCGACAAGAAGGCGTCGTGGAAGGAGATCGCAGCCCGTAGAGCCGCAGGCCCCTCGGCGCCAGGCTCCAAGGACATCCCTCAGGGTCAGCCCAACTGCTTGGCCGGTCTGACTCTAGTCTTCACCGGCGAGCTCTCTTCCATCAGCCGCGACGAAGCCACCGACCTTGCAAAGCGCTACGGTGCCAGGATCACCAGCGGTCCCTCGTCAAAGACCTCTTACGTCGTGCTCGGCGAAGGCGCAGGCCCCAAGAAGCTCGAGTCCATCAAAAAGAACAAGATCCCCACGCTCGACGAGGACGGCTTCCTCGACCTAATCCGCAGCCGAGGCGCCGGCGAACTCGACGAAAAGGCAAAGGCCAAGATCAAGGCAGAGGAGGAAAAGATCAAGCAGGTCGCAAGATCCATGGGCCCTCCCAAGGGCGCAGAAGTCGATCTCTCCGACTACGCCAACATGCTCTGGACCACAAAGTACGCGCCCAAGCAGATGAAGGATCTCGTCGGCAACAAGGCCGCCGCCGAAAAGCTCGCCGCTTGGCTCAAAGCCTGGCCCAGCTCGTACCGCAGCAACTTCAAAAAGCCCGGCAAGGACGGCATGAACATCTACCGCGCCGTCCTCATCTCGGGCCCTCCCGGCATCGGCAAGACCACCTCGGCGCACCTGGTCGCCAAGATGGAGGGCTACTCGCCGCTCGAATTCAACGCCAGTGACGCGCGCTCCAAGAAGCTCATCGAGTCCATGCTCCAGGACACGATCAACAACAAGTCGCTCGACAGCTGGTACTCTGGCGGCGGTGGTGCCAAGGCTTCGTCGAGCGACGTGCCGCGCATCCACGAGCGTACCGTGCTCATCATGGACGAGGTCGACGGCATGTCGGGCGGCGACCGTGGCGGCGTGGGCGCCATCAATGCGCTCATCAAGAAGACCAAGGTGCCCATCATCTGCATCTGCAACGACCGACGCAATCAAAAGATGCGTCCCTTCGAACACACCACCTACAACCTCGGCTTCCGCAAGCCCGACGCTGCGGCGGTCAAGTCGAGGATGCTGTCGATCGCGTTCAAGGAGAAACTCAAGATCCCTGGCGAGGTCATGGCGCAGCTCATCGAGGCGGCGCAGAGCGACATTCGCTCGGTGATCAACATGCTCAGCACGTGGAAGCTCTCCAAGAGCACCATGGACTTTGACGAGTCCAAGGCTCTGGGTGCCGAGAACTCCAAGCCGGGATTGCACACGCCCTTTACGCTCTACAGCGAGCTCTCGTCGCCGTACATGTTTAGCGCCACTTCGCGCAAGACGCTCAACGACAAGGCGGATCTGTATTTCCAGGACCATTCGTTTGTGCCGCTCATGGTGGCCGAGAACTATGTTAAGGCGAGGCCGGTGCTTGCGTCGCGCGAGTCGGGCCCACGTCAACAGCTCAAGCATCTCGAGCTGCTGCGCAAGGCATCCGAGAGCATTTCCGACGGCGATTTGGTGGACCGCATGATCCACGGCAGCGAGCAGCACTGGTCGTTGATGCCTCTGCATGCGATCGCGTCATCGGTGCGACCGTGCTCGTTCATCTACGGTGGTACCGAGGGTGGCTTCCCCAGCTTCCCGGGTTGGCTCGGGCAGAACTCGAAGCAGCAGCGACTCACACGCGCGGTGGTGGATGTGCAGGCCAAGATGCGTCTGGTTTGTTCAGGGTCCAAGCACGACTTGCGTCAGCACTACCTGCCTTCGATGTGGCGCATGCTTATCCAGCCCATGATCGACGATGGCGCCGACGGTGTCGAGCAGGTGATCCAGCTCATGGACGACTACTACCTTGGCATTGAGGATCGCGAGGTGATTTTGGAGCTGGGATTGGATCCCAACAATGCCGAAGCGGCGCTCAAGAGTGTTCCCAGTGCGGTCAAGGCCGGCTTCACGCGCAAGTACAACGCCTCCAACCAGTGCGTATATCTTTTCTATGCCGTTTCATTCCACTTTCAACTGACCTTTTTTTCGATTGCTGCGGGGGGGTTTTGGTAGTCCGATTGCGTTTCACAAGGCGACCGAGTTGGGAGTCAAGACGAAGGTGGGCGGTGCCGGGGTGCCGGATTTGGAAGATGCGGTGGAGGAGGAGGTGGTGCCGGATGATGACGACGACGACGACAAGCGCGACGACGACGATGTCTCCAAGGACAAGCTCGTCAAGAAGCCCAAGGCAGCGGCTGCGGGCAAGGGCAAGGGCAAGGCCAAGCCCAAGAAGTAGCGAGCGCGGCGGGCGATCCAGCAATGCAGTCTTTCTCCTCCCGGGCTTTGTCGAAGATGGTTGCAGATTTGAATGTGGTCGCTTGGAATGAGGCTCTCGTGCTGGTCGGAGCGGTTGATGGCGTGCGTTGTGGGGCCGGTCGGGGCGTGCGGACGAGCTGTTTGAGCTGGCGGTGCGCGACGGCAAAGCGCTGCCAAGGACCTGGCCGTTGGACACTCGCAAGGGCGGTGCGGGGAATTGCGACCTGTCGCCGGGTCCACCACGACCACTTGCTCCCACTCTGCCTCTGTATCGGCGCTGGGGGGGCTGCGCACACAAACGCACACATTCGACGGCGATGGGTCAACAACAATACTTGCAAGAGTCGCGCGAACGAATGAGAGATGCAGGGACGGATACAAAAACGAAAGCAGAATGCACGAGCAAAGATGAGGTACGAGAGAGCAGAGACGAAGCAAACTATGGGTACTGGGGGGGGTCAAGTGGTTGGAACCTTGACGGGGACGTAGTGGACATTGGCGGTGAGCGCGTGTTCCGCCACGGCGGCTCTGCCAAACGCCACGATGAACGGCATGGGTGTGATGCAATCCAGCGGCCATGCGAATGCGCACTTCGGGGTGCTGGCATCCAACCCCCTTGCGGCCACTTCTGTATTGGGCACGGTACTTGCCAGTGCAGTCTTGCACAGCTCGGGATACGCAGCTAGATTGGGCACTGCAAGCAGATTCCTCGCCTGGGAGGCTAGCCTATCTGCCCTTTCGAGGTCTGCAGTCTGCCTTTCCACCGCCGCCTTGATTTCGTCCACGTCGGCGGTGGCGATATCCCTGAGCAGCATTGCCGAATCGTGCCTGTGCAGTTTCCTTAGCACTGCGGCTTCGACGAGCCTGCACACGCCGAGGAGCACGTCGTTGCCCAGATCCGCATGCGCATTCGTCGCATACCTTAGCAGCCCAAACAGCGAGATCCAGTTCTTGGCCACACACCTCGGCGACGCAAGGTCGTCCAGCCAAAACGCATGGCAAAAGAGGAGCACCGCATCCAGCTGCTGCAGCGCCGACACCTCGGTGGGTCTCGCTGCGACGTACGACGGCCGCGATGCGGACGCACTTGCCGCCCTCGCATCCGCCGCATGTTTGAGCTCCCTCGCCGCCGAGCGGTACGCCGCCGCAAGCTGGGTCATTGTCGTTGGCGAATGCGACCCGTGTCTCGCCACCGCCCTATCATCGTCTCGGGGTCGTTTCGTTGCTGCCGCGGCAGGTTTAGGACTGGGTGGGGGACTTGGCAGTTGCAGCAGCTCGAGCTGGGGCAGATCGCCCAACAACCTCTTCCTCCTCCTAATCTCGTCCGCACTGAGCTTCCTCTCCTCGCGCGGCTTGACCGCCCTGCCATTCCACGAGTTCACCGCGGGCACCGCCTTGCCCACCTTATGCCCGACACTGCTCCCATTCACCAACAGATCGGGTGGGGTGCGTAGACTGCTACCGGAACTCGTCGAAGCGGGGCTGGGGTGCGAGCTGGTATAGTAGGGCGAGGTGGCGTTGGACGTCGAGAAGAACTCTGGCGATGCCGATGACGAGGTGGAAGCGTAGCTCGAGTGAGGCTCTTTCGATCGTGGACGGGTGGAGAGGTGCGGGGGTGGTGGCAGCGGGTGGCGGAGACGTATTGGTGGTGCCGCCGATGCGGGTGCAGGCGAGCGCGTCATGCCGAGTGCCAATGTGCGCGCATGAGCCAGACCCCAAACGCTGTATATCAAGCAAAACGAGGAGGATGTGGTGGTTGGTGGTGGTTGGTGGTTCTGGTCGAGGCAAAGCGGGATAGTCGGCAGCCGGCCAACACGGGACCGCTCCGCTTGCTCTGGCTGCTGAGCTGCAGTGCTGAGGTGTGGTGCCTGGGCTCTTGCCCTGTGGGTCCACACTGCCGCTGTGGCCAACACGCGCCAATTCCAAATCCAACACCCCAACGCCAAGCCCGCCTTACGATTCGCACCCGATCCTCCAGCCTCATCCCTGCCATCATCCGCATCTTCCCTCGACTCAAGTTCGTGCTCAAACAATCGCCACGATTCAGGTCCTGCTGTCCGATCAAAGGGGAGGCGAGGGAAGGGCGATCAGTGCGTGCAGGTGGATTATTGGGCGGGTGGCTCGATGGGAACAGAGTTTCGCCTCGGCGCGCGCCGGTGCCTCGCCTATGCGCCCTTGCATCCAAGCCCCACTCCCGCGATCCACAATCTAACACTTTGATTTCCACCCCACGCCCCCCCCAACCGAGTCACAGCATCGCCAACGACAACACACGGACAAAGGAAGCCAAACACCCCATCACAGCATGCATGTAGAGCAGCATGGCTTGTAGCGTGACCGCCTCGCTTGCTATCAGAAGCTGGAGAAGTCCGCCTGTGGGGGAGGACGGGCAAAAGCGTGCAGAAACAACCACACCAAGCACACTAATCGCCAACACCGACACCATCGCCCATCCACTTGGACACAAAAAAAAAAAACCCCCCCCCCAACCCACCTCCCTCGCTAACTTCAGCTGAAAAAAAAAAGCCCCCCCCCCGCTGGGGGACGATGAGCAAGATCGCCCCGACCACATTCCGACACAGCAGTGAGAAGAACAATGTATATAGAACAGCATGATAGATAGTGTGACAGCCGCGGTGGCCTTTCCAAACTCCCTTTGACAGATGCTGGAAAAGCCCACCTGCGAGGAGAAGGATGAGGAGAAGATCATGGTACAAATGGGAGACGAGAAAACCACGGCTAGTAGTTGCCAAAGCCGGCATTGTTGTAGGCACCCGAACCTGCGCCCCTACTTGCGCCGTGTTGCATGCCCATCGGCGGGGGCAGGTTGGCGTTGAACCCGTAGGCGGCCTGGCCAAAGTGCGGCGGGGGCAGGTTGTGGCCACCTCCTCCGGGCGGGGGACGCATGTGCGGGCTACCACCAGGAGCGCCGTACACATGCTGCGGGGCATGCGGGTGCATGTGCGGCGGCATACCTCCCTGTCCCGGTCCAGGCGGATAGGCATTCATCCCCATATACCCACCCCCACCGCCACGGTATCCACCTGCACCGCCCATGTGCATCTGCTGCTGATGCGCCGCCAGCACCGAATACGGCACGCCGTTCGGCGGTCCCAGGTCCAGATTATCGCGCTGCAGCTTGCTCTGGATGCGCTTGCCATACGGCGTATTGCGAATCACCGGCAGAATCGGCCGGATGCACTCCACCAATCGCATCCTCTGCACCGGATCCGCATAGTCCAAACTCGTCTGCACCACATAGTTGGCATACGAGTCGCGCAGCAGCTTCTCCAGCCTTGCGCGGTTGAGCAGCTCCTCGATGAGCTGCTTGCGCACACCCGGTTCCGACACCCGGATGCACTTCTCCATGACGTTGCTGCTAAACTTCTGCACCGACAGCAGACAGACATTGCCCACAAACTGACGCACCACCGCATCCGTAAACCGCGCGATGCTCAGGTCCAGCACGTACTGCACCACATAGTTGCCAAACGGATCCTGCACCAGCGTGAGCGCATTGTACGTGATCTCGGCCACCAGCTGCACGCGCTGTGCCTCGCTCGCATGGTCAATGCACCGCTGCAGCACACAGCATCCATGCCGGTGCGTCGCCACCTCGACACAGTGCGCCGCCACCGCGTTGTAGATAAACTGGTTATCCTCCGCTCCCAGCCTGTTGAGGCACTTTTGCACCACATGGTTGCCGTTCAGATCCTTGATCAGCGTCACCACGTTCATCGAGAGCGCCACAATGATCGAGTGGATCTGGCGCGGCGTCGAGAGGAAATCGATCATCTTTTGCACCGCACGCGTGCCGTGCATGTTGAGCGAGATCGTCACCAGCTCCGGCGCCACCAGCTCCACAATCAAGTTGCGCTGCTCGTCCGTGCAGTACTCGAGCATCTTTTGGCAGAGGTAGTTGCCAAACGGATCCGTCATCAGCTCGGCAAAGTGCGTAAACGTCTCGGAAAAAATCATGTCGCGGTGCGCCGGATTGCTCTCCTCGAGCTTCTTCTGCAGGAAGCGGCAGCCGTGCTGGTCCTTGCACAGCGCAAAGATGTCGCCCTGCAGCTCCTCGAGCTGCGTCGTGGCATCCAGCTCGCCCTTGCGCGCATGCTTGGCCGACGCCGCAGCGCCACCGTGCGCGCCCAGCCCACCGAGCTTGGCGTGCTCGTCGCCACCCACCATGCCCATCGAGTACTTGTCAGCGGGAAAGAGCGACCCTTGCGAGTTGGCGCCCGCGGTCGGGTTAAAGGCATCAAAGAAGCCCGACGACGGTCGGCTGCCACGTCGCGCCTCAGCGGCAGCGGCGGCATCGAAGCTGTTGGGCGAGTAGGCGCCGAATCGGCTGGGGCTCTCGTTGCCCGCGCCGGCGGCAGCGGCGGTGACGCCGGAGAAGGCGCCCAGGCTGAAGCTGGGGAAAGCGGCGGCGGGGACGGCGGTGTTGACGAAGCGCGAGCCTGCACCCGAACGACCCACCTCACCGCTCAGACCGCCGAGGCCAGGCGATGGCGAGGCGGGCCCGCTCGTCTGTCGGGAAGCAACACTGGCGAAGCTGGCGTTGACGGCGGGCGAGTCGCGACCGGTGTGCGAGAGACGCGGCGAGGGCGAAGGAAGCGGGAAGGCGGCCTGCTGATGTCCTGCGCTGGTGCCGAAGGAAGTGGCGATGGTGGGCGTGGCGTGCTGCTGGGGCGGCGGGGACTTGCGAGCCGCGGTGGCCTGGGCATCAGCCCCTCCAGCCGCGGTGGCGGCGGCGTCGGCGTTTTTGGTGCCAAACTTGGGCCAGTTTGCATCTTTGGCAGTGGGCTGTGCATCGCCTGAATTGTCGGAGCGCTGGACGAGGATGGGGAACTGATCGTCGCCGCCCTTGAGGTTGTACTTTTTCACAAACGCCGAGTCTTCGTTGTCGAGCTCGTCGTCAAAGAGGAAGCGCTCGTTGAAGACGGGGGTAAGGTTGTCGGCGGCAGCAGCCGCCTTGTCGTTGGGCTTGGCGGCCGAGTTGTCGTCGTCGGACTTGGCTGGCGCACGAATCGAGATGGCGGCTACCGCGGCAGCGATGTCGTCGGTGTCGCGCTGCGTCTCGCCCGACTGGCGACGCGAGGAAGGCATGGAGCGATAGAGGTGGGCGAGAGCGTTGGCGCGTGCTGCGGCGTCGGTGGTGTTGGCGCCAGCAGTGGCGGCGGTGGGAGCAGCGGCGGAGGAGGACTTGGGGTTGGCGATGGCACTCTCGTTGGGCGGGGTGGTCGGGGCGGAAGCGACGGCCGCGCCAGCGGTGGCAGCAGAGTTGGAGTTGCGCTGGAGGAGGAGGTTCTGTTCCTCTTCTCGCTGCTGCTTTTCGAGGAGGGCCATCTGGTGCTCAAACACCTTGCGCTGCATGGCACGCTGCTGTTCGTGCTCGTGGCGTTTCTGCTCGATGCGCGCCTGGATGTCTGCTGCGTCGGCGGCGGCGGAGTCGGACGAGGAGTGGGAGGAGGAGGTGGGAGCGGTATCGGCGTCGGGTGGGGTGGAGAGTTTGGCGGTGGCCGGGTTGTTGGAGTCGTTGGCCGACATGACGGGGAGAGGATTGGATATAGGCTGTGCTGGAGGCGACAAGGCAGTGGAATGGGCTTGCGTCGGGTACTGGAGGTTGGTGCTGGGTTTGGACGGCTTGATGAGAGTGGCCGAGGTGTTGTTGTACGAGAGGAAGTGGCAGGAGGATGTTATGGTGTTACAAGGAATTGTACAAGGTATGCAAGGGAACGGGAACTGCGGGGAGAAAGCAATGGAGACGAGGTTAGCTTTGCGCGCACATCGGGCACGGAAGCAGCAGGCGGTGAAGGTGAGGACTCACGATGCGAAGGTGATGTTGATATCAAATGCAGGAGTCCATGCGAGCAGATCGGAGCGCTTTGGAGGTATGACTGCGGAAATGGAGGGTGGTGGTAGTACAGAGCTTGTGTTTTTTTTTTGTGTGAATGCAAAGGGTGGTGATGATGACGATGCGATCGCTGGTAGGCGAGCTCTCTTGCTGGAGTCTGCACCTAATAGGGTGTTGGACGACCAGTGCAAGACCGAGAGAGAGAGGAAGGGGGAGGGGGGAAGGCGGAAGGTGAAGGTGAGAGTGAGAGTGAAGAGGTTGTGGAGGAAGACGGAGAGATCGAAGCGGTAGCCAAGGAGAGTCACCGAGGCAGCAGCGGCCACACGCAGTCGTCCGTCCCAACGCACCCAACGCACACAAACGCACACAAAACGCACACACCATCCGTATTTCTCACCCACACGTTGAGGCGCTTTTCAGGCACACTCAGGAGTGGGTGCCACGCCGCCGCTCAAGCCTCGAATTGAGCCGTGCTCAATCCAACTTGCCAGTCACACCTTGCGTTTGCTTTCCCCCCCACACTCACACACTACAATCACAGCAATGCAACAGCAATGCAACAGCAATCACAGCAATCACAGCAATGCACTGACGATGGCGGCTGCCTGTTGCTGCTGCTGCGGTGGTGGAACAAAAAGCCTCAATTTCCGCCGCCCCACCAGCTCTTTGGAGGCAAAGAGCAACACTTTTTCGCCCAAAAAAAATCTCGCCGAGATTCAAATCGGCGCTCGAGGCGTTGGGTTGGCTGGTCTTCTCTTTGGTTTCTCGGTCGGTAAATTTCCGCTCTGACTTAACGACGCGCCCCCGCCGACATGGCTGCTTCCCGCCACGCTTCGGAGCCAGGGCAGCAGATGGATCCGATCAAACGCGCGAAGAAATTCCGGAGCCAAATGCAACTCCCGATATTCAAACGAATCGGCGACGATCGACCCCCCGATATCACACTCTACAGCTTGGTTCGAGTCGGGAATCGGCATCAGATTGCATAGAGTCCACGCCTACTTGTCGTCAAACTCCTTGTATCGCGTCGGGTAGCCGAGGATCCAGCCTCCGATGATGCGTCCAAACAGCAGGTTGATCGATCGTCCGAGTGGCCAGAGCAGACCAAACGCCCTCCACAACCCGGCGAACGGCACAGGCGGCACGAGGATGACGTCTGCATCGTCCAAGAACCTGAGCATCTGGAACGGATTGGGAGCCTTGCCGGCCATGGTCCTTGCGCTGAGGTATCCGTAGAAGTTGTGCACAAAGTCCTCGTCGAAGCCCGGGTTGGGACCTCCCCTCACGGTGATGTGCACATGCAGATCCTTGCCGCTCTCGGGATCGGACCAGAAGGTGTGTGGCCTGTAGGGTGGGATGTTGACCTTCTGGCCCGCTTGAAGCTTGCCCTGCTTGCCATCGATCAGGTAGCACAGCGTGCCGTCCTTGACGTCGAACGTTTCGGTCTGGAAGAGGTGGATGTGGTAGGGAGGCGTGGCGGTGCTCGAACGACCCACGCCCGAGTGCGGATCGTTGGCACGAAAGATCTGGCCCGAGGTGAACGAGTCGGCGTCCTCGCGCACAAAGTAGGTCTGCAACGCGCCGTCGAAAAAGTGCCACTTGCCATCCACAACCTTGGGGCGTACGATCGACATGTTGACGTGTAGCGAGATGAACGAATGGAGGGCAAGAGCTCAAGATTGCGGATGCACCCAAGTCGAGATCCGACTCGCAGTCTTTAAAACCCAACCTCCGATATTGGCACTTTTTTTCCAAGATTGGCCCGTGCGGCTTGCGATCAATTTCAACAGGAAGAAAAGGCGCGGCACCAGAGCGCGCGATAAAGAGGCCAAGAAAAGATCCGAGCTTTGTCCCACCGCGGACAGGATCCGGTCCGCCCTTCATCACCACTGCGCAACGGACATCGACCGCCGCTAAGCTGCGATCCACGTGCATTGCATCGCATCTACGCTTTCCCCACACTTTGGGCTCGTCTCGTGACCCAATCAGCGCTAGCCGTCCGCGGCCACCGACCCGTCACCGCCACCACCCCAGCCGATTAGCTTGGGCTTTCGAAAGGTACGCTCCGTGATTGGCTCTGCGCGCCTGTTCCCCCGCATTTTCGTTTTTTGAGCCGCCGTGCAATTTGTCGAAATATGCAAGGAAATTAGGCTGCGACACACGAAGATGAACCGCTGAACCGCCGCACTCTAATCGCGCGGCAAAGGGAAATGCCACTCGACGCACAGATGCCATGGCCGATAAGCCGTTTTGGGCTATGAACCTCCGCTCGACGCTCGACACCGCGGGGCCATTCGGACATCGTCCTATCACAGGCCTCTCGCTCTCGCTTCACTCCCAAGGGTCCTCTCCGCGCCGCGCCCTCGTCCACGAAATCCCCGCGCGTCGAGTCCCTTCTTTGCGTGGATTGCATGTATATAGCCGCGGCGTCCATTGTCTGCCCTAGCTTCCCCATCCCACCCCATCGTTATCGTTTCGCTCAACCCCCCAACCGCATCTTTACCTTTCGCTCCATCTATTCACCATGCGCGTGGCAGTCATCGGCGCAGGCTTTGCCGGCATCTCCACCGCCAAGTACCTCACGCAGTACGACCACGACGTCACCGTCTTCGAGGCGTGCGCCGACGTGGGTGGCGTGTGGTCCAAGGCGCGTCGCTACCCGGGTCTCGCCACGCAGAACTCCAAGCAGACGTACAGCCTCTCGGACATGGACATGCCGCGCCACTACCCCACCTGGCCCGCCGCACAGCAGGTCCAGGACTACCTCGACGCCTACGTCGACAAGCACAACCTCCGCCGCCTCATCCGCTTCAGCACCAAGGTCACCCAAGCCACACCCACAGCCACCGACGGATGGAGCATCACCACATCCGCCTCGGACACCCCAGAAGACTTCGACCACCTCGTTGTTGCCACCGGCACCTTTTCGCGCGGCAAGATCCCCGAGTACAAGGGTGCCCAAGAATTCAAGGCCGCAGGCGGTCGAATCCTCCACTCGTCCGACGTTGGGCTCGACCCCGCAACGATCGAGGGCAAGAACGTTCTCGTCATTGGATACGGCAAGTCGTCATGCGACGTGGCCAACGCGGTCTCTGCCAATGCCAAGTCCACCACGCTCGTCGCACGTCGTCTCATCTGGAAGCTCCCACGCATGATCCGCGGCCTCCCCTACCAGTACCTCCTGCTCACGCGCCTCGGCGAGTCGCTCTTCGAATACATCACCCCCTCGGCGTTTGAGCGCTGGTTCAACTCGGGCTCCGGCCGCTTCATCCGCAACTCCATGCTCAACTCGCTCCAGTGGGTCGTCACGGGCCAGCTCAAACTCGACCGTCTGAACCTCGTCCCCCAGGGGCCCTTTGAAGAGATCGCCCGCTCCACCATCTCCCTCTCCACCGAAGGACTCTACAAAAACATCGAGGCGGGTAAGGTGGCCGTTCGAAGAGACGCCGAGATCGACCATCTCTCCAACGGAATCGCCGTGCTCAAGGACGGCACGGAGCTGCCATGCGATCTGGTCATCTGCGCCACGGGATTCCACCAAGACGTCCCCTTCCTCCCCGCCAAAGTGCAGCAAAAGTTCCTCGATGCCGACGGCAACTTCCTACTCCACAAGCATATTATGCCCATTGGCGTACCCAACCTCACCTTCAACGGCTACAACTCCTCCCTCTTTTGCCCCACCTCCTCCGAGGCAGCCGCACTCTGGATCGCTGCCCATCTCGATGGCCTTACCAACTTGCCCAGCGATCAAGACATGCTCGAGGCAGCACAGGCAAAGTTGGACTGGCTCGATGCAAGGAGCAACGGCAAGCATGCGCACGGGACCAACCTCGTGCCGTTCAGCTTGCATTCCATCGACGATACGCTCCAGGACATCGACCTTGGCTTGAGCACCTATGCGACTGTTAGGCAGTGGCTGCTCCCCGTCCGACCCAGCGATTACGCCGGGTTGGGAAGCAAGCTCGGCAAGCGTATCCACGAAGCACGTGCTGCTCAAACCAAGCAGTAGAAACACAAATGTACATACGATGCTATCAAACTCTTTCTTTGCCTTTTGATGCGAGTGTGCTCTAGCGATGAACGCTCTTGCTCGGTGCGGCTAGGCCGTGCAGATGTTGTCGGATCCACGCCTCGCGCTGCTCAGGCACATGTCTGAACGCCCGAAAGCGCGCATCTCTACCCAGCACCGCCTGAATCTGGTCCAAATCCACCGTGCGCGCCATATCCGCCAGCATCACCTCCTCCTCCTCTTCCTCCTCCTTTTCCCCTTCCTTCTTTTCGCGCCGAGTTTCGGCGGTGGTCTTTTTCATGCGGCCCCAGAATTCGACAAACGCACTCTCGCAGAGCATCTCTTCAAACGCCCTTTTCGCCTTCGCCTGCCTTTCCGCGTTCCACTCTTGGTACGCCGCATCGAGCTTGTCGGTGTCGTGGCGGTAGACGCTTAGTGGCGGGTGGGACAGCGCGTCGTCGTGCAGCGTTTGGGCGAGTACATCGTCGGCGTGCGTATCGAGCGCACGCGCATACCGCTCAAACACCGCCGCCAGCTTTTCGCGCTCCGAGTGCAAGAGTCGCCGCACATGTTGCTCGAACAGCTCCTCTTTCTCTCCCTCGGGCAGTGGAGCGAATCGCGCATCTGCTTCCAGCCGAGCAGCTGCCGACCGCCAACTGACGTGCGGCGAGTGGACAGCATCCACCAAAAGCTGGCTGAATTGGCGTCGCGATTCCGACCGCTCCGTCGAGGCCAGTGCTGCCCGGTTGGTGCGTTCGATCCTCTGACGCTCGCGACGAACCTTTTCCTCTCGTTCCCGCATCGCCCTCACCCTCGCCTCCTCCTTCCCATCCTTCATCCTCTCCTTTCCCCTCTCTTCCTTCGCTTGCGACGGGGCTTGGGGTCGACGTTCACCTTTCGCCCACTGGGCAAACAGCTCGAAGCGGCGCGTGGAGCTGCCCACCGCATCGTACCTCTTATCCTCCACCAACCCGGGCGTGCGCTTGGCCTGCATCCACACCGCCATCACCGCCTCCTTCTCCTGCCCTCCCGCTGTCTTGGCTTCAGCTACCTTGCCGCGCAAATTCCCGGGCAGCTTTTCCCCCAGCAATGTTGTGAATGCCGTCTCGGCTTGCAACGCCGCTCGCCGCTTCTCCTCGCCCAGCTCGACGAGGTACGCCTTGAAGACGCGCTCGCGCTCGCCATCGCTCCGTCCGAACGCCGCAAACCTTCGATCGCGCACAAACGCCTCGCGAAAGTCGGCAAACTTGGTCCGCGTAGAACGCACTTCGGCCCTCAGCAGCGCACGAAACTCGGCCTCGGCACGGCTGCCCCCATCTGCCTCCACCGACGGCTGGGCGGATTTGGCAGCACGCTTTTCGCGCAGACGCAGCTTGCACCACTCGTTGAAGGCGTCCTCGCGCTCGCGCGTGGGCAGCGCAAGGTAGGAGGCGTGGTGCGAGAATTTCGGCAGCTCCAGATCCCACGGCGCCATGGGGTTGATCTCGTGCGGTGTGCCGTTGAGCGACGTGAGCAGCACCAGGAACAAAGTTTTTTGCTCTTCCGTCGACAATGTTGCTTCCGGCGCTGAAGGCGGAGTGGGCGAGGAGGAGGCATCCGACTCGTGTGCTGAGGCTGCAGCCTCTGCCGCCATCTGCTCGGCAATCTGACGCTGCCATTCCTCTTCATCCTGCTCCTCTTCCTGCTCGTCAGCCTGCACCGTCACAGACCCCGTGTTAGGGACACGATCCGCATCTTGAGCCTCGTCCTCATCCTCGTCCGAATCATCGATCTCGCTGTGCTCGCTATCATCCTGTTCGTCGGGGCGCGCACGCTTTGCATCTGCCGCAAACTCGGTGATGGGCACGCCCTGCTCGGCCTTTCTCTTCTTCTCCCTCCTCTCCCTCCTCATCCTCTCCTTTTCGTCCTGCTCCTGCTGCTTTGCCACTCTGCGCTGTTGCTCGGCTTGCTGCCTCAGGCTATCCTCCAGCTGCTGCACGTGCTCCGCAATGTGGTCGGGCGCGATCCACTCGCTCTCCTTGCTCGCCTCGTGCCAGAAGAAGACATTGTCGCGGTTCGTGGTCACCTTGAACCAGCCGTCGGTGCCGGGAATGCGCGTTTTGCTCGTCGGCTTTTCGCGCTTGCGCTTGGGCTGGTGCGGAGAAGTGGGGCGCGTGTAGGTGCTCACGCCCGACGTGGTGTGGTGGTAGTACGCTCGGCCAGCGGGGCTGATGTGCTCCGTCCAGCCAGACGGTAGAGCCGAAGGCCCAGCGCCTGCGTCGGCCATCCTTGCCAAAGCTCTTTGTTGGGAGTGGAAGTGATCAAGAAGAAAAGTGGGCGAGCATGACGAAACAAGAATTCCCAGAGCCGCAATTTGGTTCGGAAGTCGGACAATTCGGCCAAAAACTCCACACGGCTTTTTGGCGTCGAAGCTCGATTCCCGACCACCATCCGTTGCTCGCTTTGCATCGCCTGACAGCCAGCATGGGTCCTATCGGTCCACAGCTTCCGGGTCCCTCCCGGCCGCGCTCTCCCTCACACTCCTCTTCAAGCTCCTCGCGTTCGCCTCCTCGCCGAGCGGTAGCTGGCCCCCAACTCCCCGCCAACTTCACACGCTCGCGCTCCAACTCGGTCTCGTCCGACGACATCGGTCCCTCCCTACCCTCGTCCTCCTCCCAGCCCGACTCGTCTGGGCTCAACGAAGGCGCCCGACTCTTTCTCGAGCGCGAGGCACGCCGGACCGCTGCGGCCGAATCCGCACGACTGGCTGCCGAGCAAGCGGCCAACTCGCGCCCCGAGTGGATGCTCGTGCCACCCTCGCTCTCCAACTCGTCACTGCAGGCGGTTGCAGGCGATCCGCTCAACCTCAAATCGCGAGGGTTCGCACAGTCCACCCCGCGCGTGTCGGCACGTGCGTCCGGGTCGGGCACCGCCGAGGTCGACAGCTCCTGGACCGAGACGCCGCAGCAACGCATGGAGCGGATGCGCGCCCAAGTCACCGGCTCCCACCCCGCCCCCGCCGACGCCGACGAGCTGGAACGCGAACGCACCGCACGCAGAGACGCGCATATCGCAGCGCAGGTGCAAGACGCACGTCAATCCACATCGCTCGTGCAGCAGCACATCGATCGGCGCAAGCGCGACATGCAGCGCCAACTCGAGGACCCCGACGACAGTAGGAGGGAACGACGCCACCGCGACAGGGACTCGCATCGCAGCAGCGAGTCACGCCGCGACCGCGACCGCGATCGACACCGCCACCACCGTCGGGACCGATCCCGATCTCCCCGCGGTAGGGATGAGGAGAGGAGGCACTCGCGACGTGATGAGCGCGACGAGCGACACAAAGAACGCAAAAGCAGCCGCAGCAGCCGCAGTGGAGACAAGGAGAGGGAGGAGAAAAAGTCACGCAAGCAGCGCGAGGAGGACGACGTGCGTGCAGGCAAGGCGGCCGCACCTATGCTATGGGACCGCGATGCAGCGCTCAGCATCGGCGGCCGCCTGATGGACGAGAAGCAGCGCGGCAAACTCATCGCAGACGCCTCCGCCCTCGGCGACCGCTTTGGCTCCGGCTCCCGCCGCTTTCTATAACGCTCATTCGCCACAATCCCGTATCGGCCGCCTTCAATCACAATGCACTACGATTGCGCCGAGACCGCGCGAGCCACCCTACTGAAGCTTGAGCTGCCACCGTCGCACGGTATTGGATCTTGCTTTGCTACTTGCGCGCCACCTCCTCGGCCCTGCTCTTGATGGCCTGATTGAACGCCTCGAACCCGTTCTTCGTCTTGGCGCCCATGCCCAGCCAACCCATGAGCGGGGTGTACAGCACGCCACCAAACTCCTCGCGATGTTCCAGCCTCGTGCCGTCTGCATCTTGATGCAACAGAAACAGGTGTCTGCCATCGAACAATCCGGGCCAGTTGGCCAGATGCCCCTGCCATCCAAATCCGCGATCGTCGAGCAGCACGACGGTGGGTGTCATGGTCATGGCTGTACCTCCGGGCGGCTCGATACGAACGCTGAGCTTTGATCCGACGGCGAGATTGGAGGTGCTGATCGAGGTGACGAAGCTCGCCCAGTCCGGGTACGACGCGAAATCGAGCAGCACGCTGCGCACCACCTCGATGGGGGCGGCAATGTCGATGCTCGTCGAGATGACCCGGTTGGCGGGGTGGTTGGCGTTCGACATGGTTGTCGTTTCGCAAACAGGATCGAAGGGGGAAGGCGCGAGTTTATATGCGCAGCCCTGTCGGAGATTCAAATGAGCTTTATTGCGGTGGCGTGAGCATCTCCGTGGAGATCATCCGCGCTTTTGGATCATTTGACGTGCCATCTCTGCCTCTTCATCCGTTCGACACACCAACCACGGCACCGAGCCACTCTCATCCAATCCAAGCCCCCCACGACCGAGCTGGCGACATCCTTCCCTCGCCTTCGTTGCGATGTCGGCGGGGGCGAGGGGGGACAAGTCGAGCGCATGTGCCAGTGCGACATGCAGCTCGTGGCTCGCCTCTCCAATACCGCCGGTAAACACGACCGCATGCACTCCGCCACGTGCACTCATCTTGGCCGCATAACTCCCCAGAAACCCGACGAGACGATCCACATACATGTCGAAAGCCAGCTTGGCGCTCTTTCCTTCGCTGCTGTCCGTCTTGCGCCGCTCGACGAGGGTCCTGAAATCGCTCGTGCCAGCAACAGCCTTGAACCCGCTGTGCTGGTTGAGCACCTCTTCGGCGTGCGTTACACCCGAGGGCTGCCTCTCGTTCGCGCGGGGGATGTGCATCACCAGCACGGGGTCTACAGTCCCACTCCTCGTCGCACCGGGCAACCCTTCTAGCGGCGTCAACCCCATGGACGTATCCCAGCTTCGACCTTGTACCACTGCGCACACGGAGCTTCCTGCGCCCAGGTGACACAGGATCGCATTCACCTCTGCCCTCTCCCTCCCCAGAACCGCAGGGAGGGTGTGCAGCACTGCTTCGTACGACAGACCGTGGAAGCCCCACCTTCGCATCTCCATCCCGCCGGGCAAGGCGCTTCCCGCCAAACCCCGGTCGAGCAGATACCTGCCCCTCACCTCGTCGATCGTCGCGTGGAAGTGCGTGTCGAAGCAACACACGTTCTCGCAGTCGCGCAACAGCGACGATGCCAGGCATGCACGGATGAGCGAGACCGACACGCCGTTGTGCAGCGGTGCGAATCGCGCCAGCCACTCGAGCGTTTGCAGGTGGTGCTGATCTTCCTTCGTGATGGCCACGCCCGACGACAGGTGTGCACCATGCACGACTCGGTGCACCACCGTCCGAATATCAACCTCTTCAAACCTCTTCATCATCGCAAGGATGTGCTCCAGCACACCGGGCGAGATGGCGTCCCACTCTTGCTCCTCCTCGTACACTCCGCTCTCGCCTCGAATGCACACCTTCGCGCCGCTGTCACTGAGCTTCACTGACCCACCGAGCACAGTGTGCAGTTCCGGCGTCGCGTACACCTTGAACTTGAGCGACGAAGATCCGCTACCCACTCCAATTCCAAGATCAGCATTGCAGCACATCCTACCGCGACTGTCGAGGACTTACGCGTTGAGGCACAGCACATGCGCTGCACCCTCTTTCTCGCTCTTCTCGGCTTGCATCTTTGCGTATCGAAGTTGGCGCGCTGTGTCGAGTGGTGGTGGGGGGGGGGGGGGGGCGCCTCGATCGGCACTCCTTATAGGTGCCGGGGAGGGGGGGGGGGGGGTTGCGGTGGCGAGTGTGACTCAGCATGCTTGTCCCCTCGGCCGCTCGGCACCGGCCCAGTCGGGTGTTGACTCATCACCGCCATCCACCCTTGGCCAGCTCGGGGCGTCCGTCTCTGCGCGCCCAGCTTTGGTCGTCTTGCTCTGCCACGCCACGCTTGGCACCACAGTCCGCCGCACTCTGTCGACAGACGGCAGAGATGGCTCTGTCGTCGGCCTGTCACTGCTGCCACGCGCTGCATTCCCAACCGACGCAGAGCAAGCGGTCGTACAGCAGCACTACGCTTTCATTCATCGCTGTCCATCCGATCTCGCGTGACACACTTTTCCTATGTCGCGTTGATCGCTTCCTCCGCCCGAAAATCTTGCTATCGTGGGGAAACGGGGAAGCCCTGCATGTTGACACGCGACAGAACGAGGTGGTTCCATCCACCCACTTTGTCAATCGAAGGCGTCGTTGTGCTCGTCCTGCGTCGCTTGCTATCGAGCACACAGCCCCGGCCCCTGCAATCGTCCAGCCTCGTCGTGTCCACAAGTCGGTGTTCTTCAGAGCTGCCTGTGCAACCATTGCCGTCATCACGAGGCGCAAGATCTTCTCGCTCGAAACTCGCACCCAAATGCCGTCTGGAGGTAGCAGCAACACCAGCTACGACCATACTCACGCACCCCGCTCCATCGCCATTCTGTCCTCAATGACGAGCACATCAGCCGTGTTGAAGTCTGCGACGGTGCATGCTAGGACACTCGAAGGCGTCCGACGTCACAGAGCTGTACGCGATCAAATGAGTCCCCATTATATCAACGACAGAGAGGATGGAGTGAGAACGAAGCTCGCCAAGTGGGCGAGTGAGGTGGGAGAGCAGGATGTAGGTGGATGCAGCACAGCCTCCGGAGCCTTGCGCGGCGTGGTGGGTCGTACACCGGATGCGGGCGTACATGCAGTGCGGCTTGACTGCAGACCAGACCCAGTCTCGAACAGACCGCGCACCAAACAGGCCTTGGAACGACATCAGCCGCTTCCATACCGACGCAGCAAGATGCGTCGACATCAATCGGCGACTTGCGCTGGAGCGGACCAACATGCATCGTGTGGGATTGCGGTGCGATGCCTGTTGATGCAGGGCGCTGGCGGAGCGAACGACAGGCAGAGATGGTACGGAACGATTGTAATTGATCGTGGTTCTATCCACAGTGTGTGTGTGTGCGGGCGAATGGTCCAAGTGAGTGAGCAAGTGAGTAGGAGGCGTGCGCGCGTACCCCTGAGTGGGCGGAGGTGTATACGCGCGCCTCCAGTGCGCGCGCGTGGCGTAAGTGGGCGTGTGGTGTATGCAGGTACCGGCCTGCTCGAGCCGGAACCCCACCAACACATCGTGACCATGCCCTCTGCACAGATCGTTCATCACACAGATCGTTCATCACACAGACGCACTTTGGTTGGTCCGAATCAGACGGCAACTTGGATTGAACCGAGGTAACAGGCATCACGGCGATGTCCACTTCACAGATTCGCAAAACCGATCCCGATTCAATGCGATGCTGCCTAAACATACAACAGGAACACTCCTTCAACCGTCAAGCTACAGCTGGCCACCTTCGGCCTTTCCATCAGGGCATGCGCAGGCAAGCAGTCAATCGAGAAGAGCTGGCCGAGCGGTATCGCCAGGGGACAAATCGATGCTGCACAATCAAACTTGTTTTTTCCACCCCTTCGCCTCGCCCGTCGTTGCCTAACCCGTCGCATGGAGACAAGCATCCTCGCCGTGCCATCTTGCACCTCCCCTTGGCCGCTCCGACACCGCGACCGCCTTCACACATCCAGCTCGGGCGGGTCGCAACCGTGCTCGTCGATATACGTCTGCCACTTTTGCCTCGTCTCCTGCAGGCTCGTCACGAGCTCGTCCCACTCGTCGCTCTCGACCATGCGCTGCAGTCGGGCCTCGTCGCGGCGCCAGGCTTTCTTCAACCCGCAGTCTTGTTCGACGAGGCCGATTGCCGTGAGCGCGACAGTGAAGCGGTCGACGCCGTTGAGCATGAGCATACTGAACGGCGTCGTCGTGGTTCCCTCCTCCCTATACCCCAGAACCGCAGTCGGCCTTCGACCCTGCTCGTCCGACAGTCGATCGCCCAGCAGCCCCTTGACCGCCGTGGGATATCCGTGGAAGTTGAACAGCACGGGCGCGGTGTCCGTAAAGAGGTCCAGGAAAGACGATTCGCTCAGCGCATGCGGATGCACCGACCCCTCGCTGAGAATCATCAGATCCGTCACATTGACGAACCTCACCCTGACGCTCTCCTCCCCTGCAAGACGCTCGAGCAATTCCGTCGCCGCAAGGGCTTCAGCCGTGGTCTCGGTGCCAATGCCGACAATCACCACATCCGGATCTCTGCCCTTGTCGGTCGAGTAGGCGTGCCAGATGCTAGCGCCCGCCTTGCAGTGCCTATTCGCCTCGTCCTCGGCCAAAAAGACGCGGTTTGGATGCTTGCTGCCCACCACCAGATTCACATAGTTGCGGCTGCGCACGCAGTGCGACAGCGTCGACAGCGCACAGTTGGCATCCGGTGGCAGATAGACGCGCGCCACATTGTGCGGCAGGTCCAACACCGCATTGATGAGCCCGGGCGACTGGTGGCTGAATCCATTGCTCTCCTGACGCCACAGCGTCGACGTCTCGAGGTACGTGATCGACGGCACGGGCGGTCGCCATCCCGTCGCGCGCGCCTCCTTGACAAACTTGGCAAACTGGCTGATCATCGTCGTCACAATGCCGAGAAAGGCTTCGTAGCTCGGAAATACACCGATGCGACCCGTGAGCGCGTAGCCCTGCGCAAAACCCTGCAGCGTGTGCTCGCTGAGCATCTCGATCACGCGTCCGGATCGCATGCCTTCGCGCCGCTCCAGACCCGTGACCTGGCTCTCGAATACGTGCTCAAACTTGCGCCCCTTGAAGCCGGCGAGCGACAGCGCAGCATCGAGCTTGTTCGAAACCAGCTCGTCCGGGGAAAAGATGAGCAGCCGGTCCGGGTTGAGCGGAATGAGCGCAGCCAGGTACGCACCGCACTGCTGCATCGCCGAGACCTGCACCTTGTCACCCGCAGCCGAGGTCTCCGATTCGACCATAAAGCCGGTCGTGCCCACATCGACAAGGTTGGGGCTGCGTTGCGCCAGCTCGCGCAGCTGCCCCAAGCGCAGCGACTCGCTCGGAAGCATGCGTGAGACCACGGAGCTGATCTCGAGCCGATCGGCACCTTGACCAGCGAGTGTGAGCCACATCTGGGGCTGGTACGACCTCAGCCATTCCTCGAGCTTCTTGAGATGATCCGGAGGCGAGTGCGCATCCACGTGCAGCGGCACCTGGTGGCTGCGGAACGAGCCCTCGACCTGTAGCCCATCGACGGTCTGCGGCCCACCCCACCCCTTGGGCGACGACAAGATGATCATGGGCCAGCGCGGCTTGTGCATGGGCTCGGCGTTCCTTGCTGCCTTTTGGATCTTGCGAATCTCGTCGTAGGCCCAACCGAGGCTGGCGGCCATGTCGACATCGAACGCGGCCACCTCTCGCTCTCCCGGCCTCGTGTGCCTGCCTCCGAGATGCTGATAGTAGTCGACGAAGCGCACCTGGTAGCCATAGCCCGTAAAGAGCGCCAGCAGCTCTTCGCGGTCCATTGCGCCAAAGATCGTCTTTTCGCTGATCTTGAACCGGTTCAGATGCAGGATCGGCAGGACAGCACCCGACTCGGCGGGGTCGATGAACTTGTGCGCATGCCACGCCGTTGCCGTCGGTCCGGTCTCTGCCTCGCCGTCGCCAATGACTGCAAATGCGATCAGGTCGGGCTTGTCCATCACAGCTCCGTAGGCGACTCCGAGCGCGTAGCCAAGCTCTCCGCCTTCGTGGATCGAGCCGGGCGTCGTGGCTGTCACATGGCTCGGGCGCATCGAGTTGGGCCAGCAAAAGCTCTTGACGAACCTCTGCACACCCGCTGCACTCAGCGACTCGTCTGGCGAGAACTTGGAGATGGAGCCCTCCAGATACAGGCACGCCAGCACCGCGGGTGCGCCATGTCCCGGGCCCGTGACGAAAATGCCCCTGGGCTGGTACTCGTCGCCTGCCGCAGTGGCTTTCTTTTCGATGCGCGCGAGCAGAGCGGTAGCATGCGCATAGGCAAACACGAGTCCGGGTACGGTACCAAAATGACCGAGAAGCCGCTTCTTGACGTGAGCTTCGTAATCGAGGGGCTTGTGGAGCAGCACGTTGTCGAGCAGATAGATCTGCGCCACGGCGAGATAGTTGGCTGCGCTCTGGAAGGCTTGGATGGCTTCGAGGTCGTAGCGGTGTTCGGCGTTTGCATGGTTGGGGAGGACGAGGTGCACCTCCTGGTCGCGCAGAGGCACATCCGCGTCGACGTGCGACGGGACCAAGTGAAAGCCAGCGGGAGCCGTCATGGTGCTGCTCATTCCGTTGAGGGAAAGGAGGGGGGCGCGGTTGGGTCGAGCGCATATATAGGCGACGGCGACGCAGGGCTGAGTCTGAACGCAGCGCACCTTGGCATCAGCGGTCTCTGCGGCTGGAAGAGTGTGACTGAAGCCCGCAAGGGCTGAGTGGCTGGCTCTGGCGCTAGCGCCTTGGCTGCGAGGGTTGATACACCCGCAGGTGGGCGAAATGAAGCTGGATTGGCGGCGGTGATTCAGCCGGGCCAAATGGCCCCTTCTCGGACGCGCAAGATGATTCACACGTCCAACAACGCCACTTGCCAGCCTCGCTCGGACCACACAACCGCAGCAGCCCGCTGAGTTTCACTCCGAGGAGTCATCGGCCAGGGTGTCCAGCTGTCGAGTGGTGCCGAGGCGAGGTGAAGAGGGACCGGTCCCGAGTCGAAGAGGCAAGCACGCAAGGTCGGCTGTCACCCACTCCAGCCTCGACCGCGAATTGCAAACTGAGCCGACTTGCGCTCGGAGCCTGGAGCGGCGTGCGACGCTCAGAGTAGCTGGCTTGGTCGGCACTGTTCCCCCCACTGACATCTCCGCTCCTCACTGTCTTGACCACATCCACCGCCAACCTTGATCGATCTTCATAGGTGCTATTATCTGAACTTGGTGCTGCTACTTTTGCTCGAGGTACCTCGTCTTGACCTCTTCAAACTGTCTGCTGCCCCTGGTGTACATCATGGCCCTATCGAGGAACCACACCAGACCCAGCAGCCAGCTGACGCCCAACCTGCCGATCAAGCGCCCAACCGGATCGACCAACGCCTTCTTCCACCATGCGCGCTTCTGCAGCCGATCCTGTCTATACTCGGGCACGTCTCCGAGCCTGAGCCACGACGAAAGTTGCTGCAACCAGCTCCAGTGAGCCTGTGGCCTGCCCTTGACACCGGTGTAAATGAAGTCGGCTGCAACGGGGTGGTCGCTTCTCCAGGCAAAGGTGAGCTGGAAGCCGGGATAGAGTGTGGAGACCCTGCCTTGGTCGTTTGTATACCAGCCCTTGCAGCCGGAGGTGTAGATGAGGTCGTGCATCTGCGCGCGGATCATGGCATCCTCCTTCTCCTGCGCCTCGTGCTTGACATCCACCGTTCGACCAATCGACCTCTCCAGCGGCGACACCGACTTCGGTCCGGCAAACACCGGTCGCAACAGCGTGGTCATCAGCCTCACCGATGCCTCGATGGCATACAGCGCCGAAAAGTGCCCCGTGACACTGTTGGGACCCCAAATGAGGAAGAAGTTGGGGAAATCGTGCACGAGCGTCGACCTGTACGCCTGCGGGGCGCCACCCTTACGCCAGACATCGTTGAGCTCCTTGCCGCCCCTACCGGTCACCTTCATCTGCACCGCCGTATCCCCCGCCTGGAAGCCGGACGCAAGCACGATCACATCCGCCTTCAGCCTTCGTCCCGACTTGAGCACCACCTCGTCCTGCGTAATGCGGTGCGCCTGGTCGTTGGTAAGATCGACATTGTCCATGTTAAGACACGGAATATAGGCGTCGTCGAACACGCGCCTCTTGCAAGCAACCTTGAGCTCGTCCTGCGTGGGGATGAGCAGATGGTGGTATCGCTCCGGCGCGACGGTGCTGACGTAGAGCGTCGAGTTGTCCGCAAACCGCTGTCGAGCCGCACTGCCTTCGCGATTCCACGCCTGCAGAAAGTGGATGTCCAACACCACCGTAAAGATCGCTCGTTCGAGCTGGATGAAGCCGGGAAAGTTGCGCTCTAGCCATCGTACGGCTGGACTGCGAAAGGGATCCTCGGGCGTGGGGGCATACCAGTGCTTGGCCCTGACGATCTGCGTCACCGACTTGGCCTGCTTGGCGATACTCGGCACGATCTGCGTGGCGGAGCAGCCGTTGCCCAACACTACCACATTCTTGCCGCGGGTATCCACGCTCGTATCCCACTTGGCGGAATGGAACAGGGGGCCTTTGAAGTCCTGGTGCCCGTCGACATCGCACTCCCTCGGCACACTGAGCGCGCCCGAACCATTGACCAGCACGCGCGCCGTGGCCGTCCTCAGCTCGGCCGACTCGATGCTGCGATAGGTGACCTTCCAGTGCGAATATTCCTCCTGCCATTCTGCCTCCTCTACCTGGGTTCCGAACCTTGCCATGGGATAGAGCGTATAGGCGCGCGCGACGTCCTGGAGGTAGGACTTCATTTCGGCCTGCTTGGCCATAAAGTGGCGCCACACCTTCTTCTGGTGGAACGAAAACGAGTAGAGCCGCGGTGGGATGTCGCACGCCGCACCCGGATAGACATTGTGGAACCACGTGCCGCCAAAGTCGGCGCCGCGCTCAAAGATGAGCAGCTTGGTGAGGCCGAGGTGGCGCTGCATCTGGCAGGCTGCGGCGATGCCCGAAGGCCCACCACCCACGATGATCGCCTCGTACTCGGTGGGAGTGCTGCTTGGCATGGTGGAGAGGGCAGCCAAGAGTGTGCTGGAGAAGCAGAGAAGAGCCAGACGAGAGAGATCAGACCCCCTCTTTTTATGGGATCGACAGGCGGCTTTTCCTTGCGCTTTGGTCTCTCGCTTTGGCCTTTTGGCACTTTGCTGGATCCGAGAGAGAGGCGCAGCGCGCAGGTGGACGTGTGGAGAAATGCGCGCGCGCTGTCATGCGGCTCTCGAGGTGCGGCTCTTCATTTCGCAGTCCGGCGCTTTTTCGCGCAACCTCCGCCTCTGCCTAACCGCCCATCACGGCGTCTCGCGGCCCAAATTTACGCCGCTCCGGCACCTCTGCAGCCGAAAACCTCATGAACCGCGGACCGCTGGTTACCACCCTCTTCCAATCTAACAATTCAACACCGGCTGCCGCGGTTCGCCTCATCATATCGCAAGGCGACGATCGCTGTCAATCTCGGCATCGATGATCGACAGTCGCCCATATCGACCCGTTCGCTCATGCTCGGCACACTTTGCGGAAGAGATCAGTTGATTTTCATTCCGGTACGGTCCGGTCTCGTTTCGAGTATCGCTTTACACCTGCGCACGCAGGTTATCGTACTGCGTCTGGGTGAGCGGAATGATGGTTCCGTGACGAGCATGGTTACTCGGCTCGTTGGCCGTCGCATCAAAAGTCCATGTGCCCTGCTGGGTGTTGTTGGAGTTGAGCGCCACGTAGCCACGGTTGGTGTACTCGTCGACCCACAGCCACGACTTGTCTGCATCCGTGTTATCCACAAACGCAGTCGGGCCTTCGTTGGCCCCAATCACTCCAGCCCCGATATTCTCCGTCACCTTGGTCCAGCTTCCGTCCACACCGCCATCGCTGCGTTCCTGGTACACGGTGAGCGGGTGAGGGTCCGAGGTCGGGTTCTCGTTCTTGATGAACCTGTACAGTCCGGTATTGGTCTGGAGGAACGTCATATCCAGCACCGAATCGCCGCTCCTGTCCACATACACCTCTGCCGCACTAAAGCTGGTGAAGTCCGTCGTGCTCGATCGCATGATACGGAAGTACGACGATCCCGTATGCTCCTCATCGTCATCTCCCCAGAGTTGAGCCGAAAAGTAGACATCGTACTGCTGCGTCTCGGGGTTGTACAGTGCCTCTGGAGCCCAAGCACTTCCACCCTCCTTCCCAATCACCTCCACCAGCCTTGGCTCGGACCAGCTCTGCAGATTGTCGCTGCTCTCCCACACCACGATGCTGCGCGAGCCCAGCGTAGCCGCTTCACCGAACGATGTTCCCGACCCGATATTCAGGTCGGTCGCGAGGAGGTAGAACTTGCTCCCGTCTGCGGAGCGAACGATGCTCGGGTCGCGCACACCCTGCGTACCCACCGTCGACGTCAGAATCGGCTGCCCGCCGTTGACCAGATCCCAGGCGGTGGGAGAGTTGCCTTGGCTGACAGCCGCAAAGATCCGCTCTTCACCCGCCGCGTTGCCGATAAAGTAGTAGAAGCCGTACCCGACGTACGTCTCGGCCCGCGACACCATCCCCACCGGCGCAGATACCGCGGTGGTCGCCCACAACAATCCCACCGACGCAGCAACGAGTGTAGCCTTGAGTACGTTCCACATGATGAAATGGTTTCGAAAAGAGGTAAGGATGCAGAGACCCCATCTAGACCGCCGCGCAGGATGCACTACTTATACCCGTCGCCGTAATCCCTGGACGATGCTTGAGGGTGGGCGGGCATCTCTTCTTGCCCCACTCTCGAATGCATGATCACGCATGATCCCCGCTGGTGTACCCGCTCGCTTGCGTTCAGCACCGCCGATTGTCGGCATGGGCTCTTCTTCGCTCTGCTCTTCGTTACACCGACCAACACCGCGTTAGAATGCCGAGACCGGTCAACACCCTGGTGGCTTGCCGAGCCCAACCATCTCGGAAATCTCATCCCCGCAATAATCCCCGGCTTTGCCTTCTTGGCATCTCGCTAAAATTCGCCCGAGGCCACCAACCACCTCACCGTGCATACTTCCTTGCGCAAACCAATAGATTCCCGCACCCACTTCTCACTGCCGGAGACGCAACGCCGCGTGGGGACTTAGCATCGGCAATCCCACATTTCGAATTGCACCACAAAGACAGTGCACTAGCGGCGGAGATCAGGATCGCACAATGTGGTCCAGCAGCTCGGCGTACTTTACGAGCTCTTCGTCCTTGTACCTACGCCCAATCAGCTGCAGTCCCACAGGGGCGCCGTTGAACACATCACGGTGTTGCTCGTACTCTCGCGCGTTGTCCTCGTCGAACTCGCCCATCCACTCGCCCTCCCTCCTCGTCTCGTACTCGAACCCATCGACCGCCTTGGGAGACTTCGCCTCGAACTCTCGATCGAGTGCCGAGTCAGCCGTGATGCCCGAGGGAAACACAACCCCCGGATAATCGACGAGGTTGAAGACGCTCGTGTAGTTCCAGTACTTGACCGTGCTCGGTCTGGGTGCGACGTTGGCGGTAGCAGGGCACAGCAGGCAGTCGAGACCCAGCTCGTTCCACGCACGCAGGTATTCGGCCCTGAACGCCTCGCGCACCCGCACGCTCGCCATGACATCGCTCGCCGACATCTCGTCTTTCTTCCTCGCCTCGCCCGCCGCATCCGCAGCAAGATCCGCCTCGGCCAACCGAACAAACGGCTCGGCCAGGATGAACTGCGTCAGAGGCAGTAGTGGCTCCCCCGTGGCGCGAGAGAGCAGGTGAAAGTACTTGCCCGACTCCATAAAGTACAGCGACCGAACGATGTCCCATGCGCGGCGGTGCAGATCGCGCGGGTCCCACCGTCGAAGCTCCACGCGTAGCCCACCCTTGGCACGCAGCTTGTCCACCCAGTGCCCCAGCGCACGTCGCACAGGTGTCGTTGGCCGCACCACCCCATCCTCCATCATCACCCCAACCACCAGTGTCTTCTGCCCACCCTTGAGCAGGCTGTCCACCTTACGCCACGGGATCGGCAGCGTAAAGTGCTCGCGCTCCCACGGCCGCGTCTTGTCATTCAGCACGCTCGCCATGAACCGCTCGATGTCGCGGAACGACTTGGCCATCGGCCCAATCGAAGACCCCACGCCCTCGGCACCGGGCATCGTCGATCGCACGCCCCCATACGGGATCCTCTGCGTCGTAGGCCTCAGCCCATACAAACCCGTCACCGCACACGGCTGACGAATCGACCCACCGATATCGCTGCCCACACCCAGCGCCACTCCCCCTCCTGCGATGATCGCGCTTTCTCCCCCACTCGATCCGCCCGGGCTCAGCGCGAGGTTATGCGGATTGAGCGTCTGGCCGTACAAGTTGCTGGTCGTATCGAGGTGCATCACGCCCTGCGGCATGGTGGTCTTGCAGATGATCACCGCATCCGCATCAAGCAGCAGTTCCACCAGATGCGCATTCGGCCTCTCGCTCACATACCCACCCTGCGTATCCTTCAACAGCTCCAGCTGCTCCTGTGTGAGATTGCGCTTGACGAGCGGATGCGACGTCGGATCGGGTAGCACATCAAAGACGAATCCGCGCTGGTTGCCGAATCGGTTGTACGGAATGTGTCCCTTGATGCTCATCGGCACGCCGAACAGCGCGCCGAGCTCGTGGAGGCGACCGTCTGCCTCGAGCCGGCTTCGCTTCTCGTCGAGCTGCTCTGCGCGCTGCAGCGCATCGTCCGCCAGCATCTGTGCCAGGCAGTTGGTCGCCTGGTGCACCACCGACGCCTTCTTGACGAAATGCTGCGTCACAGCCACAACCGACACCTTGCCCGACGTGGTGAGCTCGGCAATGGCCGAAGCATCGCGCCCGTCGAGGAGCGCATCGAGCTCGGAGGCCCAGATGGTCTTGGTGGGTTCGTTTTGCACCAGCTGCGCGAGCGCAGGGCCGGGTACGTCGCTCGATGGCGGCTCGAGCACGGCGTTGGCACGTTCCTTCCACTCGGTCAGCTTGGGGTCGGTGCAGACGGTGGAGCGTGGCAGCTGGAGTGTGCGCCGGTGCTCGGCGACAATGTCCTGCCAGGTGTCGCACGCATCGTAATTGGGTTGGGCGGACATGTTGAGCGCAGAGATGTTGTGAGGATGGCGAATATGGTGGTGAGAGGGCAAGGTAAGGCCAGGGCCGTCTTGGCGGACTTGGCGCGCCCGGCAATTTCGGCGATCCGGCTATCATTCCGCACGCTTTCCAAAGGCGCTCCTCAGTCGTCACTGTCCTTGCTCCGAAGACATCGCGCGAGAGCCAGAACGCAAGCTGCGGCTCGTCGGCGAGAGCCGACTGTGGGGGGCGGGCAACCTTGAACCCTGCAAGGTTGGTTCCAAAGCGCCGTTCAAGAAGCCGAGCTGGATTCCATGCGAGGCCTGTGCATCGATGCATCGCCGATGCAACACATCTCGAAATCAAGGCATTCATATCGGCGATAGCGCGTTTGGACATCTCGCTCGGCGTGACGGGTCGAGGCCGCGGCGCGCGATCCTGTCCGTGTCTCAAGAGCCTCCGTCATGGGTCTTTGTTAGTAGGCCCCCGCATTCCTCTTGTGGATCGGTTCGTATGGAAGGCTGCGATCGCACGTCACATGTCGCAGTCGCACGCTGTGGCCATTTTGAGCGCAGTGTGAGACCTGGGGTAGCACATGCTGAGCTGAGGAACCCGACGGCCCGCACGCCGTAGCGATCTGCGCATTCCGTCGGCCTGCACAAGCGGACAGCATACGACCCAGCTCGCGGGCGAACCAGCTCGGCACGATCTGGTGTCGAGGTGACCGCACGGCGGATCGCGGTTCGCGCGCGGCGAGACGCGCCCTCGAGTCACTGCGCGCTGCATCGAGGCTGTGTTTGTGCCACTCTGCACGGACGATCATCTTGCAGCTACTGTAGCAGCATTGCTCGCTGATCTCTTTGCTTTGCACGTTGCTGCACAGAGGCGGTGTCGGCCCATCATGGAGCCCCTATCGTCGGAGTGCAAGAGCGATCCGGAGAGCCATCTTATCTGCCCACAAGTTCAGACGGGTGTGAGAGAAGCCGCTGAAAGGTGCATCAAAATGCGGAGCCTGCAGGGCCAAGACATTTTGATTTCTACCGGTTCGCGCCTAAATTTGTGCGCTGAGCTGCGGCACAAAACGGCCATGGCGGGACTCCCTGCATCGTCACGTTGCCGAAGGCGTATCGTCGAGAGTGCGACTTGCCACCGCCCACAGCAGAGAATGAGTGCTGAGGCCGCGTTCGAGAGGGACCGGGAACGTGATAGTGACAGCACAGCCTCCTGCGCACAGCAGCATCGACGGCTGTCATTGTGCGGTGGCACGCTAAGCGATTCTCTTGGCACTGGGCCCTTGCACGTTGCGTGGGCGTTCGGGAGGCAGATACCGAGCGGTCGTGGCGCGTATGGACAATGCCATATTTGGTCGCTTTGGTGGTTGCTTGCCTGCGCAGTGAGGAGACCGTTGCAAGCCACCACGGCGCACCAGCCTCAATTGGCTCAAGCTTTCATCTCATTTCACACGACCCACTGCACCGCTGCAACTGGCTTCGTCGCAACCCACCGAGTTCCAGCGTGGATCTTTCTCCGCCTTCTCTGCACGCTCAACACAGCCATGCATTGAGGTGGGCTCGAAACGAGCGCTGCGAGCTTGAGAGAGCGGCTACAGTAGCTGGACCCTGGCCACGGCCACGTTCGGGAGGGGCTGCGATGCGCAATTCGGTCGCCGCTTCCCTGCGCGCAGCTGCGGCGTCTCGCCCTCTCCTCCGTCGCTCAAACCCTGCCAGCCCAGGATTGGCACGTTCGGAAGTGCCGACTCGGCTTTGCTGCTGGTGGTGGCATTGCAACACTTTGAGCGAAAAAGCTAGCTGAACGTGTCGACAGCAACTGCGTTTGGCTGTGGTGGAATCTGGACAAAGCGGTGGCGAGCCGGATGCGTGGTTCACAGCAGCAGCTGCACAGTCGGTGGGCAATCCTGCACTCGAGCGACACGCGCAGCACAGCTACACTAAGCCCTGCACCGCACAGCACAGCGCAGCAAGGCATTCTTTTTGTTTTTATTTTTATTCAATTTTGGTTTTTCCCACCGCACTTTCATGCAGGCGAGCAGAGGATGAGAGGCGAGAGAGGCTTTGGGCCCTTTCAGCTGCAAGGCCGCAACGCTCCCATTCCCACCTGGCGGTCGGCTACTGTGCCCGCTGGGCTTTAGCGTGAGTGGATTCTCTCGCGTGCGCCTGCGCCGGTCTCTCCCCGGGCGCTCGGGCTTGCTTAGTCGGCCTCGACCCTGGCTGTGGTCCTTTGGCGCCCCGACTCGACACCCGCCCGCCCTGCGCACCGCCTCGAGCCGACCCAACTTACCCAACTCAGCACGCGCAGCTCAAACCACCACCCACCCACCGCCGCCCGCCGCCCGCCGCCCGCCGCCCGCTGCTGCTGCCTGGGCCCTGTCCAATTTTGGCTTCGCTCCACACGACCAAAAAATCCGGTCCCACTCGCAGCTCCCAGTCGCGCTTCACTCGCTCGCTACAGTGCAAGCGCCAAAGGCCCATTCCCGCTCGACTGACCTCAGCCCACCTATGCTCCGCCCCCTCTTCACCATCAACTCCCTTCTCAACCTCTCCAACGACTTCACCACCGATCTTGGCTAAAGAGCACCTGAACCATACTTCACACCACGCGCTGCCATTTTATCTCAAGACACCGTCCTAGACATCGCATCGCATCGCACCGCATCGCACCGCATCGCATCACTCTGCTGCAGCCCAGCCAGGCGTAGCACGCTCAAGCACACCGCGTCGGATCGGCCGCACCGACAGCATCACACGCGCAAACTTCGAGCCACTCCCACGCCACGCCAAGCCAGCCAGTCGCCTTCATCGGCTCCTTCCGACACTCTCGTCCAGCTGACCGCGTCGACACCACCTTTCGGAGAGTTCCGGCTTGGGCTATCTCTGCTGTCGATATCGACGGCCAACCGCACCCCTCAGCCTGGCGTGGGAACTCCATACGCATCGCTCGCCATCACCTGCGTAGAGAGTCTCAACGATCATGCTTTCCGCCACCAGCTCGCCTTCCGTCACACAGCATACCAATGAATTCAGCGTGCCACACGCCATCCGTTCCGCCTCCTCCCCTTCCGCCAGCCTGCCCGCCGTAGACCACTCGCGCGCCACCAGCCTCGACCTCGACCCACCCTCCCAAACACACAGCCTCTCCACATCGCCCTCCTTTCCTCTCCACGCCTATCCGCGCTCCTCCATCTTAATCAATGCTCGCCAGCGTCCCTACAAGGGCGTCATCTACGCCAACCCCGCCCTCGTCTCGGGCTCCGCCGCCTTGGCGGCACCCGTTGTCTCGCACATCCCTGCCGTCCCCTCCCGCAGGGAACGCGAAAAGGAGCGTGAACGTGCGCGAGAGCGCGAAAAGGAGCGCGAACGCGAACGCGAGAGGGCCAAGAACAAGGACGACGAAAAGATCTGGGGCATCCCCAAGAAGGCGCTCCTCCTCGGCCTCGGCGATCTCAACTTCAATGCACAGATGGCCATGATGGCAGGCTGGGGTCACGGCAGCGGAGGCGCCTCCATCCTGCCCAGCACCGCCGTCCCCTCTTCCAACGACCGCAAACGCATCCGCCCTTCCACCGCAGGCGACGCTCCGCGCTCCGCACCCTCCTCCATCACTTCCCGACGCTCAGCCAACGACGATTCCGACGACGACGCAGACACGCATCGCTCCCAAAAACAGTCGCGCCGTCCCTTGACCAGCAGCGGTAGCGGCAGCGGCAACGGCAGCAGCAGCGCTATACTCGTCACCGACGGCGCCCATTCGTCCTCGAGCAAAAAGGCGTCGTCCAATGGCGACGCCAGTGCCGGCACGTCACCCACAGAAGAACGTATGGACCCGGAAGAGCTCGCCGCTCTCAATGCCATCATCAACACCCGCCGCAGTATGGCAGCAGCTCAGGCCCTCGTCAGCGGCCAGATCGGCGTCACCCCTCGTTCCGCCCGCGGCTCCAGCTTTGGTGGCTCCACTCACGACCTCTCCCGTCCCCCGCTCGAGGAAAAGCGCTTCGAATCGCAGGAGTCCGTTCCCAGCATGAGCTCCATGGCGCATTCCTCTACCAGCTTCGCCAGCAGCAACCTCCCCACATCTCCCTCTGACCGCGGCCTCCAACCGCCGCCTTCGCTCTCCATCGGCTCCGGCTCCACCATCCTCGAGGCCGCCGAAATCAAGTCGCCGCGCATCCGCTTCGCGCCTCTGCCCACTCCAGCTTCGGCACCACCTTATCCAGGCAAGGCGGCCGACTCCTCGCTCAACGGCCATCCTGCAGTGCTCGTCGAGGACTCCGAAGAGAGCGACACAAGCGACTCGGACTTCGACTCCGACGATGAGTCCAAGTCGATGAAGGGAAAGTGGTACCTCATGGGCATGCCTTCGGCCTACTTCAAGCCGCAGTACTACACCAGCAAGAGCAGCCGACGTCGCCACTCCAAGAGCAACAGCACCACCGGTCTCGCCGATGCCGACGACAACAACACCGAGGACGGTCACAGCCTGCGTCGCAAGAGCACCGGCAGCCTGTCGGACGGCACCAGCATCGACACCAGACGCAAGGCTGCCTCCGAGAACGACGACGAGGAACGCGGAAGGTCGGGTGCTTCAGCGTCCAAGTCCACGCGCAAGTCCTCGCACTCGCGTCGACGCTCCCGCAGCCGCACTGGCGCCATCAGCTCGGGCGACGAGGACGAACGCGCGCGTCGAAGGGAGCTGATCCGCCTAGCGCGACCGGGAGGCACGGGCATGGTCACGCTGCCGGACGGCACCAAGATCCGCGCACGTCGCGTCAACGACCAGCCGAGCCAGGAAGAGCCCGAGTTCATCGAGTGGGGCTTTGCAGGTCTCGCTCGCGAAGCGTCACGCCGCAGCCTCGGCGGAAGCGGTCCGCCTTCGTTGGCCACTACGCCCAACAGCACAGACCACAAGGGTCTGGCAGCCTACATGGAGGCCGAGCAGGACGAGGAAGACGACGGCTCCGGCATGGCCTGGGTGCGTCGCCGCCGACGCGAGAGGGAAGCACGCGCTCGCAAGGAGCGTGAAGACGCCGAAAGGGCGGCCGCAGAAGTTCAACACTCCGCCGTATCCGCTGCCGTTCCGCCTTCCGAGACGTCGGCCGGAGAGGTCGATCATGCTGACGCGAGCTTGGTCTCTTCGGACGTAGCTCCCGCGCCCGAGCTTGACCCTGCCGTGACTCCACCTGTAACGGCGACTGTCGAAGTCGCGGCGCCAACAGAGTCAGCCCAGCAGGAGGTCTCGGCAGTTGCCGACGAGCCAATGCCGCTGTCCATCAACACAAAGCTCGCCACCACAGAGCGGCCCACGTCCCAAGCGCTTCTTCCCGCAAGCGATCAGTCCCACGCCACGGGCAGTACGTTCGACGACGCCGCCCACTTTGTCGCCTCGCCCACCTCCGAGGAACCGCCCGTCGGCCTCGAATCGTCGGTGCTGTCGGAAGCGTCCAACGCGGATTCGGCCATGACACGAAGCCAGACTCTCAGCAAGCCTGCGCGCGGTCCAGCAGCAACGGGTGCGATGGCTGGAGACGTCACTCCTCGCCAGAACACCGGCCTGGGCCTCACCGCTGACAAGGCCGAGGAGATCCGACGGAGGCACGAAGACGAGGTGGCTGCGCTCGGAGCCGAGGTGCTCGCCCAGACGCGACGCAACAACCAGCGTCGCCAAGCAAGCGCTTCGGCAGGTCGCGGCGTCGCATCGCCCAACCTCGGTGGTGAGGACTCGTCTGCGGAGCGAGAGCACGCGACACCAGCCAAGAGCACCAACCGAATCAGCCAGCCTTCCATGGCAGCGGCCCCGGCAATGACCGGCTCCGCCTCGCTGTCCAAGTCGGCCTCGCGCGATGCCGCGTACGAGAAGAAGTCGATCTCGCGTGCTGTGGGCTCCATCATGCGCAAGGCCACCACGGACAGCGACAAGACGGTGCGCACGCAGCAGGGACACGCCTCGCTCAACGCCTCGGCTGACGAGTCCTGGAAGAGGCACGATAGGGCCGCTTCTTCTCCCGCTCCCGCACACGCCGCCGAGCGCGTGCATTACCGAGAATCCAGCGCAGCCGCTGCCGCTGTCACTTCTCCGACCACGCTCGACGGCGCAGCCCCGCGCGTGTCGATCGGTCGCAGCGCATCGCCAGAGAGCACGCTGTCTCGCCAGTCTTCGGCCGTCGGATACGCAGCGTCGACCGCGAGCAAGTCGGCGTCGTCGCTTCACGGACCTGGCGGCTCGACGCACGCGAGCTCGCCCATGTCGACCAAGCGCATGACGCTGGATCCTTCGGTGAGCACGCCGGTGCCTTCGCCGTGGCTGCCGCGTCGACCGGACGCGCGCGGCGTGTCGGTGGTGCCGCTTCCGCAGCTTGGCGTGCGTCCCGAACGGCCGCGCGAAGGACGCGTGTGGCAGTCGGACGACAGCGATGCCGACGATGTGGTCAAGGTGGGCGCAGCCGAGGGCGAGGAAGAGGAAGAGGAGGAGGACGAGGAGGAAGAGGAAGAGGGCTCGGATCTGGATGCCGAGGAGCTGCTCGAGGAAGAGCGCAAGACGGCCATGCAGAAGAAGCGTGCGACGACGCGCGCGGCGGGCCAGGAGGTGGTGCACGCACGCATGGGCAAGAAGGCGTCTTCGCGCGCGCTGTCGGATCTGACGGCGTCGTACGACGACATGGCGCTGTCGACGTCGTCGCGCCAGCGCAGGAGCCGACCGGCGCGACGCAGCAGCCTGGATCCGCGGCTGACGACCAACGCGTCGCGCTCCCCGGCAGCGCCGCGCAAAGCGCCGCCGAAGCTGGTGCGCACGCATCGATCGAGCTCGTCGATGCGCTCTGCGGGCGACGACGAAGCGGACGAGGAGGAGGACAACCTGTGGCCCGCAGCGTCGGCGACGAGCAAGTCGGGCACGCCGCGTCCGCGCCACATCCTCGTCAACCTGCCCGGTGGACCGGGCATCTGGGACAGCAAGACGGGCGGCGGACGCAATGCTGTGGCGGCGATCAACACGGTCGCTGCGGCGCGTGCCAAGGCGATCAAGAAGCGCGCCAAGGACCCGCGCACGTCGTTTGAGCTGCCGCCCAACTGGGACGACGAGATGATGGACTATGGCTGGCCACGCAGTCTCAAGGGCTCGCTGTACTGATTTACTGATTCACTGCTTCACCGGGGGCGGTCCTGGCTTTTGTTCTCCCTAATATTGTTATGGGCATTCCATCCGATATATCCTCATTGCTCAGGGCAGACTGTGGGTGCTGTGTGGAAGCGCCAAGAAGTGGGATGAGGAGAGCAGCATATCGAGTGGGGCTCACGATAAAAATGCGGAGATCTCTGCGAGAAAATGAATCGGAAATCGAAAGGCTCGAAAAATAATGCATAAATTCGAGACTTTTGCCGGCATTTCCACGGCGTTGGAGCCGAAGCTCGTTTTGGGCTTCCTTACGCATCCATAGCATCTCGCAACCATCTTTCTTACCTGCATCTGCATCCAACGACGACGCCGCCAACTTCGACGCGCACGACTACAAACGACATGACTTACTGACCAATCTGCGCATTCTTGCGGCGCTTCGAAGTCCCACCACGCTCAGCAAAACAACGACTGGGATTGGACTTTGGAACCCACCTAGTCTCCACTGGACCCGGTGGATCGGGACTGCGCAGAGCATACACCACCGCCTGCATCCGGTGAGTCGTGGGGGGGGGCTAAAGAATGTTGCAGCACAAGTTATCGCTGGCGACAACACGGTCGTCCAACTCGTCTTCGTCGTACAATGCCGCGATGCTAGCGAAGAAGGAGCGACGTATCCCCATCTACGTGCGGATTGTGCCCAAGGACATCTGGCTTCGGATGCACGTCAGTCCGAGCCAGACGGTGGGTTGGATCAAGGATGCGGCGCTGCGCAAGGTGAATGCGCCCGAAGTGGATCCTTCGCTCTCGTACCGCTTCTACCAGGATGCACTCAACGCGGCGTCGCAAGCCAAGCTTGCGCCCGTCGCCAGCCACGACCGCGTAGTCAAGCACCGCACATACGCCCTGCCCCGCACCTTTGTTGCTCCTCCACCCGAGCTGGGCGATCCAAATGCGGGTGTCGTGGCTGCCCTTGCAAAGGGGGCAAGGGCAAGAAGAACACCTCTTCCACCAGTTCAATCGAGACGTGGGGACGACTCGACAATAGCGACTTCGCCATCGACGTCCGAGCTGGGAGGTGGCCGCACGGGGGCGTCGGAAACATCGCATTCGCAGACGAGCGAGGAGGAATGGGCGATCCGTCTCGACCCCTCGCTCATCACGGGCGATCGAGACGCCAAGCTCGAGGAACAACTCGCCAGTCTGCGTCTGGCGCAGTGGACCGCCAGTCGCACCGAGCGATCCCCCCTGGACAGCCTTAACAGTACACCCACCATCGCATCCAGCAGTCAGTTCGGCACCGACCCGGGCAGTTCACCTTGGCTAGGAAGCCAGTGCACGGACGAGCGGTCGCAGGGGAGCAGTGGAGCGGCGGGACTGTACACGCAGGCGGGTGCGGCCGAGTCGTTCGACTCGCTCGCATCGGTCGGGTCGGACGAGGAGACGGAGCTGGTGACGACCGCCGACGACGAGGCGTCGGTCATGCAGTGGGGCACGCAGGCCGAGGCATCGCCACTATCGAGCCCGCGTGGACCGCAGCCGAGTTTGAGCGAGCAGTCGCCCACGCGGCCACGCAGTCGCACAGTGACAGCCGCCGACGTGTTGCGTTCGCGGGCCTCGGGCGAATCGCCTCCGCCAATGCCCGAAGCCGTCTCTTCGCCCACACGCAACTCGTCGCTGCCCAAGACGCTGCCGCGCCGCATGGTGGCCGAGACGAGCCAGCGACGCGCCGTACACACGGATCTGCTCGAACTGCTCAAGGGCTCTGCTGACGACGTCGAACCGCAGCCGCGCCGCACGCAGCCAGACAAAGGCATGGTGCGACGCACCTCGAGCAGTGGCTCTGCGTCCATGGCGGGGGAGAGCGGCACATGGACCTCGCCCACGCCGTCTGCCACCGGCGAGAGCCGCTTCGTGGCCGGGCTGAGGTGGGACGAGATCTCGCGCCCCGGCAAGGAGGTGTCTCATCCGCTATCGCACAAGCTCACGCTTCTCTCGTGTGCGAACGGATGCGAGATGGAAGAGTGGAAGACGGTCCAATCGTACGCCATCCGTCCATACGAGCTGCTCGAGATGCAGTGGGCCATCCCTACCGAACGCGTCTACATCCCGCCTCTGCATCCGCATGATCTTGTCCGCCCCCCACGCAGCACGGGCAAGGAGCCGCACAAACCCTGGCGCACCGCCACCGATGCCGGTCCGGACGTGGACGCGGCGTGTCTCGACCCGTACTTCGAGGGGTGGGTGTACGTGCTCAAGGGCGGCGGAGTGGCGGGCAAGGAGAAAGCGCGCGCCAAGGTGGGCAAGTGGAAGCTGCACTGGCTCACCATCAAGGGTTGGCGGCTGGATCTGTACCGAAAGAAACCTCGCGCAGGTGAAGCGATGCTTCCCGTAGCGGACCAAGCGTGGCCGTTGCGTTCGGTCGAGTGGGTTCTGGAAAGCGACACACCCATCCCGCCGAACGCGGCACTGCCTGCACTCGACACCATACCGCCCTCGAGTCTCTCGCTGTGCTTCACCTCGACACCTGCAGCTAGTGGGGCAGCAGGCGAAGGGGGATTGTTGACGCTGCGGAGTCTATCGCGCTTTGACCACAAGGCGCTCTCGACGCTGCTGATGCGCGCGTGGTACCGCGCTGCCACGACCTGGCCGGGCGTGGACATGTGGCGACGCAAGGCGATCTTTCGCGCCGTCGTCGCCGGGCGTGGCGGTACCGTTGCCCCCGGGCGTGCTGGGAGAGGGAGGGGGAGGAACGCCAAGGCGCGCACACGACTTCGACCGTCTGGATGGCCGCGGGAGTGGGAAGACGCCGACGTGTGGTCGAGCGACTCGGAGCGCGAGCAGGTCGAAGTGCCACTCGAGCTCGAAGAGGCGGTTCAGCAGCGCCGCGACACGATCACGCAGCTAGCGGTGGAAAAGGCATCGCGCCGAAAGAAGGATGACGACAAGGTGGTTGTTCCCAACGGACTGTACGCTGCGCTGCTCGGACGGACCACAGCGGCTTCGGCTGCAGAAGAGACGGCGCGCGATTCGTCGCCGTACCATCAGGGCAGTGGACACGGCCATGCGAGCAGGCTGGCGAGTCGAACGAGCGCCACTCGTGTTGCGTACGCCGAGCCGGGACTCATGCTTGGCAACCAAGTTGATCGTCAGCCCGGCGCACGGCGTGGCGCGGCACGCGGGGATGGGTCTGGCGATACTGCGATGCGTCGCCAACGCAGTGGCTCGCTCACACGGTCGGCTTCCGGCGGCGATGTGAGTGCAGCGAGGTCGCGCTCGCTCACCGTCTCCAGCCCCAGCGGCGCAGGTGCGACACGCGGCCGCAGCAACGACTCGTCGGCCCCAGGCAGCCGCAACGTCTCACCTCTACCGGGAAGAAGATCGGGCGCCAGCACGCCACGCGAGAACGCGGCACTGTATCCAATGTCGCCTGCCATCGCACCGGGCTTTGTCGACGTGCCTCCTCCTGCATCGCTGCTGCTGCTGAAAAAGTACAAGGCGAGCCAAGCGTCCAAGCCCCAACCTTAGTTGCCAGCATGCAATGCCCCAATGTCGTCGCTTGTTAGAGCCTGCGTTTGGTGAGCCGATGGTGTTGGTTTCAAAGTGGGGATTTTGGGGGTTTTTTTTTTGGAAAGATGCGCGAGGCATGCAGAAGAGCGCGTCGGAAAAGCGCCGTCTTTTGGTCAAAGTGCCCGGGAGCGGAGGATTTGGCGCTGCACCCTGAAGTCGACGCTGATGCGAGTCGATGGCTGTTGGGTGGGCGAAATGTGCGGTGCTGTGCTGGCGGGGCGCGAGAGGTGCAGCCCATCGGAATGAGGCTCTCGAAATCCCCCCTCTCTGCGCCCAGCAGGCGCGCGCTGCTCCTATTCCCCACCCCCTCAACCATCCTCCACCATCTCAACCTTTGCCAACATCGCATCGTTAGCCATGGCGTATCACTATACTTCGGCAGCGGATGCGTACAGCACCAATGCTTCGGCCACAGATTCGCCGTTCGACTACCCCGTTCGCGCGTCGCTCGAGTCTCCCTCACTGCCCATCGCCGGGTCGGGCACCTACGATGCGCGACCAGCCAATTCGAACGGCTACGCGCGTGCACCGGACAACGACCACCACGATGACGACGACGACGAGGACGAGGACTGGAATGTGTACGACGACTTTAACATGACGCGGCCCATGCCTCAGCGCACCTCGACCTCGGGGCTCGCGTCGCAGTCCGATGCATATTGGGATGCCAGCAAAGCCTCGCTCATCGACACGCCGTATGCCGACACCCCGGGCAACCGCAAGTCGCTCCTACCCTCCGAGGCGTTTGGATTCGATGTGAGAAACGCCGACCCGCGTCGCTCGATGATCGCCAGCACGGCTCCGAACCGCATGTCGACCTTCTCGGCCGGTGGCGCGCCGAATGCGATCAGCGGCGTCGGACCGCAACACGCCGATTCGACGGGCATCGAACTCATCACCGTCCCCGCACTCGGCAACGAATACACCAAGGAGGAACTGCGCGACATGACGCGATCCTCCAAGCGCCGCCGCAAACGCACCGCCCGCACAAAGCGTTGCTCCCTCTGGGTGTCGGGTCAAGACCATCTCTGGGGCTGGCTCAGTCCACGCGTAGCCGTATTCCTCGCATTCTTCATCCTCGCCTCCCTCGGTGTCCTACTCTACTTTGTCATTCCTCGCGTACCCACCTTTGCCATCCTCACCACCAACCCCGTGGTGGCGATTCCGAACGGTGCGAGCATGCAAGTCAACCGCAGCCCGACGAACTTCAGCATGGATATGGGCTTCAACCTGCGCGCGTCGAATCGCGGCGGGTGGATCGCATCCCACGCGCGCGACATCAAGATGCAGGTCACCGACCTCAACACCTACCGCACCGTCGGCAAGGGCCAACTCGACAACCTCTCGTTCAAGGCTCGTGGCAATACGCTGTTTCAAATGCCGGTCCACTTTAGCTACGTCAGTATCAATACCACGGGCGACCAGACCTGGCAGGACTTTTACACCGCCTGCGGGCCGAATATCCAGGGCCAGTCGAGGCCTACGCTCAACTTGGCCATTCAGTTGAGCATGGATATTGCAGGCTTGATTGGGAGGAAGGCGACCAATACGCAGATCAACAATGTCGCCTGTCCCTTTACGCTCCAGTCGTATCAGTAGCCCGCGCTCCCTCTCTCGCTCTCTCTCTCTCTTTGTTTTTTCTTTTTGCACGGACAATTTTGCATTTACTTCTATCCACACGCTGGGTGTGTGCGGTTGGATGGTGTTGTTGGAGCGGCCATGCGTCGGGCGACTTTTGGATGGAGCTCGTGGATGAACTGGTCAAGGTGGCTTGATTGTCAGCGGACAGTTGGACCGTATTCTAGCCAGGCGCGTTGCTCGTATGGCTGCACTTCGGGGGGAGGGCTTTGTGCATTTGATCGAGTAAGAGTGGACCGTGTGTGGTTTCGATCCGCGTGTCGACGCCAATCTGTGTAGGTTGACGCGGGGAGCGAGGTGGACGATGTCCAAGTGAGCCGAGTATTCGCTGAGCGAGCTGGTCGCCAGGGGGTTAGACGAGGTCAAAACGCCAAACCCTCGGTTGCCGTCCTCGAGCATCAGGGCAGCCTGTCGGTGCAGCTCAAGGCTCTCGTCACCAACCGCATCGCCGCAATGTTCGGGTCGAATCTGCCAAAGTACGCGCCGTCCACCTCGCATTCCGTCCCATTCATCACGCCGCAATCAGCTCATCTCCAACCACACCCTTGGTCGGCATCACACGAAAACAGCTGACCACCAAACTACGGTTCGCGCGCGCCTCGGTGAGTGCAGTGTACTTGTTAGATGGCGTCCTTGAGCGCCCAGACGTCGCTCGCCTTTTGCGCGAGCTCCTGATTGCTCTGCTTGGTCAAATGGGCCAGCTCCCACAGCACCGTCTGACCGCTCTCCAACACGCCCGTACTTGCCAAATTGGCTCCCTCTGCATTGTACGTTCCGTTCCTGCTCTGGTCGTCCAGATCGAGCAATGCCGCATTGGCCGTGTTCTTGGCGATCAAATGCCCCACAATGCCCAACGTCTTCTTCGCCGTCTGCGCTGGCATTTGCAGCGCTACGATCGACAACCTCTTGGCAAAAGCCGCCTGCACATGTTGATCCGAGGCAGACCTGACCAAGATCGAGTAGATAGTGTCGAGGGCAAGGTCGGTGGCATCGCCCGAGGTGAAGGGGAGGAAGAAAAGCACGTAGTACAGGTGCGATAGCATGTCCGTCAGATCCAGGTTGAGAATCGTACCCTGCGCCTGGTTGAGGAACAGATCAAAGGTGGTTTTGAGCGCCACGATGATCTGCCGAATCACCCTCGTCAGGACCGATTGATCCAACAAGATGTTTTCGTCGTCCGAGTCCGAGTCCGAGTCATCGTTGGTGGTGGTGAGAAGAGCAGCATTCGTAGCCACGTGCACCTTGAGCACCTTGAGCAGGTCGCGGAAAAAGTCCACGTTGACTCGGTGAGCATACATGCTCAACCCCCTCATGCCACTCTCCAACACCCCCGCCGCCACACTGCCCACCGGCGCCTTGAGCAGCGTAAAGTACAACACAAACACCAGCTTGAGTGTTTCGGTCTGGTTCCTCTCCCGCAACTCCAGATCCACGGTAGCTTCGGCCTCCTTCATCTCGTCCTCGATCGCGCGCAGCTCCTTCTGCTTCTTGACCTGCTTCTTGCTCAGATGCACCGCTGCACCCTTGCGCACCTCGCGCGCCTTGGCTTTCCCGCCCTTGCCCCTCTTTTCGCGCGCCTTCATCGCCGCCCTCCTCTCCTCGGCCTCCTTAAACGCCCTCGCCGCATCCTTCTCCGGATCCGTCGCATTCGTCGTACTACTCCTCTTACTTCCCAACTCGTCGCGAAGTCGCAAATGGAGCAGCACGTCGAGCACGCGCGAGTTGACCTTGAATCGTCGCTCCTTGGTCATGCGATGGATCAACCGCACCACCTCGAGCGAGACCTCGCCCGTCAAGTCGCCCAGTACCACCGTCTTGATCGCCTCGTAACAGGCCACCTCCTCCTCGCCCCACTGTCGTCTGGACATGCGCGCCACTACCACGCCCAAGATGTTCTGGCGAAAGTTAAAGTGCACCGCCCTCACCGCCAGCGTGCTGAAAACCCGAATCGCCGCTCCCTCCAACTTGCCCACGCCCGGCTTGATCTTGTCTTCAGGGCCGGCGTTGGCGGCCTTGAGTTCGGCTTCGCACAGCTCGAGGAAATCGCGATAGACCGCCACCAGCCCCGCCTCGTACTCTCGACGCCGCGCAATCTCCTGACCCACTTTATCGTCCTGCTCCTTCTCGGTGAGGCTGCGAATGCGGTACCCCGGCAGGATATCCACAAACACGGCGAGCAGCGATACCATAGCCAGCTGGCGGATCGCAGGTGGCACCTCGATCTTGACGGGGCGCGCGGTGGATCTATCGCCGGCGGCTCTGGCTGCTGCCTGCTCGGCACGGATCTCGGGGATCTTTTCCGGAGGCGCCGAGATGGTGGCTCCCGCAAACACGGCCAACCGCCTGAGCAGGCCGAGATTCACTTCGGGGTCGGCGATGATCTGGGACGCGAGCGATGCGATCTGGTTGCGCGCGAGCAGCAGCGTGTGTTTGTGCGCTGCGGCCACGGCGGCGCGGTGGGCGGATGCGGCTTTGCGCGACGCCGGTGCGGGCGGCAGCCGACACGCATGCGAGGCAAGCAGGATCTCGTACGGCGCCGTCAAGTTGAAGCGCGCCGAGTGCGTGATGGACGAATGCACCACCGGTGTCGATGTCGACGGCGCGGCTTCTTCGTCTGGCGGGCTGGCAGCTCGGGGGATGGGCGCATGCACCGCACGGCTCTTCTGCGCCCGTTCGTCGTCCGACTCGGACTCGACGTCCGAGCCAAGCCCCTCTGGCTCCGAATCCTGCCTGTCTTGAGGTTCCGAGTCGGAGTCGTCGCTGAGGTCGCCGTCGAGCTTGCGCACGGGCAGCTTGGCATTGACGCGCAGCTTGCGCTCCTGTTCGCGCTCGTGCTGCTCGCGCTGCTTGCGCTTCCCCAGCCGCGCCATATACGCCGCCTCGGCATCCTCATCTGCCTCGTGCGACTTGGTCGGACGCTTAGGCGCTTCGTCCTCGGATACGATCTCCTCGCCCTCGGAGACGTCGCTGTATTCCTGGTAGTTCTTCTTCTCCACCACCTTTTCCGGCTCGTCTTCGCTGTCGTCCATCAGGTCCGAATCAAACTCCTCGTCGTCGTCGTCGGAAGGTGGCTGTGTGAGGCGTGCCTTCTTCTCGGCGGTGACACGCCTACGCTCATCGTCGAATGCCTTGCGATCCGAACGCTTGAGCTCCTTTGCTTTCTGCTTTGCGTCCTTCTGCGACACATTGATCGCCTTGTTGCTATCCAGTCCTTGGAGGAAGGCCAAGTTGGACGCCGAAACCGTCTTGACGTCGACGTCGTCGTCGCTGGCCACATCCGACGCCTCGTCCGACTCGGGCTCGTACTCGACCGCGCCCTTGCCCTTGGTTTTACCGTTGGTCTGTTGGACTGCTGGCGGTGCATCGTCGTCGGACTCGTCGTCGGATCGGCGGATGTACATGTCGAGCTGCTGGGCGAGCTTGGGTGCGCGTGCTGCGCTGGGCCGCGAGTGCCTGGTAGACTTGTTGGCGGCGCTGCTGGACGCAGCCGCTTTTCGCTTGACAGCCGGCATGGTTGCGTGTGTGCCTGGCTGTGTGAGATGCGATGATGGCGGTGCGGCAAGAAAGTGTAGGAAAGTGGACCCTGGTCGTGTGGTGCTGCGCCCAGAGAAGAAAAAAAGCAGAAGAGTGTTGCTCTGGCTGGATTTTTTTCTGAGAAAAGAAAAAAGTGCGAATGGAGGCGGTGTCATGCTTATGTCACGGTGTGGACCCTGGCGCAGCCAACCCATCGAGAGAGCAACAAAGCAACACAGCAACACTTACTGCTCAGCAACGACCATCCACACACACGGTAGCACACGGTAGAGCATTGCGATCGGGATGAAGGTGGCCGTGGTGCAGTTTACGTCGCTGCTGACGTGGTGGTGGCTGCCGTCGTTCGGGTCGCAGCTGTTGCTCAACGCGTGCTACTCGCTGCACCTCGTCACACCTCCCGCGGCGGATGCGCACCAACGCCGGAACAACCACGCACAACTCGCACGCACCGCAGTCATCGTTGGCACGCTCGTGTACCAGCTCGTCAACGCGGCGCTTTCTGCACAACCGAACTACTACCAGCTGCTTGGACTGCCGCTGGACGTGGACGGCGAAGGAGTCAAGCGGTCGTTCCGCGCGTTGGCACGACGCTACCATCCGGACAAAGTGGGCGAGCAGGGCGAAGCGATCTTCATCGTACTGCGCAAGGCGCACGATGCGCTGTCGGACCCAGTGAAGCGATTCGCATACGACCGGTTCGGCGCCGAGGTGGTGGAGTGGAAGGACTGCGAGTCGGCGCGCGACTACATGCGACGGGGCCTGCTGGGGATGGTGGGATTCTACACGATCAATCCTGCGATGTACGCCCTGTTCGGGTGGATCAACGGTGGTGGGGACGGGATGAGCTTCTGGCGGCTGGCGTGTCTGTTCGGACTGCTTGCTGCGGAGCTGTGCATGCTGGTGGCACCCGAGTATCCGACGTGGCTGGCGATCGGACTGCCCAACACGACGATCCACGGCGCAAGGGTGCTGGCGCACACGCTGTTTGTCAACTTTTTCTTTGCGTCGATGCAGCTCGGTGCGGCGCTGGACGTGCTCGAGTACGGCGAGCGCGGTGCGCCTGCGCGGGGCAAGGCACGAAAGGCGCAACGCGCGCAGGCCGAGATGGAGGCGGTGCGCGTGCGGACGCAGACACTGCAGCAAGCGAGCGAGCTGATCTGCAAGACGGCGCTGCACAACTTTGCGCACGAGGTGCAGCCGTTTGCTCCGGCAAGAACGACGACGGGCAAGGAAGGGCCGAGGCAGATGAGCGCAGAGGAGGAGCAGCTGTTTGCGAGCATCAGCCAGGTGCTGTTGAGCCGCAGCTTGGTGCAGCAGAATCCGCAGCTGGCTCAGCTGGCGGAGCAGGCGCCGATCAAGAAGGAAGAGCCGCACGAGAAGGAGGTCGAATCGGAAGCGATCGGGCCTGAAGAAAAGTCAGCCAAAGGATCGGAGGATGCCGATGCGATACGCACCAAGCAAGAGCCCAGCTCGCCCGTGCTGGCACCAGCAGCGGTTGGAGAAGCGACAGTCAAGGTCGAGGCGGTGGATGCCTTGCGCGCCGAAGCCATCAAAGAGGAAGCCGAGGAGCCGCCTGCTGTTGTCGACGAGCCAACAAAGCCAGAGCCGACGCAGGCTACATTAGCGAGCGAGTAATTACTCACATCGAGCTGTCAATCCATCATGCCGAGTCGGGAGTGTTGGTGTTGTGTCGTTGGATCATGGATGGGGAGTGAAGACTGTTAGGTTTGTGGTCCGGTGGCGCCTTCGACCGGGGCTGCAAGGAGGTTTCGCATCGGAAAGCGCCGTTGATACCCGATGCGATCCCAGCCGGCCCCGAAGTTTTCCCAGGTCGGGACGCAGAGACCTTGGAAGCGAGGCTGATTGCAACTCCGCCTGCACCGAGCCGACGCCTACTTTTTCGCCCAGACGATCCGCGACACACCACCGAGCGATTCATACTCGGCTAGCGCGGACATTTGAGACCGGGGCATGTCAGCCACGACCCCACGCCAAGAACGAGCTGGAACCATGCCAAACACCCAGCACTTTCAGTTGCGATGGATGAGAGGGATGGACGGATGAATTCTAGCAAGGACGACGAGGCTGGGTCGCGTGCCTGCATATTGGAGGTGCAGCTGCTGCCGCCGTAGGCGAAGGGCATGAGCGCTCGGCACGGCGTCTGCTCTGGCGGCGCTCCCCCCTTGCTTGCACGCGCGCTGCCACGCCAGAGCATCAGAGCATCGCGAGTGGATTGACTGGATCGGGGGGCCGCGCTCGAGCCGACGAAATTGCACGAAATGCAACAACTCATTCGGTAGATCAGCTGCCTGAACTAATTTATGCAGTCCAGCCAGCCAACTCCAAGCTGGCAGCTCTCTCTTCATCCGCCTCAATTTTCGAACAAAAAAAATAAATATTCGCAGAAAGTAGAGAAAAAAAAACCCGCGCGAGAGAGAGAGAGAATTTGACCGGGCCAAAGATGACTGAGAGAGAGAGGGAGAGAGAGAGAGAAAGGCCGAGTGGGAGCGGAGCGCGGCTCGGCTGCTCTCCTGTCTCGGCCTGGAGCGACGAGGCGACTGTGGTTTGGCGCTGCTGGGCCTCGACGATCAACTCGTCCTCACACTCGCACCACCCCCAAACGACCACCACCACCACCACCCTTCCACACCTCCAATCGCGTGGCTGGATTATTCGACACCATGAGCGCCGCCGTCATGGCCGCGCTGCCACCGCTCGCAAGGGTGTGGCATCAGGACGACCCGTCGGTGCGCGTCATCCAGGCCGACAACACCACCGACCCCAACGCCACCTTCCAGCGCGAGAGCGTAGGCACCACCGGCAACATCGTCGACATGGTCATCTGCTGTCTGTCGTTCGTCGGCGCCATCGCCATCATCTTGCCCTACGTCCTCAACCGTCGCAGCCGCAAGCTCCGTCACGCTCTCATCCTTGGGCTCGCCACCTCCGACCTCGCCACCTCGGTCGTCATCATCATCACCACCGCCTGCCTCATCGCCAACATCAACCTCGTACAGCACCACCAGCCCTGCACTTTCCTCGGCTACGTCTTGGTCAGTTCCATCTTTTCGCAGCATCTCTGGAATCTGTCCATCGCCATCGTCACCTACATGATCCTCGTACATCCGCTCTCCAACTTTACGCTCACCGTCGAGAAGCGCGTGCGCTGGCTGTGGCCCATCTTTTGGCTGCTCTCGTTCGCCATCAATGCGATCCCCTTTGCGCTGGGCGGATTCGGGTTTCGCGGCGGCTACTGCGCCTTCACTACGCCCTTCCTCTTCACCTCGCTCTTTCAGTTCATCCCGCGCGCGGTGGTGTTCGTCGTGATCCTCTGCCTCTACACCCACCTCTTCTTCTTCCTACGCCGCACCAACCTCTTCTCCAGAGCCAACCACTCCAACTCGCTCAGCCGCAGCAGACAGCCTTCCGCCAACCCGCAATCCCACCCGCAGCTCAACGCCACCGCCGCACATCAACAGCCTTTGCTTGTTGCACCACCAGCACCACACGAACACGCCTCCTCGGCTCCCTCTTCGTCCGCAGAGCACAGCACAAAGACCTCCGACGCAAGCAGGATCGCGCCGCCCGTGCTCGGCAAGAACGACCCCACCCTCGCTCGCAGGCGCTCCTCGTCGCTCGGCGAAAAGGACGCAAGCGTAGAGATGACCACGCTCGATCCAGCCTCGCGTCGACGCAACCACTCCTACGCCGACGTCTACTCGAACGATGACGAGGCCGACACCTCGCTTTCGGGTCTGCTCTCTTACTCGGGCCCACGTGGCGTGATGGACCCGAACTACACGATGGCGTCGCCGCGCACACGCACGCCTGCGCAGCTCGACATTGAAAAGGCGAATGCGCCGCACTACGACGCATCCTCCATCACCGCCCACTCGCCCTCCAACGCCTCGTCTGCCGGTGCGGCGGCGTCCGCCTCGCTCTCGGCCAAGGGATCCAGTGCGCCGCTCAACGCCTCTTTCCCGCGTGGCTCGGACGATGCACAGCGCCCTACCGCGTCTCGGCGACCCGTCACTGCAGGTGCCACTGGCGCCGAGAAGCGAGAGGCGAGTACGGCACGACGCGCGTCTGCAGGCGATTCGCGCTACGCCACCGCGCGCGATACGGACGTCGAGAGCGTGGATAGCGACGAGGGCGCGCGGCGCATGCGTCCACGCAAAGACGCGGGCGACTTTGACATGATGACGCCGCCGGTGGAGCATCTGAAGCACTACACTGCGCCCGTGCGCAGCTGCCGCATGGCCGACATCCTCGCCATGGGCGACGACGAGATGGCGCGTGCACGCACCGGGCTCGCCTCCGAACGCCGCAGCAGCGCCGTCCAAATCCTTCCCGGCGAAATCGTCGTCGAAATGCCCAGCAAGGAAGCCTTTGAAGAGTCCCTCGGCGACGACTGGAATTGGGGTATGGATGTCACCACCAAGAACGAGCACTCGCGGCCATCACGAAGACCTCGCGACGATACAGGCCTGCACACCGGAACATCCTCGACATCATCGCAGGATGAAAACGGCGTCGAGTCGATCGGGTCTACACTCAACCGACAGGCATCGTTGCTGTTGCTGCTCTACCCCGCCGCGTACTGTCTGTTGTTCTCCATTTCGATAGCGAGGTTGGCGGTGGATCTGGCGGATCCAGCTGCGTCGGTACGAAATGCCCACGACTGGCTACACCAACTCTCGCGCTGGCTCATCTTTGCACAGGGCGCCATCGACGCGATCATCTTCCAGTTCATCGAGCGCCAGTTCCGACAGCGCATGAAGCGTCGTCGACGCAAAGCCATGGGCGAACCCATCAACGACAGCTTCTCCCACCGTGTCGGCAAACTCGCCGTCGCCCAAGTCAAACGCAGCCTTCACAGAGGTTCCCAAACCACCCACGCCTGATATCACTAGATTTCTTATGTATTTGTACCAAATGTCACTCTTGGAATTCGGCTAGAATCGCTTGAGTTTGGTGGAAGGATGAGGGGCCAAGAAGCCAAGCAGGCCGATGGCACCAAAGACGACCAGGTAGGTTCCTACCGATCCGGCAATCGCACCCGTCCATCCAACGGTACGCATGTTGTGGCGCGCCCACTCTTCGGCCCTCTCGCCCAGCGCTGCAAAGTACTCGCCCAACCGAGTCGAACTGCTCGTGGTCAGCCCCAAATTCGCCGCGATCTTGTCCCAGCTTTCGCCCAACACGCGTGCGGGGATATCGTTGATCCTTGCCTGCGTTCCAAGCCCCGTAAACTTGGCGGCCTGCTGCAGACGCTCTCGGATCGACCTCGACGGTGGAGCCGGTGCACCGATGGGGCTCAGCGTGACGAGCAGGGTGATCCAGCCCAGAATGATGCTTGCGGTGAGGAGGGGGATGGATGTGGAGAGGCGCGAGTCGGATCGCCATTCGATGTAGTTGACCGTCTCCCCGCGTGCAGGGAGCAGAATCACATACCCAAACAACACCACCGTCGCCACCAACAGCACCACCGACAGTAGTGCCAGCTTCGCGGAATTTGAGGATAATCCTAGCGACACAGCATCCGCAAGGTGCGAGTACACCTGAAAGTACGACGTGAGGATGCCGCCGATGACGAGGTACTTGAGCTGCTTGCGCAGGTTCACGAGCGATTTGGGACCCGCGTGCGTGTCGAGCACCGTGGCGGTCGTAGAGGCCGATGAGGATGTGGCCGAGAGCGTGGGCGATAGCGGCACGCCTGCCGTGCTTGGATTGGACGACATGTTGAAGATGATGGTGGTGGTGTGCGATAGACCGGGCTCGGATGCATTCCAGCGCCGATCCCAACGCGACGTCCACACGTGCCGCCCATCACCCGGGATCGGCGATAACAGTCCGCAATCGCCGATTCGCACCGGCAGTGCAACCGGCAAGAAGAGCAGCGCAATCACACCATTTCTTGGATTTCTTGCCGCAAAAACGTGCGTCGCCCCGCACCGAGTCATCCTTGCTTCCCCCCCACCACCATCCTGTCGCCCACCGCACACCATGGCGCACAACGACCACCTGCTGCCGCGTCCACGCGAGATCCCCGGTCCAACCTCGCCACAGTCCAGCCTGCTCGCCGGTCGACAGCGCTACCTCCTCTTCCCGCGCTTCACTCTCGAGTCCGGCATCACCCTCACCAACGTCCCTGTTGCGTTTAAGACGTGGGGCCGGCTGGCGGATACGCGCGACAACGCGCTCGTCGTCTGCCATGCTCTCACGGGGTCTGCCGATGTAGAGGACTGGTGGGGCCCGCTGCTGGGTGTCGACAAGGTGTTCGACTACTCGCGCTTCTTTGTGGTGTGTTGCAATGTGCTCGGCAGCCCGTACGGGTCCGCATCGTCGTGTACGCAGGCGGGCGGCGAATCGTCCTGGGCCAAAGACGGCGACGATACCGCGGCCGATGCAATCATGCAGGCCAAGATGCAGTGGGACGGACAAGGGTGGTGGGGGCCCGAATTCCCCGCCACAACCGTGCGCGACGACGTGCGCATCCAGAAGCTCGTGCTCGAGTTCCTGGGGGTAGAGAGCGTTGCAGCGGTGGTGGGTGGTTCGATGGGCGGGATGGCGGTGCTCGAGTGGCCGCTCGTCTTTCCCACGCGCTGGCCGGGTCGCACGGACTCGACTTCGCGATACATCCAGGCGATCGTGCCGCTCGCCACGTCGGCACGCCATTCGGCATGGTGCATCTCGTGGGCCGAAGCCCAGCGCCAGTCGATCTACTCGGACCCGCTGTTCAAGCACGGCTACTACCTGCCCGCCGAGCCGCCGCGCAACGGGCTCTCGGCCGCACGCATGGCAGCGCTCCTCACCTACCGCTCGCGCGACAGCTTCGAATCGCGCTTCGGCCGTCGCGTCGGCAAAGCGCTCAAGGGCGGCGGGGCCGCTCTCCCCGTCCCGGACGCACACAGCGAAGCCCAAGCCAAGACGATCGACGACCAGCGTCGACGCTCGCTTGCGCACGATGCTGCTGCCGCCCATAATGAGGGTAACCTCTCGCCGCGCGTTAAACCGTACGGCTCCAACTCGCCGCTCAACGGATACTTTGCCGGCCCCAACGGTGCCTCGCTGTCTCCCACTGCCACAACTCCTCCTGTTCCGGCGGTGCCACATCCACCCACGGAGCTCTCGGACCAGGCAGTGCACGAGCGACTGGTGGAACCGTTCTCGCCCAGCACAGCCCCTGAAATCTTCTCGGCGCAGTCGTACCTTCGCTATCAGGGCGACAAGTTCGTGCGTCGCTTCGATGCCAACTGCTACATCCACCTCACGCGCAAGATGGACTCGCACGACGTAGCGCGCCACCGCTGGGGATGGCGTGTGCTCCGCACCTCCAACACCATCACCGGCGTCGTTCTCGATTCAGGTGTTCGTCCCGAGAGCGATGAAGCGGAGGATGCGGCGCTTATGAGGGTGCTTGATGTCCTGTCCAGCCATGGGCCGGTGGAGGGCAAGGTTCAACCACCCGCAGTGTTGGTGGTGAGCATCGAGAGCGATGGACTTTTCGCGCCGCCAGAGCAGATGCTCATACACGAGCTCGTGGGCGGAAGCGAGTTTGTGAGCGTCAAGAGTTCCGATGGCCACGACGGATTCTTGCTCGAGTTCGAACAGATTAATGCCAGCGTTGGCGCTTTCCTGCGCAAGAGGTTGGAGCCGATTTACAAGAGGCCGCAGCTGGAGGTGCAGCACGAACAGCAGCACGTAAAGGAAAGCGTGTTTGGCGAGGTGGAAGACGTTACCCGCTGGTAGAACCTTGGCTATCTAGCATCCAACTGCTAAACACCCGCATGGAGTGCATTGCAACCAGATGCAGCATCCATCTGCTTCTTCGTTGCGTGCCTCCCTCGCCACGTACTCCTGGCATCCAACTGCTCCAACCCGCCGCTGACCGTGATGCCATCCCCAACAGGGCGAGGATAGCATCCAACTGCTACCTTTGCACGCTCTGCCTTTGGCAAGGCCAACAAGACTCGCATCCAACTGCTGCCATCCCCTCCTCGGGAAAGCGCACATATACCTAGCATCCAACTGCTAACCGCGCATGCCCCTGGGCATCGCTAGCATCCAACTGCTCCCCCCTTCACTTTCGGAACCCTTGATTCGCATCGCATGTATCACCAGCATCCAACTGCTTTCTCCCTCCCTCGATCACTCGCATCGCATTGTAACACTAGCATCCAACTGCTTCTCTTCCAGCATCCCAACTGCTCTCAAATTCCACACTCTCTGCATTCCTCACCTGGCCCAAACCGGCTTCCTCTCGCGGGGACGACAATTTGCATTGCGCAATCACGCCCTTGTGGCTCTCCTCCTAGCCTCCAAGATCGGACCGAGCTGAAACCTCTTCTGAGCATACACGCCGTTATTAACCAGCAGCACCTTTTGCCTCCGGTGAACCGCCAGGTCCGGGAGCAGTTTGGGCGTGATCAAAAAGTACTGGCTCGCCCGCTCCTGGCAGGTCAGCTGCACAATGTGATTGTGCGTCACCCTCTCCGCCGTCGGATCCATACCCTGGTTAATCTCATCCACCAGTGTGAAGGGCGAACGAGACAGCTGGAGCAGACTCATGATGTACATGATCGTACTCAGCGTCCTCTCGCCTCCGGACTGGTGTTGCGCAGAGAGCGGAGCGAGCTCTTCGGCGTTGCGGAACTTGACCATGATTTCCAGCTTCCACTTTTCGAAATCGACATCCTCGACAATGCGCAGCTCGCCCGCAAGTCCCATACTATCGAAAGCACGGGAGAATTGGCGAGACACTTGGCCCACAAGGCGTCGAAGCAGAGGCTCCCATTTGGCACGCAGCGAGGCGATGCGCGCAGTGGTCTGCGTCTGAAGCTCCCCCAACGCCTCGAGCTCGTCCGTCAGCGAGGCGATTTCGCGCTGCCGAGCACGGTACTGCTCGATGACCTCCGGTCGGACGCCTTCGGCCAGATCGAGCTTACTCTGCTCGGCGCGCAGTTCGGCACTGCACCGATCGGTGTCGAGCAGCTCGTCATCGTTGGGGTCCAAGCCGGCAACGAGATCGCCGGCCTCGTCGATGAGACGCTGGACGTGCGCGCGCAGGTCGGCCGCCTCGCGGCGTGCGCGCACATGCGCCGCCTGAGCTTGCTCCAACGCTGATGCTGCCTCGCGCTCTGCTTCGTGCACGTCGCGCAGCGCATTCTCGATCAGCACGCCGCACGCGTCCCACTGCCACTTGCTCAGCGAGGCCGCATGCCTGCGATCGCCCACCTTGCTCATCTGCACCACCTGCGCACACAGGTCCTGCGCCTTGTGCGCACGCCGCTGCGCCAGCGCGCGCACCTCCTTCATGAGCCGTGCGCGCTTCTCCTCGCGCGAGGGCTCGCGCTCCTTGTCCCGCAACTCGCGCCGACGCGCCTCGATGAGCGCACGCTCGCGCTGCCACTGCTTCTGCGCGCCCACCTTGTCGCGCCGCTCGCGCTGCAGCTCCTCTAGCCGCTCGTCGTACCGCGCCTTCTCCGCCTTGAGCGTCTGGTCGCTCTTGAGCAGTGCGCGTGTACTCGCCTCGAGCTGCTTCTTCTTGTCGCTCAGCTCCTGGATCTTGGTCGACAGCGTACGTTGGCGCTCGCGGTCCACCGCATCCACCAGACTGCGCGCAGGCCCAATGCGCCGCGACACGGTCTGGCGCACATCCGCACCGTAGCGCGAGACGTTGATCGTAAAGTTCTCGCCGCCCGCAATGAAGCGTCGGAACTTGCCCGAGCGCTCGATGCGCTCCACATCCACGTTGGGATTGAGCGTGATGGGCATGCGGTGCAGATGCGACTGTCGGCACAGATGCACCAGCACGTCCTCGGGCCCGTCGATCAGGTCGATCACGTACGACTCGAAGCCCACGCCCGCCAGCTGCTCGCGCGGCACATCGGGCCGCATGCTGTCGAGCGCGATGCCCTCCACCTCGGCGACGGTGATGCGCAGCCTTTGTGTGTCGATGAGCTCGCGCGTAAACGTGTCGTAGTCCTCGCGCGTCTGGCACACAAACGACTTTTGCACCACCCACGGGATGCACGACTCCACCGCCGCCGCATACCGCTGGTCCTTGAGCGCAATCTCGAGCAGCACGGGCTCGTGCACGCGCTTGCGGAAGCGGTGCTGGTTCTCGCGCAGCCACATGGTCGCACGGTACACGTGCTCGTCCGCCGACCGGATCTTCTCCAGACGCTGCTGCGGCACATTGTCGAGCTGCGCCAGCTGCTCGCGGTAGTTGTGCATGCCGCGGTCGATCGTCTGGCTCTCGACGCGCACGTCCTGCAGCTGGCGCTGCATGTCGTTGCAGCGCGTCGAGCAGTCGTCCTGCTTGGCGCGCACGGCGCGCATGGCCGCCTCCACCTCGGCCGTATCCTGCGCACCCGGCTCGTCGCCCAGACTCGCGGAGCGCTCGGCGATCTCCCTGCGCAGCTCGGCGAGGCGCCGCGTGCGGTCCTCGTCCTTGCGGTTGAGCATGCCCACCTCGGTGAGCTTGGTCTCGATCTCGCCGCCGAGCTCCTCGACGGTCTTGGCGAGGCTGCGCCGCTTCTTGTCGTCGCTGGCATACACGCTCTCGAGGCGCTCCAGCTCGAGGTTGAGCTTGGTCGTCTTTTCCTCGAGCTCGGTGCGTTTCTGGCGCACGGGCTGGCCGCGCTGCGCAATCTCGGCGAGCTGCTGGCGACGCGCATCGCGCTCCTGCTGGAGTTCCTGTACGTTGCGCTTGGTGCGGTTGTAGTCGGCCATGGCGAGCATGACTTCGAGGCGCTCGATGCGCTCCTGGATCTGCTTGCGCTCCTCGAATCGCTGGACGTCCACCTGGAGCGCCTGGTTGCGCTGTTCGAGGTGCGCCTTTTCGTCCTGCCTCTCCTTGAGCTTGGTGGCGATCTCGGCGGCCTGCTTGCCTTGCGCGCTGAGCTTGGCGTGCCAGCGCACGAGGCGCTCTCCGCCGACCGCCTTTTCGGTCTCGACGAGCCGCTTGGCGTCGGTCATCTTGGCAAACTCGTGCACCTTGTCCTGGGGCAGGAAGGAGCACAGGTTGGCCACGTCGATTTTGAACTCGGCCACCGCCTCGAGCACGGCGTTCTTGGTGGAGGCGCGGCGGTTGAGGAACCAGTCGCTCTTGTTGCTGGCGGTGGTGAGGGTGCGTTTGATGATGGGGTTGGTGTCGCCGGGCGCGGCTTGCAGCTCGATCTCGATCCAGCCTTGCGTCTCGCCGCGCTTGACGAACGAGCCGAGCTGCGAGGCGCGACCGAGCAGGGCGGGTGCGCCGCCGAGGCCGAGCGCGATGGCACAGGCGATACTGCTCTTGCCGGTGCCGTTGGGGCCGCAGATGAGGTTGAGGTAGGGCCCGACGTGGAATTCGACCGAGTCGTAGGTGAGAAAGTTGGAGAGCGCGATGCGGCGGATGGCGCCGGGCAGGTAGCCGTCTGGCGAGCGATCCTGGCGGTGATCTGCGTCGGCGGCATGTGCCGAGTCGGCAGCAGCCGAGGGTGCATCGTCTTGCTCGGCGTCCAGGGATTCTTCTTCGTCGTTGTCGGATAGCTCGTCATCTGTCTCCGGCGCTCGAGTGCCGTTGGTTTGGGACGCGCTGTGTGCATTGGCAGCGGACCGACGTGGACGCGAGGGGGAGCCGTTGGCGTTCGGTGTTAGTTCTGGCGACGTTCTTCTGCGCTTGACTGGCGAGCTGGAGCTAGGACCGTTCTGGCTGCGAGTCTGGCGTGGAGTTCGAGTCTCTGCGTCCTGCGAGGCGGATGGCGGGGATGAAGAGGGAAGAGCGTCTTGGGAAGGCGACCGCTTGATCCTCTTGCGCTGCTGCTGCTGGGGGCCCAAATCGGCCTGCGATCGCGACTGTTTCATGTTGAGATTGGTCTCCTCAGCCAGAGGATGGCGCTTCCGAGGCGAAGTGGCGGGAGAGGGCGGTGGCAATGCAGACGACCTGCGAGAAGTGACAGGCATGATGGTGGCTGCTTACGCCTGCATGGCTGCGTGTAGCTGCAGAGGGGGCAGTCCCGAGGGTAGACGCGTAAAGAAGGGACGCGGTGGAGGCGCGTAAGTCGTAGTCGCGTATGAAAAGCGGTGGTTGCCAAGGAGCGGCGTCATACCCGCACGGCTGTTGCGATGTGGAACCGAATGGCGGACGACGATGATGATGGAGTAGGAGGTGGTGGGCGGTGGGAAGAAAGGGGGCAGGCAGGCGGAAGTGCACCTGCCACGGACCTCATCACCGGCGCTTTCAGACGGTGCGGAATCAGTGGCAGCAGCGGCAGAATCAGCCACGCGCGGTGAGCAGCCGAAAAGGAAGAGCGACGCGCCCCTTCTCTTTTTGCCAGGTGTTGGACTCGACTGACCACGAGCGCGATTTCCTTCAGAGTCTATAATATTAGTATTAATAAAAAAAGGGGCCGCACGCCGCGACTCTCTCAGCGCAAGAGAAAAAGGGCTCAGCAGCAGTCTTGCTTCCACGCGCGTGGCCCAGCGAACTCAGCCTTTTTTCCTCCCCGCGCCCCACTCAAACAGACGCGTAAAGTGAGCCAAGAAGAGAGCAACACTCGTATCTGGATTGCATGGTGGACTCGGGTCCCGATGCATCATACAGGCAAGCCGGTGACGACGGATCAGTGGCCCTGGTTGAGCGTGTTGAGCACCGCCGAGTAGGCCGCCTTCTTGTTGTAGCTGCCGTCCCACAGCAGCGGGCTCTTGTCGCTTCGCCACGACAGATTGTCGCTCACGCCCCACACGGTGATGCCCACGCAGTTGGACTGGGCGAGGCAGGCCGAGGTGGCCTTTGCATAGTCCGACGCCGCCGCACCCGCAATGTCGAGCTCGGTCATGGCGCACTCGGGTGCGGCCGAGCATACTGCCTTCATCGCAGCGCCCACGCCCGACGCATCTCCAAACGAACCCGGTGCAGCCAGATGCGACTGCGACCCAATGCCGTCGATGGGAATCCCCTGACTACGCCACTGCTTGACCTTGCTCACCAGTCCTGTCAGCTTCGGATACGTCGAAACATCCAAGCTATTCCCGAAACATGTCAGCATTGCTTTCTCTCTCGCTTTCGCACAAGGGAAGGGAGGGGACTTACTTGTAGTCGTTGATGTACAGCTTTGCGTTCGGGTCGGCGGCACGTGCAGCTTCAAACGCGATCTTGACGTACGACTCGCCCAGCACGTTGTAGAAGACGCTCTTGCGCATGGTACCGTCCTCGTTAAAGATCTCGTTGACCACATCCCACGCGTACACCTTGCCCTTGTAGCGTCCCACAAGCGTCGAGATGCGCTGCTTGAGCACGTTGGTCAGATCCGTAGGATCCGTGATCGCCTGCACCCACGACGGCAGCTGCGAGTGCCACACCAGCGTATGTCCACGGATCATCTTGCCGTTGGACGTGGCGTAGTTGACAAGCGCATCCGCTCCGCCAAACGTAAACTGCCCGCGGCTAGGCTGGGTCGCATCCCACTTCATCGAGTTTTCGGGTGTCACGCAGCCCATCTCGCTCTTGATGATGTTCGACACCTGCGAGATGGAGAACGTGCCCTGGTCCGTGGCCGTGCCAAAGTAGCGCCGACCGTCGGCCTTGATGGCAGCGTTGAGCGTAGTGGCAGCACGCTCCTGCAGCGTGGGCGCCTCGGCCGGGATCACCGACGCATCCACAGCGCTGGCGGCGACCAGCGTGGCGGAAAGCAGGGCTGCAAAGTTGGTCTTCATCGTAAGGTTTGTTTGGCGTTTTGGGTCCTGTTCGATGGGTTCCTTTGGGTTCGTTGGGCTAGGTACTCGAGCAGATACGACGACGTCGTCCCTTTATACCTTCCAAGAGCTTGATGCTGGGTACAGCATTACAGTGAGACCGGCAAAGTAGTGTCCGGACCATGTACATTGCAAGGGCCACCTGCCGGTGGTGCTGCTACAGCGATAACCGCTGGGGTTCAAGTCTGACCTGGCCCACGATCAGCTGAATCACGCCGAGCTTCCATCGCGGCACGATGCTGCAGTAGGCACCTATGTGACACCGGCGACCCTGGTGCACAGTATCGCACGCTGGCTGTCCGTGCGCTGCCTGACAACCACACGCCCATTATGGTTAGCGCCAAACCGGTTCGTTGGAGCGCCACGGTGCAAGCATTACGCTTCCAGATGCATGGCCTAAGCGAAGCGGGGTTGTGCATAAACGCGATTCGCACTGCAACCCTTTTCGATCAACTTAGGCTCCGAGCCATCCCTGCTGTCTGTCATGCTTCGGTATCCTTCGCGGTTGCCTCGTTACCACGCATCAAAGCTGTAGCGACTAGGTTGGTTGTCAGAGCCAAAGCTTCAGCCATGCGCAAAGACGCCACGCCGAGATGAGCGCGAGGTGACACGCCTCGTGGCTGAAACGTCGCCGGTCTGCATCGGCTCCCCGCACAGCACTCAGCCGAAGCTCGCTTCTCGACTGCACCCCATAGATTCCCGCGATCAAGATCCAGTCGGACTCACCAGTCACACCACTGCGAAGAATCGGAGGGCCATGTCCCGTTCTGTGATTCTTCCGGAACTGCGACACGAAACACTGCTTGGTTGCACGATGCACTGCACCGTCCTTAGCTCAATGTTACAGAGCGCCGATGGAACCCTGAACGTAAACCTTGTCGTCCTTAGCACCGCTGCACCTCCATTCCGCCCCTGTATTGTCGACGGCGATCTGTGCCTCGAGCTGAAGTGGCAAAATCATAGGCCGCTTAAAGTGCATCTCGATCCACCAACGCTTTCCCTTGCTAGTGTCGGTAATCTCGCGCACAGAACCTGGCCCAGAAGCGGACGAGACCAGATGCAGCAGGTGCGCTACGACATGGTTGCCGTGCGCGATCTTGCCGCGGAAGCCGAACAGGCGCGCGAGCAGCGACGAGACGTGGATCGGATTGTAGTCGCCGCACACGCGGCACCATGCGCGCGGCGAGGTCGAGTGCATCTTGATCGTGCCCGTGCTCGTGTAGTCCGCATCCTTGCGCGGTCGATCGAGTGACTCTGCAGGTGGTGGTGCTTTCGACCGCGGTGCAGACGGTCCGAGGGCGAGAATTGTGATGATCTGTCGCATCACCAGCTTCGATCCAGAAGACGCAGCAAAGACGTCGATGTGGATGTCGAGCTCAACGCCTCGGCGGGTGACGCGCGCAAGATTGTCGCTGCCACCGACGCTGGCGTGTGCTGTGAGTGGCTGGTCGGTATCGAACGTGGCGTGGAATTCGATGCGGTTGCGCACGTTGACCGCCCCCAACGGCGAGACGGGCAGACGTGGATGCACGACCAGCAGCAGCATGAGCTGATTCGTCACGGCAGCCAGCACGAACTCCTCCGCCCCCACCTCGTTCTCCCCTGCAGCGCCGAGTGACTCTCGATAGGCTGCCTTCTGCGCGTCGCCGATGCGCACGGGACAGCGAAGCTCGAGCCGGGGCAGCTCGATCTCGTCGCGACCCTGCACACGCAGACCGCGCCCCAACACGCTTCTTACCGCTTTCGGCAGCACTCCGGCGAGGAGGAGGAATGCGCGGTCGGCCCAGCCGATCTCGGTGGGTGCAAAGTCGAGCTGCCATCCGTCGGAGCGCGGCGGAGCACGCAGCAGGAACGAGAAGAGCGAGCGCACATGCAGACCACTCAGCGCGTAGGCGGCCGCACCGACTCCAAGACCAACTCCGATGCGGCTCATCGCGAGTGTCAGATCGGACCGCATGGTGGGATTCACCGACAGGCCCGGGGTTAAGGTTCAGAGCCAAGATAGTGTTGCGTGGTGGATGAGGCAACGGCAAGGGTCCAATGCGGATCATCCGCAGCGTCGGTGGGAAACCGGCAACTCGCAGGTTCCGTGTCCCGGACCCTGCAAAGCAAAATTCGGCGCTGTGCCGACTTCACCTCGTAGCAATGCTTCACCCTCATTCCCACGCTACCACGCTGAACAATGGGTCAAGTGCCGTGATCACAGTGCGATCGATCGATCATGCTGCGGTGCCCAGTCTCAGACTGATCTTTGAGTCGGAAGACGTCCGAGCTGACGGTGCAGCGTGGGTTGCGATCGGATCTGCCGCGCTTCACACGCTTCACAAACTCGGCCCATGAGACCCGGATTGATTGCATGGCCGTCAGAGCAGCTACGACTCGCCATCTACACCGCAGCAGCTGCCTGGCTGGCTCCGCTGCTCCTATCCGTCAGCTTGACAGACAATTTCTTGAGGCGCGTCGAGACAAACACGTCGCGCAGGCCGTCCTCGAAAGCGACGGGGTCGAAATCGCTCGTCGCCGTCATATCGAACCTGCGCACCAGGTTGGCAATGACCAGTCTTAGTTCCATATACGCCAGCAGCTTGCCGACGCAAACAGTCGCGCCGGCGGAGAACGGCACAAACGCACGTCGGTCGAAGCGCTCCTCCCTCTCGGGGTGCAGCCATCGCTCGGGGCGGAAGACGTTGGGTGCCGGGCTAAAGTTGCGTGCATCGCGCTGCATCGTCCACGTCGGAATGGTCATCACCACATCCTTGGGTACCACCATCTTGCTTCCCGACGCCAGTGGGACTATGGTCGAGCCGCGCGTGTTGACCTTCTGCAGCCCGCCGGCAAGAGGAGGGAAGAGACGCATGGACTCGTTGATCACCGCATTCAGCAGCGGGCATTCGCGGTCGAGACGGGTAAAGTCGCTCAGCACCGTTTCGTAGTCGGTGCCAAACACGAGGTCCAGCTCGGCACGCAGCTGCGTTGTCACCTTGGGATGCTGCAGCAGCAAAAACAACGTCATGGCCATCACCGTCGACGACGTGTCGCTGCCGGCAACAATGATGAGACGCGCCTCGGCAGCCAGCTCGGCACGTCGGCCGTGGTTGTTGCGCATATTGTACTTGTCAAACGTCTTCGAGTGTTCATCCGTGCCTTCCTCCTCGGCACTGGCTTCGTAGAGGAATTGCATGATGTCGGCCTTCTGTCCATGGGCGTCCTTGTCTCGCTGCTCGAGCAGCTCCATGACCATGCCCGCGTACGCGCCCTTGGGCGTCGGGATCTGGCGCGTCACTTCGATCATGTACGGCCGGTTGTTGACCACCTGCTGAAACTTCATCAGATCCTCAAGCTGCTCCAGAATCGGCGACAGCTTGCCCTGCTCGAGCAAGCCCAGATTGCGACCAAAGCCGACCTCGGAGATCATGTCGAATGCAAAGAACATGCCCCAGTCGTCGATGTCCATCGCCTCGTCCGCGTTGGCGCGTTTGGCCAGCTGGCGCAGCATGATCTCCATGTTGTTGACCAAGGCGCCTTCGTAGCCCTTGAGTGCCTTGGCGCTGAACGCGGCGTCCCACGTCTTGCGTCGGCGCTGGTGCTCGGTTCGGTCGGTGAGGTTGATCAGGCTGCGCATGATGTGTGGTTCGCGACCACCGGCTGCGCTGTCGTACCAAGGTCCTTTCCAGCACTCGCTCTTGGCCGCACTGATCGCCGCGACGGCATCGGGAGAGTTGATGCTCACCTCGCAAGGTCCCGTACGCACCACATCGCCGTACTCGACATGAGCCGCATGCACCGCTCGTGGTCGCAGACCCTGTCGATCGATCCCAAACGTACTCCACTTGGACAGAGCCCAGGATGTAGGCCCGGGAATGTCGGCGATCCGGTGAAACTTGAGCCGATACACACCGATGCTCGCCAGCACAAACACGGTGTATGCCACCACATCCACGATGGTGGCAAACAGCGTGCCGACGATGCCCGAGTGAAGGTAGGTGTAGCGCACCGTCAGATCGAGCGCAAACAGCCCGACATACAGCTTGGCGATTTGCTCGGGCCACAGATCCACCAGCCGAAAGAGGAGCAGATGCGATGCGAGCGCAAGCGTGCCAATCAGCACAAAGCGGTCGTCCACCAACAACGATGGCTTCTGCGCGGAAGTCGACGTCATCGCGGCTGTCTAGTTTGGAGTGTCAGGAGGAGGGAGGAAACGTGAGTTGGGACATTGATGGCAGGGGCAGGGCGATACATATAGCCGCCTGCCCGAGCTGCGTACCTGTGGCCCAAGCGCCCGGCCACAGCGTCGAATGCGCGCCGGCTTAGCGAGGGTCAAGTCAGGGCAGCAGTACTTTGCAGACAGTGGCTTGGATTGCCAATCCCCGAACTGTGCAAGGCTCATGCAAATCGTCGGCGCGGCCGGCTGGCGAATGCACGCACAAAAGCTTGACAGATGCAGGGCGCCGTGCGACTGAGACATGCCGTTCCGACAGACGACAGCTGACATGCGTGTTGGAGCCCCAGCCTCGGAAAAATCCACTGCTGCACACGCACGCACCCGAGGGAAGCGGAGATGCAATTCGCTCTGCCGACGCTCGATCCCGCGCTCGCTCTTCGAAGGCCGTTGCAGGTTACCATCCTCATGCTTCCTTTGTTCGACGCTCGAATCACGCTGGCTTTCTCCGATGGCCGTTGTTGCGCGAGCAGTCCCTGCTTCGTCCTCTCGCACGCTCGCCATAGCTCAGCTTGCCGCCAGACAGCTGCAAAGAAGAGACGATCGTCGAATTAACAGCAACCACTTCAACATCACGAGTGGAGAGCAAGGATGGGACCAATGCCCCAAGAAGGGCCGGCGGATGCAGACCTCCTCGCCTAGTAGTAGGCCCTGGATCCGGAGCGGGTCGATTCGTTGTACTCCCTTGGATTCTCTGCCTCGACAACCTGAAAGACGAGCTGCGACAAGAGGCTCTCGCTCGTCTTCCACCACGACCGCATCTCGCCGCGATCGTACACCTTCTCCGAGGGCAGCACGAGCTGCGGCAGCACCGGCGCAAACGTCGGCGGCTTCACGTCTTCCTTCGTCTCGAGCGCATCCTCGGCCGCGTCACTGGCGCCCTTCTTCTTCTTGGCCGTCTTCTTGGCCGGCGGCTTCGGAGGCTTCGGCGGCTTCGTCAGGCTCAGCTGGTAGGTCCGATGGGCTTGGCGAGCCTGCCGCATCTTCTCCTTGGCCTCTTGATAGGGATGTCCTTCCCTGCGGTAATAGCGAATCAGCAGCATCTCCACCAGATCGCTCACCACCGCCTCGTTGCCTCGGCCGCTTGTCTTGAGCACGAGACGTAGGGTGTGCAGCGAGGGCATGATTTCCTGCGAGGGGCTCTTGGGCGTGGCCAGCTGCTCCTCCGCACTCAACAGCGTCCGCAGGGAGAGCGAATTGTCCGTCGAGGTCAGCGTGAGATCCTCGAGGTGGCGCAGCTTGCCGATGGCGACATAGATCTGCTTCTGCGCCGCGACGCCGGCAGGCAGCAGGATCTCCAGCTTCTTGAGCAAGGGACTGGCGGCGATGATGGCGGCGGCGCGTGAAAAGGTCTCGCTGGTAGAGGGCTCCAGCGTCGAGGGCCCGCGCACCGAGTTGATCCGAGCCTCACGGAGGGCGGGAAACTCGCAGTCGAGGAAGATCTCGCTCCAGAGGGCATTGAGGCGACGGAGCTTGGGGAAGACGAGAGGCGAGCTAGGAGTCCGCTCGATTCCGTAATCGCCAAGGTTGACGGTGGAATGGTACCAGTCGGAGCCAATGTCGTCCCACCACTCGACCAGCGTGGGCGCCGCCCGCAAGAGACCCTCGACAAAGCTGAGCTTCTTCTGCCTCTTGTACGCCATCGAGCGCACGACCCGGAGCCCCTTCATGTGCGATGTGAGCGGACCGTAAGGCAGATCCGACCTCGAATAGAACGAGCGCAGCTGGAACGGCAAGGTGTCCGACTCGAAAGGACTCGTGATGCGGTGTGCCTCCTGAGACACCACGGTTGCTTCCGCAGTGCACGCGAAGCGCACGTCGATGTCCGTCAGATTGGGGCAACGGTAGTAGAGGCGGTCAAAGCACAGTTTCTGATCGAGCGTAGGGATGGCCACGTGCTGGAGGCTGGCGCTGCTGAGCCCGAGGACGTCGAGGATGGGCCCAACGTTGCTGGGAGTCACAAAGCCTTTGAGCCTCACGCACGTCAAGGCGCCGCGCGAGCGGCGCTGGCAGATTTCAATGGCTGCGACGCAGATCTGTACCGTGTCGCGGTGCCATCCCTCCCTGCCGATGCCCTTGATACGTTTGAATTTGAGCGACTGCCACAGCTGCGGAATGCGACGCCAGTCGTGGCAAGTGTTGGCGAGATGGAGGCGATCCGTGATGCTGAGATGGTTGGCGATCATGAGGATGAGCTCGACTGGAAAGTGGATGATGCTGATCCTTTCGCTCTTGCTCGTGTGCTTGGGCTGGCCCGCCTGGGCGATCTTGCTGCGCTTGCTCGGATGACCCGCGTTGGCCTTGGGGGTGGCCGATCGCTTCTGTCCGCGCGACTGGCTGATTCGAGCCGATCTGCGCCGCGTAGCCGATTCGGACTGGTTCGCTGCCGTAGATTCCATCTCGAGACCGTCTTCGGCTTGGACCTCCGCACCGAACGTCGAAAGAAGCTCCGCCAGCCTGGTTGCGTCTCCATAGCCCAACGTGTACAGGCGCATTGCCCCGTACGCCTTGTGACGGAGTCGCAGGCCTGAACAGAGCTGGCGAACGCCGTCGAGGTCGTCGCGGCCCGGTGCGCCCGAGGTGTCCTCGATCAGAGTCGAAGCCAGCTGCACCACCAGCTCGTAGTCCTTTCGCTCCCAGGCGGCTTGAAGATCCGAGGTTGCCGACGCCTCTTGAGGTGTGGAGGCGAGCTCGGGGAGACTCGCAATCTCGTCCATCCTTCGCTCCTCTGCCGCTTGGTCCTCGGCCATCTTGTCCCTTAGCAAGTGAGCTTTTCTGAAGATGTCCAGCTGCGATACGAGCTGCGTGATCCTGGGTCGCAAAAGCTCGACGGCCTGTCGGGCTCGGCTCGAATTTTGAGAGAGGTTTTGCAGGTACTGTTGATCGTAAAGGCCCATACGGTGGCGGAGATCCCATCGAACTTTCTCCGCTTCGGCTTCGTATTCTTCGATGTCCTCCTCAAGGATTTCCGCTCTGGACTCCAGCGCCGCCTCGACGTCGTCGTAGTCCTCAAGGTCGCAAAAGCAAAGGAGCTCAGGGTCTTCGTTGAAGAGCTGGTAGGCTGGATCGAGTTCGGTGGAGTAAGAGTCGTCTTCGCCGTCGGATGCCGGCATCACCGGGGTCACAGAGGACAAAGAGACGACCGCGGCACCGAAAGGGGATGAGTCCGAAAAGTCTGCAATGGATGCAGGGGAAGGGCCAGGCGCAAACTAGCCGCGCCTTAAGTAGGAGTTGAACCTGCACTGGACCCATGGCTGAGTCGAGCTCAGCTCTGCGCGCATGGGCCCAGTCCAGCCAAGAAGAAAGGAAGAAGGTGAGCCTGCATGCAGATGAAGCGCAGTGGGCGTCAAGCGGCATACAGGGGCGACAGACTGCGCTTTGGCCTCCAGCCTGTGCGCGTCGTGCAGTCCTGCTGGCCATGGCGCAGGTGATTGAGAGCTCCACTGCCCTGCGCCAGCGCAAGAGCACGAGGTGAGAAAGAATGTGACTGTACGAAGGTTGCGGTTGCGGTAGAGTAAAGTCTCTTGCGATTAGCCGTTTGACACATGAAGCGGCGGCGCACGGAGAGAGAAATTGCAACCGCGATGCACGGCTGCGGCGCGTCCGTGTCGACACGCGTGTTGGCAAAGGTGAGAGCGACAGAGGCTCGGTGCAGGTTCGGATCGGATACGGCCCGACAGCAGTCTCTGGCCGTCTCTCGTCGTCCCATGGGCGGCACATCCGACTGGCTTTCTGCGGTGACCAAGTTACTGCCACCTCACGGGACGCGGTCGCCTCGCAGTGCTGAGTCACTCGAACACGCCCGCGCTCTCTCTCGTGGCCGCTCGACTTTTGATGAGCGGCGTCTTTTAGCCTTAGCCTTCAGTGGACCGTGTTGTGGTGGCCGGGACCGCATCCGCGCTCGGCCTGCCCAAGCCACGGCCAACTTGGTCAGCTCGCGTCGCCATGCCTATCAACGCATTAGTCGCTTTCGCGCGGGGCGGGTGTTGTGAAAGACAGCGCAGTCGTCGCAGCAGCTTGGCCTGTATGCGCCTCTCTGGCTGAATTGGCCATCGGTCAAGTGGCCAAGCCGGCCTCGACACGAAGCAGCTTAGCTCGGACCCAGACCGAATGCGCATCTGCGCGGCCAGAGCACATGCAGGGCCCTCCAAGGGTCCGCGTTCCAACTCGACAGCTGGTACGGATCTCACAATGCACTCGCAAGAAATTTGTACTCAGAGACGATCGCGATGCCGCCCATGGCTGTCTCCCGATCCGATTCGGAATTTTCGCCGATAAAAAAGTCGGGGCCGTTTCCGGTCGAGCTGGCAAGCTGATTCGGCCTTGGCGAGCCTTCAGACACGCAAGGGGCTCCAGTAGGATTTGCTTGGGCGCCAACATCCAAACTCGTAGGCTCGGAAGTCGAACCGCCGATCCATTCGGATGCTCTCTCCGCTAAGAAAGATGGACAGGCAGGCAACGGCAGGCGTGACAGCAGGTCTGACAGCGTTTCCCCGCATGAAATCACGCTCGTTTGCGGGTACGCAAGATTCGGAGCTTTCATGCTATCGTGGTCTTTCAAATCTCTGCTGCTGTCTCGAACCTAGCTCGATCAGACCACTGCGGGGTATTGAAGCACCAACGATCAGAAACCGGTCTTGTGAGTCGGCGTGAGGCCAACCCAAGCCAATGGTGCCACCATCTTACGAGCGAGCTTCGGGATGGAAGCATAGCTCGCTTGGCCGGTGAAACGGAGCGGATGGAGGTACAAGGGCATCTAACGACCGGGTGGACGTATATGCTCGAGGCTAAGTTAGCTGCACGATGGCGCCTCGGCTACGAAAATCATCTTAGGGTGAGACCCGAAGTGCAGCATGATCGGCTTCTTCTGTGCTATCCTAGCGGGCTTTTCTTCCTAAGCGAGGCCCTGAGAACTGCAGCAAAGTTCGCATGCCGATGGTGAGCCCGTGTCCCGGATGTGTATGAACTCATTAGATCGGTTCATCTTCGTGCGATCGTTTGTTCGTTCCTTGGCTCGTTTGGACCTCGGATCGAGGACGAGCTGCTCCTCTTCTGGCCCTGCGCCTGCAGCTGCAGCGCACATCCATATCATGGCAACCCCGACGCTCCCCCACGGCGCGTACGACCGTCGGCTAGTGTGTTCCAGCCGCTCGGCTTCGAACTCGGTCGGACTGCTTTCCCCCGCATCAAACGGCGGCCGGCTTCTGCATCCGAGTCCGCTCCAGGACCCTGCCAGGATGGTGCTGCACCTATTGCAGGCCAAGAGGGACGCCTCTGCAGCCTAAGCGAGCATGAAAATGCAGGCGCCAGGATAGGGCCAACATGAGACATCGTCTCGATGGATCGATCGTTGGATCGATTGGGGCAGCCATCGCCTATAAAGGCCCGCCATCCAGCCCACAAGAATGTGCTTGCTAGAAGCATCAAGCGACCCCACTCTCCCTCTTCCACCCCTCCCTCCGCCTCCCTCCTCGTTTTCTCAACCCGGCCCCTACCTCGCTCCTCCCTTGCGTCTCCCTCCAATCACTTTGGAACGATGCGAGTGTCCCTGCGTTCCATCACCTCGCTGCTGGCTGCGGCGACGGCGGCCGTACTTGCGGCACCGGCGGCCGAGACGCTGGACCGTAGGGCGGCGCTGCCGAACCCTTTCGATGACCCCTTCTACACGACGCCATCCAACATCGGCACGCTCGCCAAGGGCCAGGTGATCCAATCGCGCAAGGTGCCTACAGACATTAGCAACGCCAACAACGCCGCATCGTACCAGCTGCAGTATCGCACGACCAACACGCAGAACGAGGCGGTGGCCGACGTGGCCACCGTGTGGATCCCGGCCAAGCCCGCCTCGCCGCCCAAGATCTTCTCGTACCAGGTGTACGAGGATGCCACGGCGCTCGACTGCGCTCCGAGCTACAGCTACCTCACTGGCTTCGACCAGCCCAACAAGGTGACGGCGGTGCTCGACACGCCCATCGTCATCGGCTGGGCGCTGCAGCAGGGCTACTACGTCGTTTCGTCCGATCACGAAGGCTTCAAGGCCGCCTTTATTGCTGGCTACGAAGAGGGCATGGCCATCCTGGACGGCATCCGCGCGCTCAAGAACTACCAGAACCTGCCGGCCGACAGCAAGGTCGCTCTCGAGGGCTACAGTGGCGGTGCGCACGCCACCGTGTGGGCGACTTCGCTCGCTGAATCGTATGCGCCCGAGCTCAACATTGTTGGTGCTTCGCACGGCGGCACGCCTGTGAGCGCCAAGGACACCTTTACGTTCCTCAACGGAGGACCCTTTGCCGGCTTTGCCCTGGCAGGTGTTTCGGGTCTGGCGCTCGCGCATCCGGACATGGAGAGCTTCATCGAGGCCCGATTGAACGCCAAGGGTCAGCAGACGCTCAAGCAGATCCGCGGCCGTGGCTTCTGCCTGCCGCAGGTGGTGACGACCTACCCCTTCCTCAACGTCTTTTCGCTGGTCAACGACACGAACCTGCTCAACGAGGCGCCGATCGTGAGCATCCTCAAGCAGGAGACGGTGGTCCAGGCCGAGGCGAGCTACACGGTGTCGGTGCCCAAGTTCCCGCGCTTCATCTGGCATGCGATCCCCGACGAGATCGTGCCGTACCAGCCTGCCGCTGCCTACGTCAAGGAGCAATGTGCCAAGGGCGCCAACATCAACTTTTCGCCCTACCCGATCGCCGAGCACCTCACCGCCGAAATCTTTGGACTAGTGCCCAGCTTGTGGTTCATCAAGCAGGCCTTTGACGGCACCACGCCCAAGGTGATCTGCGGCACTCCCATCCCTGCCATCGCAGGCATCACTACGCCCTCGGCGGACCAGGTGCTGGGCTCGGACCTCGCCAACCAGCTGCGCAGCCTCAACGGCAAGCAGAGTGCGTTCGGCAAGCCCTTTGGCCCCATCACACCGCCCTAGTCGCAGTGCACTTTCGGATGTTCCTCTGTAGTTCCCACGGTCGATGCTGACCTTCAGGGATCACGAGTGACCTCGGAAGAGCCGAGGTCCCGACTCTGCTCCTTTTTTATAATAATACCGTCTGCAATCAATGCAAAGGGTCCACAAGAGCGAAGCGTGCTCTGAGAGTGCGTTGAGAGTGCGTTGAGATACAGGAGTGGCAGCGGAGCGGGAAATCTTCTCGGACCTCCCGAAAATGAAGCGGCTGACAGCTGAAAACCAGAGCAAGCGCGGGGTTTGTCGCACGGACTTCGGGGCATTCCAGCTTTGCCGGAGCCCACCATCTCTGGGCGAACTGGCACGCGTCGCAGCAAAGTCGTGCGTCTGAGCGCTGCAGCATGAGCCGAAACATACGAGCTGCCTCGCCATGACAGCCAGCAACAATCGCCCGACGTTCGGCGCAGCTGCCGAGTCCGTCGCGGCTCAGCCGAACATTGCGAGGACAGCTCCTCCGTATAAACGCCAGCGAGTCGAGCTTCCCTCCGACCCTACTAGAGCCCAAAGCAGCCGAACGCAGACGGAAGCGGGTGGCTCGCCCAAACGAATGCTTATCGCATCGCCCGCAGACGTACGCTCACCTGCACGCGCTGCAGTCGCCACGCCATCATCTCCCTCCACGCCCGGGCAACGCCGGCCGCCTCCGCTGGCCACCAAACCTCCGCAGCCGCCTTCCAGCGCGAGTGCCGGTAGGCTCGGCCCTTTGCCCGTTGTTCCCGCTCGTAAGCGCAGATTCACTCGCAGTCGCTCGGGTTGCGCCACGTGCCGCGTCCGGAAGATCAAGTGCGACGAAACACGTCCGCACTGCCACCGCTGTCTCGAGGACGACCGACAATGCGAGTACTTTCATTCTACCAGCTCGGCACGTGTCGAGGCGGCAGTGAAGGCCCAAGCCGAGCCTTCCAATGCTGACCCATATCCAACTGCGGCGGCGGCCAAGTCGGCGCGACTCTTCCAACACGGACAGCCACATCATTCGCCTCGCCAGGCATCCGATCGCCTTTTACGACCCGCTTCAGCGCATCAGCATAGCTCTATACCCACCGTTACCGCCGGCACGGCTGGTGACATCACCTCGCCAAAGCATCTAGATGACTGGCTCGATCTCTTGTGCGCTTCCATTGGAAACGACATTCCGCACGCCAGCGGCTCGGCCCTCGCTGATGCATCCCAGCCCGCTGTCAAGAGGGACGACCAGCTCAGTGACGCCTCTCACCAGTCGACTGCGCTACGATTCGTACACAGCGTCAGTGACACGCAGTCAGATCGCTCTGCTTCTCGAGATCGACTCAAGGCAGCGCGCCACCGTCGTTCAACCGCTGCCGCTTCCGCTATCGCCGACCCGACATTGGCTTCCGCAAGCGCCGAGGCGCGATCCCCCAACTGGCTTGACGACGACTGGCTGTCAACATGGACGGCCTCTTCCGACGGCCCCGCCGGCATCCAGCACACCTTTGATGCAGCTTCCGGCACACCAGTCTTGGCAAACACCACCGCCGCGCGTCCGGGCCTGCAGCACATACCGGAAGCCGAGCTGCAAAGGCGCATCCGCGAACTGTGCGTAACGCGCATCCAGCTCGAGTCCGTGTCGTTCTTCTTCAACACCACCGCTCGCTGCTTCCACCTGCTCTCCGCCGACACGAACGTATGGCGCATCTTCTTCGCCCAGCTCGCTGCCGAGTCTCCCATGGTGCTCGACCTCGCAGGCTGCCTCGGCCTCACCCACCTCAGCCTCACCCAGGATCATCGCAAAAAGGGCCTCGCCCACGCCCACTTTTCGCGCTGCAAGACCGAATGGGACGCCTTTGTCGGCCAGTTACACACGCCAGAGCTCATTGCGCTCGCCGCAGCACAGGTCAACTCGGCTCATCGCGCACTCGAGCTGCTTGCCGGCACCATCCTCATCGCACACATTGAGCAGTTCAGTCGAGGCTTTGCTACTAGCTCGCGAGCCTACACGGCTCTAGCCATCACCGTTGTTCGACAAGTACTCGCAGGCACGCCAACCGGCACACCGGCTTCGTGGTGGGTCAATGAGCTCGACCACGGTCCAGCATCGGCCTTCCGCTTTTTTGTGCGCATTTTGCTCTGGTGGGAGACCATGTCACGGACCATGGGCCCTGCCAGCGAGCAGGGCGATGTGCTCGACATCTTTGAACATGTCTATCGATGGGATGAGTCCGACAGCCGCCAACAGGATCCTATCGAATGCTCCACTCAGTGCGTCGTAGGCTGGCCGCTGGATCTGCTCGAGGCCGTCGAACGCATTAACCGCCTCAGCGCCGTTCCCGAGATAGCGGCTTTCGTGCCGCAGCCTGCTTCTTCCGTGCCACTCGTCATGCCGTCCGGATCGCTGTCGCATGCTCTCGAGGGCCACGTGACGCTCGAAGTGCAGCTGCAGATCGATGCCATCGAGTCTCAGATCCGACTTTCCAGGCCCATGCCGCTCACCCAAGACGACAGCCTTGCCGCCGAGCTGCGCTATCTCATCTTCGAATGCCTCCAATCAGCCTCGCTCGTCTACTTTTGCAGGACGCTGCTCAAGTCGACCGATGCGGTGTGGTTCGAGATCGATAAGGTCACCCGATTCCTCGAGCGCAAGCAGCAGCGTCTTGGCGCAAGCGGCGAAGGCAAACACGCGGGTCCCTCGGATCCGACCGGCTCTACCCACGGCGACCTGCAGGTGGCCCACGCCATGGAGACGCGAGGAAAGTGGTGGATCCGCGCACCGGACGGAGCTTTAATCTGGGCGTACTTTCAGTGTGCCTCGGAGATCTTTGGCGAGCTGGATGCTTCGCTCGACGCTTCGCCGCTCGCTGGACCGCTTGGCGAGCGTCCCGACCAACGGCGTCAATTCGGCCGAGGAGATCCCGTCAAGCTCGCGCTAGGCTCCGACATCGTCATTGGTGCGGACGCCTATGACAGCTTTGCGCGATCGCGTTCCGAGCGCCGGCAGCGCTGCCGCGGCTCGTTGCTCTTGTGGGAGAAATTTGACGAGATCCAGTGCGTCTTCCTCTGCCGGCAGCTGCTCAAGGCCGTGTGGGATGGTCGCGACCTTTACGAGCACGAGATGCGCCGTAGGATGCGTCTCAGCAAAGGATCCAGCTCGCAAGCGTCGACGGATGCTTCTCAAGACATCGGCCGATACGATCAGGCGACCGAGCTTGCCAACATCTGCCGACAACGACGTTGGCGCCAGCCTCTGATCTTTTGAAGGCGAGCCCTCAAAGTCCCGCGTTTGCTGCAGGGCGACGGTGCCTGGCGACCATGGACAACGGACCAATCCCTCTCCGGCTTCACATAGGCCGCTCAGTCAGTACAGAGATGCTGTAGCCCCGCAAAGAACAGCGCAGCTGGTGAGATTACAAAAGTTCAACAGAGAGCGCACTCGAGCCAGCCTGGGCTCTGTTGCTGAGAGGAAAGCCGACGACCGGAAAAACAAGCTGAAGCAAAACAAAGAGGCCACAGACGGGACTGCGACAGGTCGGTGACCCTTTCCAACCTACGCAGGAGGTGGAGGACGAGGGCCGGGGAGAACGCGCGACGCTCCGTCCGCCTTGCGGACCGCTGCATCAAAGTAAGGTCTGTGCATGTGGTAGAGCCCCTTTGCGACCAAGGAATTGGCTCCCAGCTCATGCTGGCGCGACCAAAGCGCAACAAAAGCCTTATCGAACGTTGGGAATGCCGCATCCGGTGGATGATGGGTGGCGAGGAACATTTCGCCTTCCAGTGTGATTGCAGTCATGACGACACGGCGACGGAACGACTCGCGCATCTTGAGCGAAAAGAGCCCCAAATACTCTGGACCGAGCGCCAGTGACCGTCCCAAATGGTACCGCGACGTAGCGGGTCCGTTCTTATCAATCCAGTCAGCGAATGCTTGGTGGAACCACGGATCGGGGCGATACACGAACTGGGAGGAGTGGTCGGGTCGGAGTCCCGAGTTGGCAATCGAGGCACGCCATGGTTGAGAGTCGGTGGGCGCCACAAAGTTGCTAGGATTGGCCTTCCATGCGGAAAAGATGTCGGCGCCCGATACCGGGTCTTGCTTGGCGCGAAACATGAAGCTCTGCTTGGCTCCGACTTCGGCAGATTGCTTGAGGTGGCCCCAGAAGCGCTTGCCTGCACTGTACATTCCGCGACACACGAGCACAGCTTGCCCCTCGAACGTCTTGAGCTCCCATACGTACAGCCCGGTGAGTGTCGGAGCGTTTAGACTCGCCGGAACCCGATGCACTTTCATGAGCCAAAACTTTCGGCCTCCAAAGTTCAACTCGATGCCGAGGTGTTCCACACGCAGGTACGAGAAGGCGTCCACAAAAGCATCGTGCGAGTCGTGACGCGGAAGCAGCTTGGGTCTCTCTGCATTCCAGACCGACTTGAGCTCGAGGCTAGGATGCACCTCGTTGCGTATTTCTTCCTCGAGGTCTTCCTCTTGGGTTACGATCAGCACTGGCCTCCTGACCATCTCCATCGGATCGGCGTCCTGGAGGCTCGAGATGAAGGCATGCCTGTCTAGCTTGGAGGATGGAAAGGGCCAAAGGTTCTGCGGCGCAGAATCGGATGTAGAAGCTGATGCTCGCACGGATGGAGTAGCCTGCCTTATGCCTCTGGCAGGCGGAAGCACCTGCTGTTCATGCGGAGCCGGGTGAGAACGGGCACCAAAGACGACCGCCGATAGGTCGGCCGGATTGCGATCGTCGACCGCAGGTTCAAGGCCGGACCACAGGGCTGATGAAGCTGCTTGATCGTGCCACGGCTCGGTCGACCATATGGTCTTTGCGGGAAAATACATGTGGTCCGGAGCACGGTGAAGTGACGGCGAATAAGAATCATGGAGAAGGGCTCGATCCGGTCCTTGCTGTTGCGAGCCTAGACCGTGACCGAAGTCTAGACCCTCTGCAATCCCTGGTTGCCCCGGCAAACCATGATGAAGCAGATCGTTGAAGCTGCTTTGAGAAGCGGCAGAGGCGTGAACAGCTTGTGCGACTCCTGGCTGCCCCGGCAGGCCGTGGTGCAGCAGGTCGGTCAAGCTGCCCTGGGAAGCGGCAGAAGCTTGATGGGCCTCTGCAATCCCTACTTGACCCGGCAGACCGTGATGCAGCAGATTGCTGAAGCTGCCTACACTTCCAAAGGCGTCGAGCAATTCATCGTTGCTTGCGGCGCCAGGAATAAGTGGTGCTACCGCCGACGCAACGAGCACCTTTGTAAGGAGCACGACCGGTAAGACGTCGGAGCGAAGCAAATACATGGCTGCGATGTGGCACTTTTGATAGAAGAACGCCAGAGTGGTGGCTTTGGGCGTCCTTTAAGTAGGCGGCGCCTGGGAGCCATCTCCGTGTGAGCAATGAAGTGGTCCCACGATTTCCAAGCCACCACATGATGCATATGAGGCAAGTTGACGATCGATGCCGCCACATGAGGTTACTATCACCATATTCGAACTCGCTTGGGCGATTTCCGAATGAAGCGTGCCCTGGTCAATGCGATTGAAGCACGACTTGGTGCAGCTCTGCATCGACGATGCCCGTTCATTGTCAGAGGTGCATCGAAGGACCGTGTGCAGGATGCAGGCGATCAAGATGGAAGCAAGCTGCGAGCAAGCTGTCAGTATGGAGGTGTGGAGGTGTGGAGGTGTGGAGTGTCGGATAAATTGCGGTGCGCCGTCTCGAAAGTGAGCGTTGCTCTCGCTGTCGGGTGGTTCGAGGCGTAGAAGCTCTGGCTCACACGGCCTGCATCCAGCCATCGGGCTTCATCTCGCAAGTTGACAGAGCACACCCAACGAACTACCTTCAGGCACGGACGATGACTGTTGAGTGGGTGGAGTGGATGGACCGTGCGTGGGCGAGATTCCCCCGCATTCTGGGATTGGCGCGGGGATGCGGTTTTAAGCAGCCGTCCAGTTTGGCATGCGTCGCGGCAACTTTTCCCCTTGGCTTATCTGCGTGCTGCGGCTTGGCTTCGGTGCAGGCCGCGGTCACCTGCCGCCTGGTTACGCTGCGGGATAGACGCTCGGCGCTCATGCTGCGCGAAAGGGTCACGAGGTATCTGGCTTGTGCGTTGCAAGGTGGCGCCTAGCATGCCTCTCCGCTGCCAATGCCCATATAAACAGCCCCTTTCCAGACGAATCCGCCACAAGGCCTTCAAACGACCACACTGCCCATCATGTCGATGCAAGACACAGTTCAGAAGGTGCTCGATGCGGCTACCGCCGACATCTCCCAGCCCAATGCCGTGCCGGGTGCGGTGATGTACATCGCCGACAAGACGGGCAAGCAGGTAGCTTGGGCCGCGGCGGGTGTCAAGCAAGCAGGCAAGCCCGACCCCATGACGACCGACTCGGTCTTTTGGGTGGCAAGCTGCACCAAGCTCATCACCGCCATCGCCTGTCTCCAACTCGTCGAGCAGGGTAAACTCAATCTACAGGACGACGTGACCAAGTACCTGCCCGAGATGGCGGAAGTCAAGATGATCGATGGATCCAAGCCCAAGCGCGTGCCTACGGTCTGGAACTGTCTGACGCACACGTGCGGGCTGGGATACTCCTTCTTCAACCCGGCACTCAAAGCGCTCGAAGACAAGAAGGGCCGCAAGGTGATCGATGCATTCGATGCGTCCAAGCAGAGCATCATGGGACCCTACGTCACCGAGCCTGGATCCGAGTGGGAGTACGGAATGGGAATCGACTGGGCGGGTCAAGTTGTGGAGCGAGTTTCGGGTCTTTCGCTCAACGACTACTTCCAGAAGCACATCTTTGCGCCTCTTGGCATCAAGAACGCCAGCTTCCTTCCCAAGACTGCTGGTCTGGCCGACAAACTCGTCGGCTCGCACTACCGCAACCCAGACGGAATCATCTCGCCCAACGAACACTGGCTCAACCAGCAAGAGTCCAAGATCGAGGTGCACTACGGCGGCGCTGGACTCTGGGCCAATGCTGCCGAATACTGCCAGATTTTGGTGGCTCTCCTCAACGGTGGCACCCATCCAAAGACTGGCGGAAAGATCCTCACGCCCGAAAGCGTCGAGGAGCTCGTCAAGCCGCAGCTGGACGACAAACTCGCAGCCGACATGGACCGCGAGTTCCCCAACACCGACCCTACGCTTACCAACTACTTCGAGGGATGCACGGTCAAAGGCGTGCCCAAGAACTGGGCGCTCGGCGGAATGCGTCTGACAGTCCAACACCCCATGTTCAAGTACAGCGACAAGGTACGCCCTTCTCTCCACATGAGTCCAGTCTTACATTTGCGCTGACAGAACCTCTCTGCTACAGTCTCTTTTCTGGTGCGGCATTCAAAACAGCTACTGTAAGTCCCCCAAGCCTTCATTCACACTTTCACAGTATCAAATGACTTATACTTGCTATTCACGATACGGACAGGGTGGGCCGACTTCAAGGACGGAACGTGCGGCATGATCCAGTCGCAGATCGGTCCGTTCCTCGACATGGGCACCCTCGGCATCCTCGCCCAGATCGAGCCCCAGGTCCACGCCGCCTACGCCAAGTAGCCACGACACTGCTTCACAATCGCTCGGAACGACGCACGAAATCAAGCCACTGTAATGTGACCTGAGTACTTTCGATGTCCGGGTACTAGCGACGTCATTCTGTGATTCTGAGTTGCCCACAAGTATGCAGTGAGACAAGGGCATGATCGCGACCGACGCATTGTGTTGCCGCCGTTGAATACGTGCTCGATGACATCACCTCGGTCCTTCGTCCGAGAATGCGATGCTTTTGGACAGAGCGGGAATACGTCTGGCACGCGGCGAGAAAGGACGGGCTCCATGCCGAAGCATCTTGAACAGCGAGTTGTGTTGCGCGATGACATGATCGGTCGAGCGTGCTGGCAGCGGATGCGCTTGATACCGTCGAGCACGAGCAGCAACACCGTCTCGACGAGCAGCATGAGGAGGTAGCATCGACTGCTTTGGCCGATGCTCTCGACGAGGCTGAAGATGATGGCAACAACGACATGGATGCATCGTTCAACGACCCTCTTTCGCCATACGGACACATAGATTTGGGACGAGCTCGACGCCATTGAGCCGTTCGACACCCGCTCGAGGAGGGCGAACAGTTGCTCAAGGACACGCTGCAGAGCGTAGGGACGAGGCCGGGCACGGCGACACCATGTACTGCTCAAGGACCACTCGGCCAACCTGTTGGAGCAGCTCCCAAGGTCTGATCTCGTCGGCGGCTACAAATTCAAGCTCTGGAATGGCGGACTCGCTTCCATACGGCTTCTGAATCCAATACCCGCCGCCAACTTCCCGCATCCGACAGTAGCTTCATAGATGTCATCGTGTGCCTTGGGATCGTGCCATCTCGCGATGCAAATCTTGGCTCGTCACGACCACACTTCGTTCCAGCAGCAAGTCCAGATACATACTGCGCTTGGAGTTCCGCAGCAATCTAACTTGGCGTGCGTCGAGCAGGATGTACGTCCCGCTCACACTGTCGGAGAGGTCTTGCGAGGTGGTCCAAGCATACGCGAGCGTGTGTCATGCTTCAAGACAAGTCAACACCGCAATGCTTGGGCACATCACGTTTACTGACGGCGTTGATCGCAATAACACAAGAGCAACGGCACTGTACCAAAACTTCACTCGCGCTCCAGTAGTACCCGTCGACTGTAGCGTCCACAGCATCCGCTGCATCGCAGTACCTCGCAGTCTCGATTTGGGCTCGGTATGAACTGACCCCATGCGTCGGCAACATTCCCGCGTCAGAAGTACTCGGACTCAAGCACTGACACCATACTAAAAACCTCACTCCGAAAACGTCGGTTGGACAACCCACTTAAACCATGCTACCATCGCGTTGGAAGTCGAAAAATCAAACATCATCGCGTTGGCAGCGTCGGTAGCACACTTGCCGATCCTGATCACGAGATAAAACACATCTTCCAATTACACATCGGCCACAACTCAGGATCTACGCAATCAGAACTTGGCGCGGGCAATGTTGCTCTTCTTGACGTCGTAGCGGTCGAGGTTCATGACCTTGTTCCAAGCCTGGACAAAGTCCTTGCTGAACTTGTCGGCGTTGTCGGCCTGGGCGTAGTTCTCGGCGAGCGCACGCAGCTCGGCCTGCGAGCCAAAGATGAGGTCGGCGCGCGTGGCGCTCCACTTCTTCTGGCCCGACTTGCGGTCGAGACCGTCAAAGACCTCGCCCTTGCCACCGTCGGCAGCCTTCCACTCGGTGCTCATGTCGAGCAGGTTGACAAAGAAGTCGTTGGTCAGCTGGCCACGGCGGTGCGTGAAGACACCGTGCGACGAGCCGTCGTAGTTGAGGCCGAGCACACGCAGACCACCAATGAGCACGGTGAGCTCGGGAGGCGAAAGCGTGAGCAGGTTGGCGCGGTCGACCAGGTACTGCTCCGAACGCACGCGCTCGGTCGAGCCGCCGTAGTTGCGGAAGCCATCGGCGGTAGGCTCGAGCCACTTGAAGGTGTCCTCCTCGGTCTCCTCCTGCGAGGCGTCGGTACGACCAGGGGTGAAGGGGACGGGAAGACCCGACGCCTTCTCAAGCGCGGCGTTGCCGGCGAGCACAATGAGGTCGGCGATCGAAATCTGCTTGCCACCCTGGTTGGCCGAGTTGAACTGCTGCTGGACACCCTCGAGGGCGCGGAGCACCTCGTTGAGGACGGCGGGGTTGTTGACCTTCCAGTCCTTCATGGGCGCCAGACGGATACGGGCGCCGTTGGCACCACCACGCTTGTCCGAGTCACGGTAGCTCGAGGCAGACGACCAGGCGGTGAGGAGGAACTTGGATGGGTCGACACCGGTGCCGAGGATGGCCTGCTTCAGGCCCGAGAGATCGCGATCGTCGACGAGAGGGTGGTTGACAGGGGGCACGGGGTCCTCCCAGATGAGCGTCTCCTTGGGGACCTCGGGACCGAGCCAGCGGGCGCGGGGGCCCATGTCACGGTGGAGCAGCTTGAACCACGCGCGGGCAAAGGCGTCGGCAAACTGGTCGGGGTTCTCGAGGAAGCGGCGCGAGATCTTGTCGTAGGCGGGGTCGTAGCGCAGCGACAGATCGGTGGTGAGCATGGTGGGGCGACGCTTCTTGGACGGGTCGAAGGGGTCGGGGATGATGGCGTCGGAGTTCTTGGCGACCCACTGGTTGGCGCCAGCGGGCGACTTCTCAAGCTCCCACTCGAACTTGTAGAGGTACTCGAGGTAGAGGTTGGACCACTGGGTGGGCTTGCTGGTCCAGATGACCTCGAGACCGGAGGTGATGGCATCGCCGGCCTTGCCGGAGCCGTGCTTGCTGATCCAGCCGAGACCCTGGTTCTCGATGTCAGCGCCGTTGGGCTCGGGGCCGACGAGGTCGGGGTTGCCGGCACCGTGGGTCTTGCCGAAGGTGTGGCCACCGGCGATGAGGGCGACGGTCTCCTCGTCGTTCATGGCCATGCGGCCGAAGGTGGTGCGGATGTCGTTGGCGGCGGCGACCGGGTCTGGCTCGCCGTTAGGGCCCTCGGGATTGACGTAGATGAGACCCATGTGGGAAGCGGCGAGCTGGCCTTCGAGGTTGCGGTTCTTGAGATCCTTGGGGTTGCCGCCCTTGTTGCCCTCTTCGTAGCGCACGTCATTGCCGAGCCAGGTGGTCTCGCCACCCCAGTAAGTGGACTCGTCGGCCTCCCAGGTGTCGGGGCGACCGCCGGCGAAACCGAAGGTCTTGAAGCCCATCGACTCGAGGGCGACGTTACCGCTGAGGAGGAAGAGGTCGGCCCAGGAGATCTTGTTACCGTACTTCTGCTTGATGGGCCAGAGGAGACGACGGCCCTTGTCGAGGTTGCCGTTGTCTGGCCACGAGTTGAGGGGAGCGAAACGCTGCTGGCCCTCTCCTCCACCACCGCGGCCGTCCTGGACACGGTAGGTACCGGCGGCGTGCCATGCGAGACGGATGAAGAAACCACCGTAGTGACCGAAGTCGGCGGGCCAGAAGTCCTGCGAGTCGGTCATGAGGGCGGTGAGGTCCTTCTTGAGCGCATCGTAGTCGATGCTCTGGAAGGCGGCAGCATAGTCAAAGTCGGCCTTGAAGGGATCCGAATTTGCCTGGTGCTGACGGAGGATGTTGAGACGGAGGGCGTTGGGCCACCAGTCGCTGTTCTTGGTACCGCCACCGGCGGCGGGGACGCGCTTGGGGTCGATGTTGTGAGCAACGGGGCACTCTCCCATGGTTGCGATGTAGTGTGTTGGAGTTTGGTGTGAAGGGTCTGAGAATACGTGCGCGCGAGCAGAATGAAGATGCTGCACGTAAGGATGGTGGTCGAGAGCGATGGGATGGGAAGAAAGGGTGGCGTATGTATATATGTGAGGGTGGCGGAAGGCGCCGACCAGGCTCGGTTGGTGCCAAATGCTCAGCCGGCAGTGGCGGAAGGGCGATGGCCGAGACTGCTTGCGGGGAAAGTGGCGGAATAGCAGAGGCTGCGAACGAGGCTGCGAGGCTGCGTAGATGCGCGCGAAGGCACAGACAGGGAGACAGAGAGAGTGGTCGGTGCGCGATTGCGTTGGTCATTTCGGTGTGCATTTTCGAGGAAGCGGCGTGACGTTGGAAGTTACTGCTGGAGTGCACTGTTCTGTAAGCGCGCCAAAGCGGCGACGGCGACCCATGAGGTTGTCGCGCATGGCCAGCGTGAAACGGGCAGGGCTGGGCAGTAATAGCTAGGCGCGCATTGGTTCCGCGGCTCGAAAGGCTGATGCAAGTTGGAATCAGAATGCCGCGATGCGCAGTCAGTCAGCAGCTCAGTCGCCACCCACCGCCCGAACCGAGCCGTCGCGCGGCTTCCATTTGCCTTCCATTTGGGTGCTCATGGAAATTCGAGGAAACTGCACCCGGCGCCACCCTTTCGACGGTCGGAACAGGAGATACTCGGCCGACAAATGTCACACTACTCTCGTAATGAGAGGCCGCCTCGCCACCCACCTCTGCGCCGAACGCTGCAAGGGAGCGAGCGCATGGCAAGATTCGCTCATCGAGTCCCCGATTCGCCGCTGTCTCGCCGCTACCTCATATGTCAAACTTCTGAGCTCAGCGTCGTGTGTGGCAATTGCAAAGTGACCTAGTGTACAAGAGGCCCCTGGTACGCATGCCGATACCGGATCCAGCACACGGCCGGGATGGCAAAGCTGCCCACCAAAAAGGCCGAAGTGTAGTTCATGTTGGCGCTCGTCACCGGCCACGTCGGCGGCAGCGACAGGAAGACGCAGAGCAGCACCGTAAATGCAATCGTGAGCAGATTGGCCGAAATGGTCAGCCACTTGGGCATCTTGAACGGCGGATCCCAAGCACCATCGCCGTCGCCCTCGGACGAGTCGGATCCCATGCTGCCACCTTGCTTGTCGGCCGTTGCTCCACGTGGCTCGCCTCGGCCTGCTCGGTACCTTGCGGCCAAGCACACCCCGGCCACGATCGCATACGACACCGCGAGTAGCAACGTCGGCACCGAGATGATCGCGCTAAACGCCGCCGTATTGCCAATGTAGATCAGCCCGATGCAGCTCTGGCACACCAGCACCAGCAGACCCGCGCGCAGCGGCGAGTCGAACCTCGTGTTGACCGTGCCAAAGAACGTCGAGAGCGGGAAGCCACGCTGGCGCGAAAAGCCGTAGATGCATCGACTCGCCGCCATGGCCACATCCGCCGACGTGATCAGGAACGACACGAGCGGAATCAGCAGCAGCACAATCGCGCCCGAACGCGACGTCTTGAGCCGCAGCATCTCGGCGAAAGGAAAGCCCGTCGAGGTGGTGATGATCGCATCCAGCTCCGGCAGCGTAAATACGAGCACAAACGCATACGCCAGCGTCACCACAACGCTCGTTCCAAGCCCGCCAAAGATCGCGATCGGCACCTGGCGCGCAGGGTTGGCCATCTCCTCCGAAAAGTGCGTCGGCACATCCATCGCCGTCGTCGACAGCGCCGCCTGCGAAAGTCCCAGCACCCACGGGATAAAGTTGTTGCCCCATCCCGACACGTTGACAATGTCCACCAGTGCAAACTCGACCGTATTGTACTGGCCGCGCGATTGGATCAGCAGCGTCAACACCACCACCACCAGTCCCAGCACCGACCACGTAAACGCAAACACGTTCAGCCTCGACACCAGCTTCGACGCGATCCCCGCCACCACAAAGCTGAACGCCGCCGTACAAACGATCGACACCGACACGTGCCACGTCTCGATCACATACGACGGAAACGTGAGGTTGATCATGGCGAGCAGGATGACCGTGGTGATGAGCTGCGCCGCTACGCTGAGGAAGATGTAACCCAGCAGCACCAGCCACGAAGTCAAGTACGACAGATAGCGTCCGTGCAGCCGATACACCCATGCTGCCTGGCCCGAGGCGTTGGGAAATTGCGAGGCCGGCTCGGCGATCGTGATGGCAGCCGCCATGTTGCAGACGCCCACGATGATCATGCCCCACACCAGAACGTTGGCTCCTCCGCTCGCCAGCGCTGTCGCTGCACTCGCCGAGTAGGCAATCCATGTAGAGAGCGACGTATACCCGAGCGCAATCGCTCCCAGCGTACTCAGCTTCTTGCCCAGCACTCCATCGCCGGTAGTGTGGTCAAGCCTTGCTTCCTCGCCGCCATCACCGACGAAACTGACTGGCGCCTGCCGATCGAGCTCCGACACGGTGATCTCGGCGCCCGAAGACAAGTGCTTGCTGGACTCGGCCATCTTCTTTTCTTGAGACATGATGAGAAGGCTCGTGCTTGGTACGACCCGGGATGATGTCGATCTTGTAGCGGAACTGCGCTTGGCAGAATCTTCCGATGCAAATCAAGGGCGGCGCCTCCAAGCAGCTCTCGGACTGCTTTCTTATACGATGTTGAGAGAGATTCCGGGCGAGCCCTTGCATCACAGTACTTGCTCGAGGATGATAAGCGGGAAGGAGGTGGGTGCAGGAGCATTCGATCGACACTGAGCACATGGTGCCGACATGCGAGCTGGGCCTCAGGCGGGATGGACTGGTTGAGCCGCTTCGCAGGGCGGGAAAGGTGGACGGACCTTGAATGTCAAGTTCCGCACGCCAGGGTTGCAATCACGCCTACGGATAACGGCCAGGCCATCTCGGCGATATGGGACGGGCGCGGGTTCCACCACCAGCACGGCAACGATCATCCGACCCTGGATCAGGGCGAGCGCACGCGTTCGAGCCAGCCGTGCGCCTGCGCTCGCATGTGCTGTATGGCCAAGTGCCGAGATGCCAAGCACGACCCAACTCCCTAGGCGGTGCACTGTGCAAGGACGCGTGTCCAAGCGAGGCGCAACACTCTGTTATCGCGGCAGTGCACCACGATAAAGAATCCAGCCCGGCGCCAGGTATCGGCAAGGGTCTGCGGAAGCCTGCACGATGCACCAAAAATGCGGGGTAGCGTTTATTAATTGGTACATGGCCTTTGTGCCGCTTGACGGCGTGCAAGGCTAAACCAAAGCAAGTCGCACGGGCCGAGCAGGGTTCGACCTACCGACACGACGTGCGAGCACGCCTATCAGACCCTGTGACATCGGCTTGCTGGACGAGCTCCGACCACGCACCAATCAACAGCAATGGCAAGTTTGATAAGCTGGAAGCGATTGGCTGCGATTCGTCGTTCGCATCTACTGCGCCAATATGACACGGCAAGCTTTGTGGATCCGACGGGTGAACCTGATGGTGCTCTTCCAGACGGTGGCGAACGCTAAGCGACTAAGCGTACAGGCGAGTAAGCGAGCCAATCGGAACGCGTCGCTTAATTTTGGCACAGCTGTCACCGCCTAGATTAGCGGCGCGGCCAATCTCTGTGCACAGCGCTTGAGGGCGATAAGCGCGCCAGGCTCTTCTTTCGTCCACGCCCACGCCCACATTGCGGCACTTTGGCCCCCGAGTGTGCTCGCATACCGCTAAAGCCGTGCGCGTGACCACGGGCGCATGACAGTGATGTGCAGAGTCAAGACGCCTCGAAGCTATCCGATAGGGCGGGCCGCGCAGTTGCAGCAGGCAGTCCTGTAGAAGCCAAATCTTCCGTGCGCACCAGATCCAGCACAGACACACTCTGACGAGCTACAGATCGTCGCTCCAGCCTTGCTGGCTGGTTCTTCAGACTACTTAAAGTAATCTGGTACGTTGCGCATCTCTTTGCCTTCCCTCCATACCATCGCGATAGTTTACTTGGCTGCAAAGCTCATACCACGGCAAAGATGGCTCCCACTGCAGTAGACGTGGTCGACTCGGGCCCAGCATCGTCTGTCGGCATCAAGTCGGTTGGCGGCAAGTCGGTAGCTCGGACGCAGCTCCACCCGCTCGACGACATTACTCCCGCTGAGAACAAGCTGGCGGTCGAGCTCATCCGTGCCTACCACGCCCAGGATGGTTTCGACCCCTGGTTCAAGTCGGTCCAGCGACAGGAACCTCGCAAGGCGGTTCTGCTTCCCTGGCTCGATGCCTACCATGCCGGCAAGAATCCGGCGCCACTGCCGCGCAAGATCGAGGCGATCTACATCGAGCCCAAGACGGCCAAGATCCACGAAACCGTACTCGACGTAGCCTCGCAAAGCGTCGAGTCGCACACCGTCGTGGCGGGCGCCCACCGTACCAACCTCGACATCACGCAGCTCGAGGAGTTCGAAAAGGCGGTGGTGCAGGATCCGCTGGTTCACCAGGCGCTCAAGGAGCTCGGTCTGGAGGCTGACACGCCCATCGCTTCCGATCCGTGGATCTTTGGCGCCGACTCGTTCGAGGACCAGCCGTACCTGATGCAGTTCCTCATGTACCTCAAGTCGCCGCGCACGGGACACGATGGCGACTCGTTCCACTACTCGTGGCCGCTGCCGTTCGTGCCTGTCGTCGACGTGCTGACGGGCAAGATCACGCGTGTCGACTGGTGCTACACCGGCGACTCGGCCGACGGCATGGTGCACACCTGGAAGCAGGGATGGGCGCAGTCCAACATGGAGGATCGCGAGTACATGCCGCATCTCCAGCCCAACTTCCAGGCGCGACCGGGTCTCAAGCCGCTCATCGTTCAGCAGCCCGAGGGTGCGTCGTTCACGGTGAGCGGCAAGAACGTCGAGTGGCAGGGATGGAATTTCCGCATCAGCTGGACTGCGAGGGAAGGCTTGGCGCTGCACGACCTTCGATTCAAGGGCCGATCCGTCTTTCACCGACTGTCGATGTCCGAGATGACGGTACCGTACGGCGATCCGCGTCCGCCGCTGCACCGCAAGCAGGCGTTCGATGTGGGCGATGCCTCGTGCGGCTTTACTGCCAACAGCCTCGGTCTGGGGTGCGACTGCCTGGGTGCGATCCACTACTTTGACGGCCACCTTGCGCTGCCCAACGGCGAGCTGCTTCAGCAGCAAAAGGTGGTGTGCATGCACGAGGTCGACGACGGCCTGGGCATGAAGCACACCAACTACCGAACCAACAACCCGTACGTGGTGCGTCGCCGCACGCTCGTGCTGCAGACCATCATCACGGTGGCCAACTACGAGTACATCTTCTTGTGGCACTTTGACCAGACGGGAGCGATCTCGTTCGAGGTGCGTGCCACGGGTGTGCTGTCCGTGTCGCCCATCGATGCGGGCAAGACGTCGCCGTACGGCAACGTGGTGTCGCGCGGTGTGCTGGGTACCAACCACCAGCACATCTTTTGCGTTCGCGTCGACCCGCGCATCGACGGCGACGGCAACACGGTGCACTACGAGGACAGCGTGGCCATGCCGTTCAGCACGGAGGCCGACAAGCTGGCGAACCCGCACGGCGTGGGCTACACGGTGCAGAAGACCGTGCTGACGCACGAGGGCGGAGCGGATCTGGCTCCCATGCAGAACCGCACGTTCAAGATCACCAACCCTAACAAGATCAACGCCATCTCGCAGAAGCCGATCGGATACAAGATGCACGTGCCTGCGACGCAGCTGCTGCTGGCACACCCAGATTCGGTGGCGTATGCGCGCGCCGAGTTTGCAAGACACCACGTGTGGGTGACCAAGTACCGCGACGACGAGCTGTGGGCGGGCGGCAAGTACACCAACCAGTCCAACGGCAAGCAGGGCGGACTTGCGACGTACAGCGCAGGCAAGCAGAGCACCGTCAACGAGGACGTGGTGGTGTGGGCCGTGTTTGGTCTCACGCACAACCCGCGTGTCGAGGACTTCCCCGTGATGCCCGTCGAGTCGCTCATGATGTCGCTCAAGCCCAACGACTTTTGGGAGACGTGCCCGATCCTCGATATCGCCACCAGCTCGCAGGCGGTCAACCGATCGACGCTGCTCAGCTCGCACGAGGGCGAGGCGGAGTCGTCGTCGGCATGCTGCAAGATGTAGACCTCGCTAGTCATCTAGATAATATGAATGATGAAGAAAGCTGAACAAAGCAGATGGATGCCAAGTTTGTGTAGTGTTTGCGAAGGCAGCGGAAGCGGAAGCGGAAATATTGCGGTCAGCTTTTCTCGTTTGAATTTTGGCGGATTATAAATTTTGGCGGATTATACTTCATGACTTGACCTTGCCCGCTCGAACACGGCACTGCACAGCCATGCACCAACGGACAAGTCTAGTCGTGACATGCGGGGACTCACGGAGCTCGAAGTGCGGGGCAGATAGGGCAAGGCGAATGAGGTGCCAAGCCTATCGCCATCCGAATCGGAACGAGTTGCAGCCCAGATGTTGGGGACGGGCTTGCCCAGACGCAAAAGCTGGGGCCGAGGTGGGGGTTTGAGGGGGTGGGGGTTTACAGCTCCGTTCGTGTGCCGTGTGATGCGGGGCTTTGAAGCGGCGTCAGGGTCCGGGCAAGCGCTCACTTCAAACCTCTGAATTGGGCCGACTTGGATTGGTCAATGCAAATAGACTCACACGGCTTCGGAAAGCGGAGCGCGGCACGGCCCGCACGCTCCGACCCTTGTACGCCCCTTCTGGCAATGCATTCCGCCTTGTCCGACCGTCCTTGTCCCACCAGCCACAGAGCGAACGGTGGCACAATTGCCGACTGCCGACTGCCGACAAGGCCGACGTCCATCCATCTTGACTTTGACTTTGACTTTGACTTTGACTTCCACTTTGACTTTGACTTTGACTTTGACATCGCGTCCCTTCATCTCACGCATCTCACCTTGCACACCAAACGCCGAGAAGCGTCTCATACTTGCCTAAATCTCGTCTCTCGCCGACAATCATGGTGCTCGCCGTCGCTGCACCTCCAAACAAGCGCAGGCGTCTCGACTCCTTCCTCTCCGACTCGGGGCGCGACGACGATGACGACGATGATCGCGATGATGAAGACAACGACTCCGAGTCCTCATCCCGCTCTCCCTCCCCGGCAGCAGGCGCACACGCCATCGCCCACATGATCTCTTCCCAGCGCCATCCCTCCACAAAATCAACCGGCGCAATCGATCCCTCCCTCGACGATGCGCCATCCGCCTCCTCCTCTACAAAACACAGATGCGACATCTGCTCAAAGACGTTCGCACGCCATGAGCACATGATCCGCCACCGTGCATCCCACACCGACTCCGCCTCCTTCTCTTGCGACGACTGTGGCAAAAGATTCCGCAGGTCCGACGTCCTCCAGCGTCATCGCAGGCTCCACGTCACACGCAAGGAACTCAACCTCGACGAGTCAAACACTAAACTCACAAAGCGTCAACGCTCCGCACTCGCTCGCGTCGAAGCCGCCTGCCTCCGCTGCTCCTCCAAAAAGCTCAAGTGCGACGCTGCAAAACCTTCGTGTGCCCGCTGCCGTCGTCTGCCGGACACCGCCTGCGTCTATCCCGCCCACTCCGACACCGCCCCCTCCTCGCCCACGCACAACGTCGACGATGCATGGAACAACGAGCCCCCTCCCGCCTCCTTTGACGCACACACTGCTTCTCCGCCCATCGCCAGCTCCACCCCTTACCCTGCCCAGGCATCCACAGCTAGTCCAGCCACTTTCGCACAGCAACCTCCCTCCCTGCTCGAGACCCACTTCTCCGCATCTTCCATATCCTCGTCCACCCCCGTCGACCTCCAGCCTCAATCCTTGCTCTCCGCCACTCCCGCAAACTTTATTCCGGCAACGCAGAGCCTCACGCACATGCTCCACGCCCCTCCGCCTCCCGTCGATGCAAATGCTGCCAACGCACAACGTACGCTTCACGACCTCATCGGATGGCTCGACGGGCCTCTCGTCCAGGAACGCCCCGACCTCGAAAAGATCGACTGGATCTTTGGCGACAGCCCAGAAGCCCCTCAGCTCCTCGACTGGGCACAGATGTACGAGTGGGCCGATTTCGACCTTGCCGCTCGTCCCAACGCCCTCGCTCCCTCCTCCTCAGACGCCTTGTCCGCTCTGCCCTCGTTCGAACAAGCTCAAGCGCAGCCACAAAATACCCTCACTCCCCACCATCGCCATCTCTCCAACACCGCGCCCATCCAGCAAAACAGCCCGCTCTTTGTCCTCAGCTCCGCCGCAGAGATGCTCGACTTTGGCCAGCGCTCTTCGCAAGCCTTGAACGACTCTGGAGCCGCCAGGACGCCAATGCCCCAAATCGGCGTGGACGAGCTCAATGGCTCAGCCGATGTACTGCCCTCAGACAACAGAGCCGTCACCACAGGTCGTTCGCGCTGGAATAGCCCCGAGCCCGCAGAAGACGACCTCGTCACCAGCGACTCCGCAAGATCCGATCCCTCCGACTCCAAGCGCGGTTCGCACAGCGCAGACACCGCGGCTGCCTTCGCTGATGGCCTACGTCCCGCTCGCCACGCCAAAACCTCGAGTGGCCGCAACGCTGCCGCATCCCAGGCGTGGCCAAACCGCTGGAACCCGGCCATCAAGGAGAATTCGCTGCCCAGTTTCATCTTCACCCGCGCCTCCGAGGAGCACCTCATGGCCGAAGACATGGCTCACGTCAAGCGCATCGGTCATGGCGCCATGATGCGCATGGTCGAGCACCTCAAGAACGCCGCCGAAGGCCCACTCGAAGAGGAGCGCTTCAACGCCGCCTTTGCCTCGCTCGACGCAGCCACGCTAAACGTCTACCTCCAGCTCTTCTTCCACCACTGCTACTCGTATCTGCCCGCCATCCACCAGGTCACCTTCCATCCCGATCGCTGCGATCCCCGTTTGCTCGCCGCGCTCTGTGCAGTCGGTGCCTTCTTCTCCGAGATCCCCGGCAGTCGCAATGCTGCCATCTACCTCGCCAGTCTCGACCAGATCAGCGTCAGCCGAGCCACGCTCTCCAACAATGCGCTCGCACGCGTCACCTCGACCTTTCAGTCGATTCTGCTCATCTACATGATCTGGCGTAGTGTCGGCGTGCCGTCTCGACAGGAGTATGCAGAGGCGTTCAGATCAACCTATTGCACCATGATCCGGCGCGCTAGGCTGCTCGAGAACATCGCTCCGCCCAAGTTGCCGGCGCGTGCAACCATCGACGAGCGATGGACTGCCTGGATTGCTTGGGAATCGGGCCGTCGTACCGCGTGGTCTACGCTCGTGTCCGAGACCGAGCTGTCGGTCCACTGGAACTTGCCCGAAGCTTTCGCGCCCAACGAGATCACGGGCAAACTGCCGTGTGACGATCGGCTCTGGGAAGCACCTACGGCAATCGAGTGGATGCAGACCGCAAAGATGCTCGCGCCTCCGCTCAGGGGATTGCAGCCCGGCGCAGGCGTTGGCATGCCCTCGATTGTGGCCGACGTAGCAGACGAGCATTTCGTCTGGCCCGACAGCTCGAGCCAGCTCGACGTGGCCACCGCGTGCGACATTATTCAGCGCTACGCACAAGCGTCTCCCAACGATGCCGTCGCGTCGGTCACCGAGGAAGAAAGGGAGGCACTGGCGCGACTCTCTCCGTTCAGCAGGCTGTGTGTTGGCTCGGCTGTCATGCTGTCCACGCATCACACGATGAAGATGGTGCGATTCTGTCCGATGCTGCTCGGCGACGAGGAGCAGGCGCGCGAGAGGATGCGCAACTACCTCGGCGCGGCCACCGACCTGCTCAGCACCAACCAGGTGCGCGATGCGCGCGTCGACCTGCTGCTGCATGCCATCCAGCTCTTTGAGCTCATCTCGCCCGAGATGCTCCAGCTGCTCTCGTGTCGGCGCGGCGTGCCTCGCATGCAGGCTGCGCGCAACGAGCTCAGCGCCCAACTCAACCAGGCCAAACCCTGGAAGACCAGATGCATCGTCTTTCACGCTGGCCAGATGCTACGCCTAGCAAAGCAGAGCCTCCAGCGAGCTCCCGTCGAGTGTCTCCACATCTTTTACGCTGCCATCGCCCTGCAAGCTGTGTCGCTGTTGGTGCTCCAGAACTCGGCAGGCGCACCGTCGGGGACGATCTATCGCATCGCCTTCAACGGGCCTGCTCGGTCGGCAGTCTCACAGGGATCGGCCGATGCGGGATCGACGCGAGTGTGGCGCTCTGGATCATCAGCCTCGATCGCCTCGTCCACATCGCCCTCGAGCGCAGGTGCGTACAGCTCGGCAGCCACAAGCATCAACAGTATGGATGCGGCAGATGCGCGCTCAGCACCTACGACATTCATGCTCGAATCGGTCGGCAACCTCGCCCACCCGCTAGCACCCGAACGCATCTTGTCGCTTGCATCAAAGTGGCTTCGCGCCGATGACGGCGTGGGTGTCTGGCCAATCGGTCAATCGCTCGCCAAGATCCTCGACTCACTTGCTGCACTGACGCCTCGACGCACGGATGCCAGTTGAATATCAATACGCGTTTCGTCATTTCAGTCGATTCTGTACCACGCTGTGTGAGGACGGCTCTGCAAGCGTCAAAACGACGTCTTTATCTTGAGTCCGCCCCGCTGTCGCGATCCCCTGCGGTTGCCAGGACAACGATGTTCTCCTCACCGCTCGGCGGCGTCAGGTCTGCCGCCGAGGATGCCACGGCGGGCCGGACGCCGCTGGGGACCCGGCCAGCGGCGGACTTGACGCAGCCGAGGATTACGCGGGCGGTATCATCCCCTGCCTTCGCCTGCCTTCTCCCGGCTCCATACTCCACGGGCTTGGCCGCCCTTTTTCGCCCCCATCCGTGGCTTAAAGGCGCCGATGCCGATGCAGGCGACGGACAGCAGACGGCTGTATGCGATCAAAACCAACATATATGACAGTGCTGTAACATGGCTGCGAATGCGAATGATGACGGTGATTCAATCTACGCGGCGTGCGAGTGCGAGCTAACTGAGCGAGCGAGTTGCTGCGCGAGGTACATGCTGCAAACCCCTGAGCCACTGACCGACCGGCCAGACAGCCGCATCGGCGTCGGAGCGGCACCACTCAATGTTCATCAAAAGATGTCCAGCGCGCAACAAAGCTTGGCAGCGACTTTGAGCTTAGCGGCCGGGGTTGTGGCCTCCATAAGTGCTGCGTCTGTTGTCGAGCTTGCCGTGGCTTTTGTGGTCCACGAACTGTCTCGCCGCTTTCTTCATGGTGTGGAGATGAATGGGCTTTCCTTTGCCGGGTGCGTAGCCGCCCTTGTGCATCTTGAGGCTGTAGTGTTGGGGACGTCGAAGCACATCGTCATCGACGAGCAACACGTCGCCATGCTTGACGTTAGGAAAGCGTGGCCGGCAGACGTCAGGGAAGCACGGCCTCACCAGTCTTGGAGGTTAGGAAAGCGTGGCCTGTAGATGTCCGAGGAACGCTGACCGAGTCGCATTCCTGTTGAACGCGCTTTGCCTGGGCATCGTCAGGCCGCTTGCGCGCGTCCTCCACCTCGTCCAACTCGTCGAAGAGACCGTTGAACCTGCCGTTCAGCTGGACTTTCCACTGTCCAGACGATCTCATGCCGATGGTGCCTTGTCCGGGAGTCTTGCGAGTGGGGTCGCCCTTGTCGGCGCTATGCGATCGAGGCATGCCTACGGATGAGAACAGATCAATGACGACTGAAAGTGACGATGATGCGCTCGGAGTCATGGCCGCCAGGGAAGATTTTGCGAGCCTCGGCCTGTCTCCACTCCGACAGCTTGTTCGGATCCTTGCCCGTTTTCGTGTGTCGCATGGGCGGCACCACCGTAATTTCAATGATGACCGCCGCCATCCGAGCTTGTGAGCATTAACGCCGAGGTACCCGGACCTAGCCGTGGTGGACTGGCTGCGATTGTTGACGGCTGGAGTTGTTGCGCGATAGAAATAGCTTTGAGTCAAGAACCGGCCGTCAACAGCCACAACCGGTCCGCTAGGGCCAATTCAGGATGCTCGGGTGTCTATCCCCATAAGCTTGGATGGCAGGCAGTCAAAATTGATACCACGGTGATGCCGCCCAAGCGACCCACGAAGACGGACTAGGAATAAGCTGCGTCAAGCTCGGATGGAGGATCGCCTTGATCGATACCACGGTGACCTCACGCAGGCATCACTTCGAACTTGTCGAGGATCCCCGAGGCCTGTCCGCAAGGCCTGGAGGCAAATCCTGGAGGCAAGTTCTGGCCGGCAAGGTTTTTTCAGGCGACCACGAGCCTTGATGTTGTAGTCTGCGAGGCTGAACGATATGGCGCCGACAGTGCAGGCGACATACATCAGATACTGTAGGTCATGTAAGGCCTCTGCCTCCCTCTGTCACGCACGTCTCAATCTCACTGAGCTAGCTTCTCACTCCGCCCGTGCAGTCAGTACATCGCGCAAGTCCAACATTGACATTCGCTCGTCAAAACATCTTGCTTCGTGATGCATTACTCCGTCTGCTTTTGTCGACTTGCTCACCGGCGCTCAGCCAGTGCCGGTCCCTTTCTCGATTTCCTGGCGGCTCTCACACCGAGTCGTCCGGCAGACTACTTCTCTCACTCCTGGAGCGAGCCTTTCTGGATCGCCTGTCTGTGCGCCTGTGCGGGAGTGATAAACGGGCGCTGTGCGGGTGCTGTGCGGGTGCTGTGCGGGGGTTGCGGGTGGTGTCGAGTTCCGCACGTCGCGGGTCGGAAACAATGGCCCGAAGGGCGCGGATCGAAAAATTCGACAACGCGGCTCACGCTTTCAGGACCTAACATTATGAAATTTGCCCCACGCTCATCGGCCCGCGGGGACCCCACCACCATATCGACCCTCATCCACCAGCGTGCTGACCACGTACAAACTGTAGCGAGATTTCATAAGATTCATGAAGTAGAGAAGCGAGAGAGCCTACGGCAGGGAAACTAACGTTGAGAGAGCAGGAAGCGGAAGAGATAATTACTTCGGGAGCCAGATGGCCTGGACCTGGCAGTAGGCGGCAAGACCGGAGGAACCATGCTCGGCACCGATACCAGAGCTCTTCATACCGCCGAAAGGAACGGCAGGGTGATGGCTCACCATTCGATTGATCCACACCGTCCCGCTTTCGACCTGGCGAGCGATGCGCTCGGCGGCAGCGTTGTCAGACCCCCAAACGGTGGCACCGAGACCCCACTGGGAGTCGTTGACGCGCTTGAGCAGGTCGGCCTCGTCCTTCCACTTGAGCAGGGGCACGATGGGGCCGAAGGGCTCCTCCTGAACGAGCTTGCTGTCCTCAGGAGGGTTGTCGACGATGCTGAGCGGGTAGAAGTAGCCATCCTTCTTCTCGACCTCGCCTCCGGAGATGAAGTTGAACTTCTTGTTCTTGGACTCCTCGAAGAACTCGGCGACCTTGTTGTACTGCATCTTGTTGTTGATGGGACCGAACATGACGCCCTCCTCGTTGCCGGGGCCCACCTTGAAGTTCTGAACGACCTGGGCGAGAGTCGCCTTGAATTCGTCGTAGATGTCCTCGTGAACGTAGATACGCTTGGCGGCGATGCAGACCTGACCCGAGTTGAAGAAGGCGCTCAGTAGAACGTTCTGTGCGGCAGTGGCCATGTCCGACTGCTGCGGGAGCACGATGCAAGGGTCGTTGCCACCGAGCTCCAGAGTGAAGCGCTTGAGCGTGGCAGAGCAGCTCTTGGCGACGAGGCGGCCAGTGACAGTGCTGCCGGTGAACGAGATCTTCTGGATGCGAGGGTGCTCGGTGATCCAAGGGCCGAGGTTGTCGTCACCAACGACGATCTGAACCACACCGGGAGGGAAGATCTTCTGCGCGGCCTCGATGATGCGAATGTCGCAGAGAGGCGTGAAGGGCGAGGGCTTGATGATAATGCAGTTACCGGTGATGATGGCCTGGGTCACCTTCCAGAGCATGAGCAGGATGGGGAAGTTCCAGGGCACAATACCGGCGCAAACACCGAGAGGGAGGTAGCGCTCGACAGCGCGGTGTGTCTCGTCCTCGTGCTTGACCTTCTCTTCGAGGCGGACCTTGGCGAGCTCGGTGAACCAGGGGAGGATGCTCTCGCACTCGTGCTGGGAGAACATGAGCGCCTTGCCCTGCTCGGCGGTGAGCAGCTTGACGAGCTCGGGCGTCATGGCCTTGAACTCTTCGCCGTACTGCTCGAGCAGCTTAGCACGCTCGTCCCACGAGGTCTTGGACCACGAAGGGAAAGCGGCGTGGGCGGCATCGACGGCCTGGTCGACGGTGTCCTTGGTGGCGATAGGCACCTGTGCGATCACCTTTTCGGTGGCGGGGTCGATGACGTCGAGCATCTTGGCGCCCTTGGCATCAACGGACTTGCCGTTGATGACGTGCGAGAAGGGCGCATCGAGCAGCTTGGAGGCGACGCCGACAGTCATTGTGAATGTGTCTGAATAGATGGGGGTGATGGGATATGGGTGAGAGGTCAACGGTCCGTGTGCGGGGAATAGAGAGGGCTCTTTATAGCGGTTCGGGGATGGTCTTGCAAGGCGGCGGGGGTCAGCTGTCCGTGCGCTCGGCGTGCCAGTTGCCGAGCAGGGCGATCAGAGCCTGTCGCCAAGTGGCGGACTGGAAGCGCGAAAAGTGACAGCCAACCAAAAGCAGGCACCAGGTCGCACAAGCTCGGTGTCGCGGCTTCGAGGTACGACCGCGCGCGGCCTTTTTGGTGACCGCGGCGGGTGGAGGCGCACAGAGCCTCAGCCCTCGCCCTGTCTCGCTGCGTAGACGGTTAAAATTGTCCTTCGCGGGTCGCGACCCGCGGCCATCCGCACTTTTTGCGGAGACAAGCCGCGATCCTTCAGATCGCCCAGGCGGCCACCGCTGCCTTGCCGCACGCCTCAGTCCCACGCTCTATCCTTCGAGAGTGACACCGCAGCCAAGTAGAAATGGTACAATGTGGAAATGCGGTCCCTCCGGAACTGACCAAGAGTCGTACAGTAGAGTCTCACCCAATGTTGCACAGCAGGATCGTCTTCGGAAGTCAAGGAAAAGAAGCGTCGATGTGGAGACGGGGCAAAGCAGCCGCAACAAAGACGCTGCGAGGCAGTCAGGCAGAGGCTGGCACTTGGACGCGCACGGGGTATCCTGTGCCTCACAGCCTTGGCCTGGGTCGAGTGTAAAAACGCAGCCTCGCACCTCGGCTACGGTGACACACTGCCCAAACAATGTGCAGCACCAGCACACGATGGCCCGACAACCAGTGTCACGCGTAACCCACGCCACCTCTTCTATCTGCACGCGCTGCAGTGTGACATGCTTCTCTTCCCTTATACTGCGTGCTTCCATCCAATTCCACTGCACTCGCACATGTCAGTCACCACAGAGCGGGGTGCGATTTCAACAAGCGACAGAAGCCTCCGGGAGGCGCTTTCCGAACCAAAGCATGTAGATGTACAGCAGCCAAGACGTGAGATTGAGACGCAGACAACGGGCTCAAGCGCTCACGTATCGCATCCAAGCCCAGTGCGAGAGCTTGAAAGCGCCGTAGCTGATGCCGCCCAGTGTACACGTGAGTGCGCTACCCCAGAACAGGAACAGCCCCTGCAGGAAGAAGACGCGCAGGATCGGCGCCGAAACCGTGGGTCGCGAACGCTTGACCAGCCGCTTGGTCTTGGCCAGGTGCACTGCCAGCGCCTTGCGTACCGCCAGCTGGCGTTGGTTCGTCGAGCCGCTCGACAGCGCCGATCGTGCCGAGCTCGACGAGGCAGCCACTCCCGACAGTCCCAACGAGGTGCTGCGAGTGGCAGCCAGATACGTCGAGCTCGCGCTCTGGAAGAGTTCCAGAGGCCATCGAAGCCCAGCAGCTCCGTTAAACGACTTACTAGCCTGCTGCTGATGATGATGGTGGTGGAGCATAGAGCTCTTGGGTAGCGGCTTGGGCGCATAGCTCGAGAAGAGATTCTCCGGTGCAATGTGATTGATCGACAAGGTGGCTGGGCCCACCTCGCGCAAAACATGCTGAACCTCTGCCGAATCGTGCGAGTACACCACCATGTGGCCTCCGTCAAGTCCAAGCTCCTCGATAAGCCCAAACGCATGCTCCGTGCTGCTCACTCCGACCAGCACCAGCGCAGCCAGATCCTTGATCTGCGCTACCACCTTGCGATCGCTGATCACAGCGCTCAGCTTGGCGGCTCGCGCTGCGTCCACGTCCACCTCGATGAGCGCAACCGGGCCGGGCCTCTTCTCGGATGCAAACGGCTTCTGCAATCGCGCCGAACCTCCGCAGTTTGCCACCTTGCTACCGATCGTCTGCTCGTTTTGCACGATTTCCTCGAGCTTGGAGCCATCGTCGCGCGGCGCCAGGCTGGCCGACGAGGTGGCGATTGCCAAGAGCAGGGCCTCGCGGAAGCTGCCGTAGGTCTCCTCATGAACAAAGAGGTACTTCGGAGCACCCACCCCACGTCCGAGCAGCATCGACGCGCCTTCCACCACCTCGGTCGCCACATCCCGCAGCCTCTCTGCCACAGCCTTGGAGGCATTGCTACCAAGGCCCAAGGGAAGCGAACTCGAAGGTGCGGTCGCGAGCGAAGCAGAGACGTACGCGGATCCAGGCACGCTGATGCGCGTAGCCACGTGCGAAGAGCCAGGTACCTCTACTCCAAACGCATCACTTGCGGCCTCCCGTAGATCCGCCACGCCATGCTGTGCAGCAGGCATGTCAGCAGGGCTGATCACAAAGACGGCCGACTTGGGCAGCTGAGGAGTGAGCTGCTCGACAATCACCTTGTTCAGCGACGGCATGGTGGGAGTGAGCACCGCGCACACCACGTTACCCGCCGCGACGGCTGAGACCAGCGGGGCGAACAGGTCATCGAACGGTCGCTTGGGCTGGACCACCACGAGCACTGCACCGACAGGCCTCGTGACGGACACATGCGCGTCTGCACCACCAGCATTGCCGGCGATGGTCAGCTTAGAGAAGAAGCGGTCCGGGAGGGCTCCTCCAGGCACCGCGGGCTTGCACTGGCTCTGCAGGGCTGCAGCGATCTGCGAGAGCGTGAAGGCGTACTCGAGCTCGAGCTCAACACGCGCTGCCTTGCCGTTGAAGTCTTGCGAAGCAGCCTCGAGCAGCTGGCTGCGCGCCGTCTCGAAGAAGCTGAAGATGGTTTCCAGCACCTTGAACCGATAGGCCTGATTGTGAGAGACGCGCTTCTCGACGAGCGCCTCTTGGATGTGCTCCAACACATCCTCGAACTCGTACGTCTGTGCCGGCAGCTGTCCGGGCGTCTTGATCTCGCCCTCGAACAGATCATCCTTGTTGCCTCCGCGAAGCAGCTGTGTACTCATCTTGTCTTGAAAAACTTGCTTTCGGTATGATGAGCGTTGGTAGGTTGTTGTAGAGAAGAAAGGTGCAAAGCGGGCGGATAGACCTTTGGCCTCTTGACGATCCGTGCTTTGAACAGCTCACGGCTCTGTGAAGGCGATTACCGCCAGTCCACTCGCATGCGTGGAAACATGTGGGGCCACGATGTAAATTATGATGGGCCCGGAGAACAACGCCGCTCGGCTTCATGTGGGGGTGGCGACATCATTAAAGCCAGCCCCGCGGGAGAGATTTTCCGAGCCGATTTCAGGGTCCATGGAGGAACCGAGGGTGGCTGATGGAACCGAGATATCGAGCGGTGGAGCTCCACCACAGCCGAACCTCCACCCAACCGAATCTGTGCTCACATAAGTCACCTCCAGACCCAAGTCATACACGACGGACTGGATCGAGCCCCATCTTTGCCTTGATCGTCCTCGAACTCCCTTCTCAGCCATTCGCGTCCACCTACATCTCGATCGAACATCATCTGAAAGGGTCACATCAGCCATGCCGACAGCAATCAAGTCAACGAGCAACACCACTCCCGTGTTCTTCTTCAGCCATGGCAGCACCATGATGCTCGGCGAGCAGAGTACGCCGGCGCAGTACTGGGAAGAGATGGGCCGCGAGGCCATGCGACGCGGGATCAAGCGTGTCATTATGATGGGCGCGCACTGGGAATCGCCCACCGACGAGATCCTCGTTGCGGCCAACCCGACCAATCCCAAAAAGCAGCCCGTGGCGTGGGTTGAGCCCTCGCGCTACGTCGACTACAAGATCAACTCTTCCCCGCGTCTGGCAGACGAGGTCGTGAACCGTCTACAGCAGAACGGCATCAAGGCCAAGACCGATCCGGAGCTCGAGTGGATCCATGACACGTTCATCATCCTCTGCTGGATGTTCCCCGCGACGACCGCGCATCCTCAAGGCCAGTGTCCCGAGGTGACGGTGGTGTCGGGTCTCTCAGTCTACAATGCTCCACTCCTTGTGGACGTTGGCAAGGCTCTTCGAGACTTCCGCAACGAAGACACGCTCATTATTGGAACAGGAGGCACCGTGCACAACCTCTACCGCAACAACTGGAAGCAGATCACCATCTTCCGCGACAACTTTGCACAGCCCCTCCCGCCGGCCAAGTGGGCACTCGACTTCAGGACCGAGGTCGAGGATGCGGTCGTCAACAACTCTGGCCCTGCACTCATCAATGCGGTGCTCAGGCTCATGCGACACCCGCTCTACAGAGATGCGCACGCCACCGACGATCACTATGCTCCGCTGCTGTTCGTCGCAGGTGCGGCTGGCTCGCTCAAGGACAAGGGCAAGAAGAACAAGATCACCGCAGAGTGCTGGGAGCTCCAGAACATGTGCAATTCGCGTAAGTCCCTCTCGCCTTGTTTGTACGTCTGAGTGAGGTCGGGTCAGCTGACGCTCGTTTCTGCTTAACTGTCCTCGTCTCTTCTACAGAGTTCCAATTTGGCAGCTGGTAGCCGCTCCCATCTTCAGTCGTCTATCTCTCTTTTGACTTGCCGCATGTATCATCCATTTCTCCATGCATGCGCGTGTGTACTTTGCCCTTGAGTAATGAGCACCGCATCTTCGTGCTTTCGAATACATGTCGGTACAGCAAGCGACTCGCACGTTGAGGAACAGTTCAGACATTCCAAAGAGCATACAAAGCGAGAGCTGGGCGAAATGCAGCTATAGCTCGTGCGGGCACTGGTAGCGGAAGAAGCGGTTCACGCTTTCGATCTTGCCCACGGTATTCCTGAAGATGGTGTTGGCAAGACCGATGGTTTGCACTCCGAGGCCGATCATTGTGACGGTGAAGATGGTCTCGGGTACCGTGTTGGCCCAAGGCCTCCTGGAGTGATCCAGGTTGCGGTCGATCGGCCGATATGCGGGTGTGCCTCTCTGTTCAGGCCAGCTGGCTGTAACTCGCACACAGAGGCCGTCTCCGGCACGTCAGTACTTTGCTTTCCGAGTCATCATGTGGGTAGCAGTGTAAACCTACCTGGATTGGTCCATTGAGGGCTCGTGTCGCCTCCTCGCACGCCGTGTGCAGGCTCGGGAGCAGTCCATAGGCCCGCAGCTGGAGCTCGAGCGGTCGAAGAACCGGAAAAGCTTCCAGTACCAGCGCCTCCCGACGTGTGTGCAGCATGGTGATCGATCAAACGCGCGTGGTCTTGGATCTCCAGCAGGGTCCTGCTACCTTCGCTCGTCATGCTCGTCATCGTCGTGGCTGTGGTCGTCGATGAAAGTCGCGGGGCGACTGCTGCTGCTGCCATGTCTGCAAGTAAGCTCGCGATGGTGGTAGGATGCAAAGCACCGGTATTCTCCCTGGCATTCTCCTTTGGCCTAGAGGCTTGTGAGTCGAGTGATCTCTCCAGTGCGCGGAAGCCGCAACGCATCTCGGTCGGGTCCCCGCAGGCGTGAGGTGTCGGCTCCATTCTGCCTTCCCCGGCTGTGGGGTCGGTCCATGTGGCGCCCGTGTTCACCCACACCACGCTTTTCCCGCGGTGAATTTTCGGCGCGGATGCTGTCGAACCCTGTCAACGTTGGGTGGGTTCGGGTTCGGATCAAGTGGGGGCCTCACTCCAATTGCAATGCCGGACCGAGCGTCGCACTCTCGCAGCGAACCCCACTCCACCCCACAGCGCCGTGCGATACCGCCGACTCTCTTCGGCTTGGTTAGGGCTGTCGGCCCCAGAGACTGATCGTTGCGCCTTCTTAAGCTTGTCAGTGGCCAGAGAAGCTTACAAGCCACCCACCACCGCCAAGCTTGTGTTCCAGAGTTTCCAAAGCTTTTCCACAGCACGAAGCAAAACGACCATCATGTCACAGGCTGGTGCACGAATTCTGGCGCACAGGGCTGCGCATCTGCCCTGTGCAGTCACTCCGGGCGCCAATGCCATCAAGACCACTCGCGAGGTGCTCGGGCTCATCCAAGACAAGAACGTCGACATCGTCATTCCTCGTCTCGAGGGCAAGAACGATGTCTGTCGTTGCGACGTCTACCGCCCAAAGGACACCGAGGACGGCAAGACATACCCGGTTCTGATTACCGCAGGCCCCTACGGCAAAGACATTGCTTACTCGGAGTTCTACCCAGAGTCGTTCGCCGAGCTTCCAGACGAGCAAAAGTCCGAATTGTCTGCCTGGGAAGTCCCCGAGCCCACCTTCTGGACGCGCCACGGCTTCGTTGTCGTCCGTGTCGATGAGCAAGGCACGGGTCAGTCGCCTGGCTTCCTCGACACGATGTCGGATCAGACGGCCAACAACTTTTTCCACTGCATCGAGTGGGCGGCTTCGCAGTCCTGGTCTTCTGGCAAGGTCGGCTTGCTGGGCATCTCCTACTATGCCGGAAGCCAGTGGCGCGTAGCAGCACGTAAGCCCAAGGGCCTCGCCGCCATGATCCCTTGGGAGGGCATGTCGGACTACTACCGCGACCGTGTCCGCAAGGGCGGTATCTATGGCGATGGTTTCGTCACCATGTGGCAAAACTACCAGATCAACTCAAACCAGTACGGACGAGCAGCTGCCCCGCCGCCCAAGAAGACCTGGGGTCCTGGCCGCAACGCCAAAGTCCCGAGCATCGAAGGCGTACTCACTCCTGAGCAGCTCAAGGAGAACCGCACCGATCAGACTGTCGACAACGCCGAGAACTTCTTCCTAGACCAGGACTACTACGCCTCGCGCGAATTCGATCTGTCCGACATCGAGACGCCACTGCTCAGCGTCGGCAACTGGGGCGGCATTGCGCTCCATCTCCGCGGCAATGTGGCAGGCTACCTCGGAGCTGGCTCCAAGATGAAGTGGCTCTGGCTCATCACCGGAAGACACGACCTCCCCTTCTACCTTCCCGAGCGCGTGGCCCTCCAGCTCTCCTTCCTTAATGCATTCCTGCGCGACCAGGATGACCGTGGCTGGCTCAAGGGTCCCAACGCCGAAGGTGGCGTACCCGCTGTCAGCTACGTCGTTCGCAAGGGCTCGCCCAAGTTCAACACAATCGAAGGTGACCGCTCCTTCCCCGAGAAGATCGCCAGCAGCTGGCCTCTTCCCAACACCAAGTACACGCCCTTCTTCCTTTCGGCGGATCATCAACTCAAGACGGACCGCCAAGCTGCCGCTGTTGCCACCAACGGTGTCACGAGCATCGATGGCCACCAGCCCAGCTCGCCCGAACAGGTAGCTTACCGCGGCTTCGACGGAGAGAGTGTCAAGTTCGAGCACAAGGTTGAAGGGTCCGAGATCGAAATCACTGGCCACCCGCACTTGCGGTTGCTGATGAGCGTCGCTGCCGACCCTAACACCGGCTCGGTGCCCTCAGAAATCGACATCTTTGCCACTCTTCGCCATCTCGACGCCGCCGGTAGCGAAGTTTTCTACACCGGTACGGCAGGTGATCCATGCCCCATCGTCAAGGGCTGGCTGCGTGCCTCGGTACGCAAGGTGGACCAGGCCAAGAGCACGGAGCTCGTCCCCTACCGAAACTACCTCAGCTCCGAGGTTGCTCCGCTCAAGCTCGACACAGTCTATGCGCTCGATGTCGAAATGTGGCCCACGAACGTCGTCATTCCCGCCGGTCACACGCTGCAACTTGAGGTCGGGCCTCAGGATCAGCAAGGCGGTGGCGTGTTTACTCACACCCACCCTCAGGACAGAGTGCGAGCTAAGCTCGTTGGTATCAACTCCATCCACACTGGAAGCGCCGACGCCGCAAAGGTCGATACAATCGGCATCAGCGCAAAGACACCTTTGCTCGGCAACGACGTCCTCGCAAGCTGCCTCGTTCTTCCCATCATTCAGCCGTAGAGGCTGCAAAAATAAAAGTTTGTTCTGTCCGCACGCAAATATAGCCGTATCTCACATCATATCGAGCTAGTTTGTTCCTGTCTTTGTGAAGGAATTATGTGCGCTGGAAGGGAGACGGCTACAGGCTGAGCTTTCCCACAGCTCACGTCGCCTCTGATACCAACTACAGGCCTGTCAATGGCTCAGATTTCCAAGTCCCTGAGATCAATCAGCGCCGAGTCTGCATCTCAACTAGTACATGCATCTCAACTAGCGCATCACGACATGCATCACACTACTTGACTCTTCCAATGTTTCCAATTGCTATTCCTAATGCAGTGTGCTGGGAGCTCGTCGGTCAGGCGTGAGAAGATCTTTACACAGCAGCATCGCTTGAAGCCAAGAATGCTGTTGAAGAGCAAATCAAGATCCCATCAGGCGCTGACCTGGGCAGGGACTGCAGCCCCGGTGACGCCGGCAGGCTTGGGCACGTCCGCAGAGGGGCCGCCAGGGGGCTTACCAACGCGGCCCTCCTTCATGCGCTGCTCCCACTCCTCGGCGCCCTGGTAGTCGTACAGGAAGAAGGCAAATTCGGTGGGGTTCTTGCCGAGCAGCTCCTCCTTGGAGCCGGGTCGAGGACCGAGGGCCTGTAGCCTGGATCTCTCCTGCGAGATGGTGGCCCTAAAGTGCCTGAGCTTCTGGAAGCGCTTCAGTGCTTGTTCGACGTGGCCGAGTTCAGGAACGCCAGGCGAGGTGCGGAGAACGTAGGCCAGCGCCTCGGCGTCCTCGATGGACTGCGAGCCGCCTTGACCGAGGTGGGGCAGCATAGGGTGGGCAGCGTCGCCGATGATCAAAGCTCGATGACGGTGCCAAAGTTCGAGGGGATCCTGGTCGCGAAGCTGGTACAGCCCGCACTCGGTCGCCTGCGAGAGAATCTTCTTGGCGGTTGGGCAGAATTCAGCAAAGGAGGCGTTGAGGTCCTTGAGCGAGCCAGCGGCACTCCAAGACTCGGTGGACTCCTCGAAGAGCCCCTCGTCTGGCACAATGGCGATGATGTTGAGCAGGTCCTCTCCGTTGTACTTGCAAGTGTAGCACACAAGTCGCCTGTCCTCTGCGACAAACATGGCGAGGCAAGGCGCCGACATGATCCTGTCGATCGTCTCGTCCTGAAGGCCCTTCAGGCGGTCGAAGGGGATCAGGAGTCGGTACGCCGAGTGACCACTGGGCTTGGCACCAGCTGGACGGCCGAGGACATATTGCTGCAGAGTACTCTTGATACCATCTCCACCGACGATCAGATCGCCCTCGAAGGTGGTTCCATCTGCCAGCGTGATTCGACCAGCCTCGCCGTCGACAGCGACGACCTTGCTGCTGAGGTGCATCACAGCAGGCTTGCCAGGAAGAGAGGCGTCGTCGGACGTGGCGAGGTGAAGCAGCTCCCTGTGCAGCGACACGCGGTGGTTGAGGAGCCAGGGAGAACCAAAGTGCTCAAGAACCTTGACCTCCTTGTGCAGCACGAGCTTGCCAGCGACGTTGTGCTCGTAGACATGGCGACAATTGGGAGATTCAATGCGATCCAGATTCATACCCCACTTGAGGAGGATCTTGCTAGCGTTTGGTCCAGTGCTGCATGGTCACAAGCCAAAGTAGCAGCGGAGTTAGCATGATGAAGGTGGCGCAGACGCTAGTCAAAGCCGCAAAGCAGTGGGAAAGACCAATGGAGCTTACTGGATTGCAGCGCCGACTTCTGTCTTGAAGCTCGACTGTTCGAAGATATGTACCTCGTGATGCTCACGAAGGGCTCGTCCCACCGCGAGGCCGGCGATACCTGCACCTACGACAAGCACACGCAGTCGCTTGACTTGGCTGTCGGTCGTCATTGCGTGTCCTAGAGCTCGGCTTGATGTAAGAGAAGGTCAAAGATGATGTGATTGCAGGGTCAGCTCCAGCCATGGAAGGCGCGCGGTTCAAATAGCCGGCCCATCTCGGGCAGCGTGGTGGAGCAGTGCTGGAGCTGGCGGCTGTCAGCGGTCCGTTTCCGCAGGCTCCACCGCGACCTGATCCAGGACGTGTGGGGGTGGCTCAAAAATATGCACCAGCAGAGGACCGCGAGCATGACACGGTGCGCGCGACGACACGGAAAATGCACAGCTGGACACCTTCGGCCCAGATGGGGGATGCGCGGAATCGAATTCCGCAGTGCGGGGCAGAAACAGTCTTCTGCTTGATGAAGCCGTTCTGACATGTATGAAGGATTGCCGTTCCGAGCCCATGGGCCGAAAAAGTCTTTCACCGTCTGCCTGGTGCTCGGAATCGCAGCTCGGCACCCACGAACAGATGTGGTAGGAAAGAGCGGAAGGCCATACGGCGGTCCAACTTCATGCACATCCAAGCACAAGCGACCAATTCACGTTCATAGGCTTCCAAAGTCGGAGCTGTCAGTGTAAGCACCCTGTGTTGAAGCAAGATTGCAGGAAGAAGCGAGATCTGAAGGTGTGAAGGTGTGACCACTGTTTAGTGGCTCGAGTGATCGCGCATGTAGTCGCGGATGCGGAGGAAAGACTGCTTGAAGTGACGGTCGAGACCGTGGCTGGTGTAGTTGACATACTGAAGGCCGAAGCGGAGGTCGAGCCCCGAGTTCCACTCGAGGTTGTCCAGCAGACTCCAGAAGAAGACACCGCCGAGGTTGAGGCCATCTTCGTGAATGGCGAGCAGGTACTCTTGCAGCTGATCAATCACGTAGCGCGTCCTGGCCGAGTCGAGTGCGAACTGAGAGACGTTGATCTTTTCACTCTCAAAAGGTTCAGCGAAACCGACCTCGCTGAGGTAGATCACCTTGTCGCCACTCCAGCGGTCGCGGATCTGGCGGAGGAACTGACGCACAAGACCCGCCGAGTTGTACAGCCAGCTCGAGCGAGGGTCGGCGAGCTCGCCGATCGGCCAGACCGAGTTGCCTGTGGCGTCGGAGCTGATGGTCTGGAAGTCACTCTCAATCGAAGAGGTGCATCCGGGCCAGTCAGGGTGCGTGATGTTGCGCTCGCACGCAGCAAGTCCGCCGGGTGCCCGAGTGGCTCGTGCTACTCGGACCGAGTAGAGGTCGATAGCGTAGTAGTCGGCTGCTCCCTTGATGATGGCCTTGTCCGACTCATTGAGGCGGGGCAAGACGTCAGCCGGCGTCGTGTCGAGAAGGATCTGGGGCCAGTCACCCGTGCTGTAGACAGGGTCGCTCCACAGACCCAGCAAAACGGCATCGTGTCTCTCGGCAGCTCGGATGTCCTCTTCGTTGCCGGTGCGGTGAGGCAGAGCGATGGTGTTGTCGTTCTTGAATCCCATCTCACCCTTTGGCAGCGTGCCGTTGGCAATGAGCTTGTGGTAGAGCTTGTGCACCTTTCCGTTGGCAAGCAAGAGGTTCTTTGCGCAGTAGAACAGACTCTGCTGGCCGGTCAAATCGCCGTTGTACGTCACGTTGTACGGCAGGCCGGATTGGTACTCGCCACAGATCTGGTTGGGCTCGTTGAAGGTGACCCAGGTCTTGACACGATCGCCATATCGCCTGAGGACGGTGTCTGCATAGTTGGTAAAGTCATCGACGATGCGTTCGTTGCGGAAGCTTCCGTACTCGAACTCGAGCGCTAGCGGCGTGTCCCAGTGATGCAACGTCGCCACGGGATCGAGACCCTGAGCAATGGCCTCATTAATGACGTCGTCGTAGTGCTGCAGACCTGCTTCGTTGACCGGACCGCTTCCGAAGGGGAAGATGCGCGACCATGAGATGGAGAACGAGTAGATCTTACCGCCCATCTTCTTGAGTCGGGCGAGATCTTCCTTGTACTGGTAGTAGTGGTTGTCTGTTACGTCGCCGGTCTGGTTGTTGGCGATGCACCCAGGGAAGTAGTGACCGCACAGATCCCAGTTGCTGGGTGCCTTGCCGTCTGCTTTGGCAGCTCCTTCAACCTGGAATGCGGCGGTTGCGACACCCCATCGGAAGGAGTCGGGGAACTTGAGCCCACCAGCTTTGTTGCAAGCGGCTCCCTGAGGAGGCCAGTCGTAGGCGTCGGACAAACCAAGCACCACCGACCTTTGAGTCGGGTCAGGCGGTACGTAGATCGAGTCTTGGCTTGGTCGCGGAATCACCTCGGTGATGTTGGCCTCTACCACGGGCATCTTGTCTTCGAGCAGTGCCCACAGACTATCGAGATACTCTTGGGTGTGATTCACCGCGCGGTAGGCGGAGAAGGGATCCGAAGCGTTCATGGACGGATCGGACGCGGCGCGAGACTCGAGCGAGCCGCTCCCGTTGTACGGGTCGACGGCGACAGGGGTGGCTGTGGCACCTGGAAGAGCGAGCAGCGCGGCTGCATGGGTGAGTGCAAGGAGCACAGTGGACCAACCTTTGGCTGAGATCATGTTGGCGGTTCTGAACGAGAGAAGCGAAGCGTGGTAGGGTCAAAGCAGTCAAAGGCTTTCTAGCCCTCGTATATATACTGCACGTATGAACTTTGAACGTGGGGATCCGAGACAATGCTCGTTTGCGCCCGGTCGGCATAGCTTGGTTGTTCCGAGCTACTTTGCCCCCTTCCCCCTCCCCTTGCTCACGAAGTGTCGGCTCGGTCCCCGACCACCGATGCGGCAAAGGTTCCGCCACTGCGATGCTCGCCGCCGTACCCAGGCAAGGCAAGGGTGGAACTTCTGCGATGATTGAAAATGTACCGCGTGGCGCGAGAGATGTGTACTCTCTCTTTCTACCACTCGACCTCAAGCTGGCCCCCACAGTGTTGCTTGGCCCGGCCTTGCTCGGTCTGCAGATTCTCGCTAATGGAGGTTGACGAGCATGCATGCTGTGCATTTTGCACACCGGCGATTTCGCCCGGCGGCATGTGTAGGGATGTCCCCGCGGCTGCTTTGAGCGCATCGGCACTAAACGAGGACCGGCGACTTGCGTGCAGACGGACTGGCTGCTTCCGTGGATTGTGGCTAGCGAAGCAGAGCCGAGCTTGCCGACGATAGCGCCTACAGAAGGCTAGCAAGGCGGTCGGCTGTGCCATTGTACCAAGGGCAAGCAAGCATGCGGTTACCGCGGACCGCACCTTCTCGCCAATGCATAGGAGTCCAAGCGAGCGTGGGGGCCCACACCGAATGCGGAGACGATCGCCGATAACGCGCTCGTGGCCACGGCTCATATCGGCAGGTGTCAGATTGGGCGGGCATGTTCCTTTTGGCTTTCATTTCGAGGTTCGTTTTTCTCGTGAGTTTTGCGGCTGTCTGTTTTGCTCGTCAGTTCGCCGGCAAAGCTGGGGCCGAACCGAAGCAGCGCGCTGCTCTCAGACCCTTCATGTCACGGACCACGGCTCGGTGGCAGTAGGTTGAGACCCCCACCTGGGCCGCACTCGGGTCTCCACGAGCTCTCCCACAGCCGGTTCCGGCTCCGCTCGCCACACACCGGCTGGCTTGTCCAACACGCTAGCATCAACCGAGCGCCTGTACATCCTATATTATCGTGCCAGCCATGGCGGGTCGCCATATTCCCTGCAAGCGACCGAACTCTGCTGACCGATCGAGCATCACCATGACAAGAAGCAACCCGATCGAGAGGCTCGAGTGCGTCATCCCGTACGCGGTCGACCATCCGTTCCCACTCGAGAACCTGCCTTGGACTGTCTTTTCGACATCTGCGGATGAGAAGCCGCGATGTGCTGTCCGCATCGCAGATTCGCTTCTGGATCTCGCTCTGCTGAGCGCTCAAGCGCCACACGCCTTTGCCTCTGGTCCGCTCAGCGACCAGAGGGTGCACGAGCTTTTTTCTCAATCGACCCTGAACGCATACCTTGCCCAACCGCGCCAGGTGCATCGTGACTTCCGAGCATTTCTGCAGCACATGCTCTCTCCCGGTTCGCAGGTCTTTGACTCCAACTCGCAGGCTGTCCTCCAAGCCGCGCTTATCCCAATCGAGCAGGCAAAGCTGCACCTTCCTATCCGCTCAGGTGACTACACGGACTTCTGCGCCTCAAAGTACCACTGCACTGCCACCGGGCGTCTCATGTTCAACGATCCCACACGACCTCTGGAAGACCAATGGTTCCAGCTGCCCATCGCCTACCACGGGCGTTCCTCATCGCTCGTCGTCTCCGGCACCAACTTCCACCGCCCTAACGGTATCTTCCGTACCAAGCCAGGCTCATCGGATGTCCAATTCGGTCCATCCAAACGTATGGACTTTGAGCTGGAGGTGGCATTCGTAATCGCTGGCAGCGAGCTGAGCCCGCTCGGTCGGCCCGTCAAGCTCGACCAGGCTGAAGATGCCATCTTTGGCTTGATGCTTATGAACGACTGGTCGGCGCGTGACATCCAGGCCTACGAGATGAACCCACTAGGTCCGTTCACAGGCAAGAACTTCGCCACCTCCCTCTCGCCATACCTCGTCGAACTTGCTGCCCTCGAGCCTTTCCGCACACCATCCCCCACCGCCGAGCATACGCCGTTTGCCTATCTCGACCACAAGGGTAACGGATCCACCTGGGACGTCAGACTTCAGGCATTCATCTCGCCTTCTCCTCCCGCCACCAGCACGGAGCAGGAGCGCGTATGGACGAAGATCACCGACACCTCTCTCAAGCACGTCTACTGGACCGCATCCCAAATGGTGGCTCATCACACCATCACTGGCTGCAATCTCAAGCCAGCTGACACTTTCGCCACGGGTACTTGCTCGGGCCCATTTGACGAGCCGCACAGCGAGGCTTCTCTGATCGAGGCATGCAAGGCAGGTCGCCAGCCTATTCCGCTCGACCCACCTAAAGGAAGCACTTCAACTGAAACGCGCTGCTTCCTCCTCGACGGCGACGCAGTCAAGATTCTCGGACACGCCTTTGACCCGGCATCCAAGCTGCACATCGGTCTCGGCGAGTGCACCGGCCAGATCCTCCCGGCTATCGAGCTCTAGCGCGGTCACACGACACCGGCCAACGACAAATACAAGATGCATTCCATGTTCGACCCGCGATCGAAGGTCCCAAGGGCGGTAGTGTGATAGTGTACAGTGTAAAGACGAAGGACTACGTGACCCTGGAGAAAGCCGCAAGAAGGCCAAGGTCGTAGCCTGCCTTGAGCGCGCCGGCGAGATGGAAGGCCCATCCCATGTGGCCTCTGTCCGCGAACCATCCGGTCAGCGTCGGACCTCCGGACTGTGCGAGCGTCTTGATCGTGTTGACGAGTCCAAGCACCCTAGTCCTTCTGTCAGCCGGAACGAATGCCGAGAGGAAGGCGGAGCGCGGAGCTTGGTCCATGGATGCCGTCGCAGCTCTGCCCACGACCAGCGCTGCTGTCCATGCGAGCGTACTAGGTACGGGCGTGAGCGTGAGTGCGATGCTCGAGGGCAGATGCGTGAGCACCATTGTGACCACCAGCCCGAGACGATTCGCCAGCCGCGCAGAAAAGAGGTTCGAGATGGAAGCAACCATCAGAGCAGCGGAAGTGATGGTACCAAGCGATGAAAGGTCGGCATGGAATTTGAGCGCAAGGAACCACGAAGTCAGCGTCTGCGACGCCATTCCGCTGCCTAAAGAGTCGATGGCGAACAGCAGGCAAAGACCACCTAGCCTACTCCATCCGAAGGCGTCTTCTTGCGAAGCGTCTATCGTGCTGGCCGCTTGACTTGTCTCGTCCGTACCGTTGGCCGGCTCATTCGACGCTGTTTCGAGAAGGGGTGCGCGCTCGGATTGGGTCGAAAACTGTGTGCGAGTTTGAGACACGTGCCCTCCAGACCGACTCTGCGTCGGAGCTTCACACTCGCTGCTTAGAAGCAGTGAAAGCAGCAGCTTGACCGATCCAAGCGCAGCATACACCACAAAGACACCTCGATAGTATGTCATCAGCTCTTGATGGTCTCTATCGGCACCCAAGCGATTGCTGATCCAGCCCGTGAGCCACGTTGCCAGACTCGCGGCTACCGAACCCGTCACCACGTACCAACCAAACAGCGTCGGTCTATGCTGCTTCGGCACCATCTGAGCCAGGATGCTCTCCTCCACCGCTCTGAACGGTCCGATCTCGCTTCCTGCCGGACTGATGACGCCAAAGACAGCTGCAATGAGCAGCAGGCGTGTGTCGGTCGTGGTCGCAAACACAATCCCCGCAAGAAGCATCGAGGCTGCGCCAAGACGCAGTGTGTTGCGTCTGCCTAGCACCGACTCGGCTACAAACGTGAGTACCAATGACAGGATAAAGTCTCCAAGTAGAGTGAGTGTGAGGAAGCGTCCGACCTCGACAGGCGAATGTGTGAGGCTGAAAAGGTACAGTGCAAGGATGAGCGACGAGGAGCCGAACGCTAGCATGCGGACGAACCTCGCTGCCAGCACCAGCCACACGTCGAGGCTCCAGCGACCGTCATCATCGCGATCGTGCGTCGCTACCTCGTCCATGTTCGAACGCTGATCGATCGTGTAGGTCGGTATAGAGCGATGTGGTGGTGTGTGTGGAGCTAGCGCTGGCATCTTGTGGCAGCTCGGACTTCTCAACCGCCGGAATTCGAGTCGCCTCCGAAATCCGAGCTCGCCACGTGCCGCCGGTGCTCGAACACTGTCTCTCAGTCATGCGAGTGCAGCAAAAGGTGGTGAAGGGCGCAACAACAAAGACGGTTTCACTATGAGATCGTACGGTGTACATCGATGGCACGATCGGCAAAGGCCGTCGCAAGACAGGAGTCCAACGCCAAGGAAGATGCAAGGTTTGCGGCTACTGCAAGCCCGTTGGGCCCGTCGAATCGATGGCGTCGCGGCACACCGCCACCTCGCGCTGGTATATGGCGCAGACAGGCCAGACTTGCGAGTACTGGGCCAGCGTCGACTCTGCGAATCCAATGTTGCTGATGGCCGCACGCAGCTTCCACACCATCGCGCTGCGCTGCCTTTCGCCGGCATTGCCGCTGCCAGTAGACAGGGTGCTGGCTTCTGGCGAGCCGTACTGCCACAAGGGGGCTGAGAGCGCAGAAGCATCGGCAGGAACGACAGAGCCATGACTGTGGCCTTCGGATCCTGTCACATCGTGCTCGCCGTACAGCCGGATCTCATCGCCATAGGTGGGCAAGTTGGACTCCTCGGGCCCGCTAGCTGCGACGGCAACCACATAGCCGAAAGCTGCGACCATATTGCAACAGCCCAGGAACGGCCAATGCGCAGGAAGCCCGCGAGGAACGTGTCCCTGGCTGTCAGAGGCGCCCCTTCCGGCGTCGCTCCACGGTACAGGCACTGCCATGCGCTGATCCAGACGCACAAGCCGCATGATGGCGTCTGCGGACGATACGATGCGCGTGACGCTCGTCGACAGCATCGATTGCCGCTGCTCTGCATTGGCCCGATCACCGATTCGAGGCCCGGCTCGTGAAAGCACACCATTGGCGCTGTCGTCGAATCTCTTGAAGGAACACGAGACAAAGTCCATCGTCAGGTCGGGGAACCAGGCCAGTCGATGCAGATGGATCCGGCTGGCGTGCAGCATCGTCATCGCAGTGAAAAGCAGCTCGATGCGCGTTTCCAGTGCCCAGCGTGTGCGGGGGACGTCCGCCTTAGGCGCACTTCCGGGCCCGTCGGAGCCTCCGTCGACGTGGTGGCTGCTTGGTTCGGTCTGGGTGCTTGCATCCGCCCAATGCCTCTGAGCAACGATCAGAATGTTGCTCAGCATCGTGTCGATGGCCCGGATGCGCTCGTAATCGAGCTCATCCGCATCCTTCGGCTGCCGAACACACTCGTGGATCAGCGCGCAGGTGCGGATCCTGATGTCGTAAGCTTGCGAAAGAGGCTGTCGGCTCTGACCTTGGCTGCCTGGCGGCAACTGACCAAGATCTGCAAAGCCAGGGTCGAATGGTGTGTGCACGGCGACCTCGAGATGATCATTGTCGAGACAACGCCGGATCGCTCCGCTTGTCGTCACGTTGAGCATCAAGTCGCAGAGGTAGAGTTCCCACCAGAGCCGTCGCAGTGACTCTGTATGGACTGCCGACAGTGGTGCTGTGCGAGTGTTGAAAGTTGCTTGTCCATGCGGCTCTTCAGACACGCCAGTAGAGCCTGGAGCGTCCACTTGATTTAGACGCATCCTGCGAGCGAGATGCACAGCAGCAAGCATATCCGATTCGGCTTGAGACAGTCGGTTGTTACCATAGCTATCGTATGCCAGAAGGAGCAGTGCCTGAAGCGTCGCTAGAGCTTCGACGCTGTCGAGAGGGAGTACTGTCTTCAAGCTCATGCCCTCGAGGCATGTTGCCAGCAGCATTCGAGCTTGACTCCGAAGGTCGTCGAGTACGGCGCTGGATTCAGACTGTGCTGTAAGACGATCGATTGACGAGACGCTCAAGCCGAGTACGGCTATGATGCGGCTGAGCATTCGTCTTGCACCGCTCTGAGGTGGAAGAGCACCGAGGACGCAGGTGCCGAACTCGGAGGCTTCTCCAAGCACGGGGACCGTCTTTGCAAAGCCGGCAAAATAGAGGTGTGCGCCTATTTCGAGGACGGCAGTGGTATCGGCGTCATCGGACAGAGCGCTGCGGTCGTGACGTGCGAGGTAGCGTTGAAGAGCAGCTCTGATGTGGTCGGCTTGCAACAAGCTGGACGGGGCCACACTCTTGGTCTCGGTGGTCGAGGGTGAAGTGGCTCGTGGCAGAGCATTCAGGCGAGCCCGCAGAGCCGAGAACTGCGAGCGTGCTTGTTGAGCACCGCTCGGAGAGGCATGACAATTGGCTGTAGAAAGGGATGCATCGCGATCGTTGGCGGCCGAAGGGCTGAACGAGGTCTGGCGGCATGTTGGAGCGTGGATCTGATCGAGGCTGGTGATGACAAGAGGCGAGACCGGGTTGTACGGCGACCTTTCAACGGGAGCGGGTGTGATGTGGTCATGCAGAGCGATCTGTGAGCCCAGCTGGTCAAGACCAAGGTCAAGGTCGAGGTCGAGGTCGAGGTCAAGGTCATGGTCGAGGTCGAGCTGGATGGCGGCCCGGCTGGAGTCGTGTTGAGAGTGGTTGAGCAGAGCGATGAGATCCATTCCCGTATATCCGAGCAAGGAGCTGGACGGCGCCGTGGCCAGTGCGAAAGGATTCGCCGAGTCGGCAGTGTCGGCTAGGGAAAGCCGAGCAGCAGGACCGTGATCGATCCGGCTGAACTGCGGGAGCTGGCCGTCAGATGTAGTCGAGTCAGGAGCTGTGACCACAGCCGCAGCGAGCCCAGAAGAAGACGGAGAGGCAGCGGCAGCATCCGCAAGTCTAGCGCGCTTGCGAGGTCGTCCCGTGCGATGGGAAGGCTGCCAGAGGCACTCGAGGCGAAGTCGAGCGCAACGCGTGCAAGCGTGTTCGGACACGAGCTGGACATCGGCGCCCGCTGGAGGAGGCATCTTGGTCTCGAGATGAGCCGACAGCTCGGCAATGATGGGTGGCGGCGCCCCGTCGCACTTGTTCTTGGCCGTGCGGCAAGGCAGGCAAGCCAGCGCCGAGCGTTTCTGCAAAGGCTGCGAGCCGCCCGAGGCGGATGGGTCGAGCTTCAGGGACATGGCGATCGGAAGAAAAGTGGCGATGCCGAGCCAAGCGTCGGGTCAAGCGTCGGATCGAGGGCTGTGCGTGCGGTGCTATGTGCGTCGGCTGTACGGCTGCGACATCATGGACGAAGTGCAGTCAAGTCCAGTCGAGTCCATCCAGAGCGAGCATCCAGGCTGCGGCGGCGATGGCAGTGATGATGGTGGTTCACGAGAAGCAGCACCGTCCAGAACCAGAGCTCAGGTGCCCGCCCATCCGCATCCCGTGGTCCGAGCTCAGAGTCCGCTCGCCCACTATCCCAAAACCGCGACGCAACTCACACACAAATTGTTGGTCGCAAAATGCAGCGAAAATCGGATCGGAATTAGAACCTTGAAAGATGGAACTTCAGACTTGGATCATTAGTCTGTTAGAGTAGACCTAGGTTAGGGTTAGGGTTACAATGTGATCTGCTAGATATCAAAAGTAATCGTCAAATCGGTCATAATGGGAGTGATAGAATGGCCCAAGAGCTGCCCAGAACTGTTGAGTTTTTGTTAAAATGTAATGGCGTCACCGAGCTATGAGCCGTCAAAGTTGGGACCATGATTCTCTCGGGGAGTGTTTTGAAACTTTTTTATCGCCAATATTGGGTGCCTGGGGGCCGTGAACATGAAGTACAAGAAGGGTAGAGATGGTAGCCACCGTCTGGATGTCAACTCATATGGCCGTTACGGAGCTATGTCTGGTCAAAGGTGGCAGCAGGGGTACTTGAAGGTACTACAGAGGTACCCTCAAGTACCTTTAGCTGTGAGGGGCCAAGTACCTTTGTTCAAGTTGACTGAAGTTAAAGTACGGCTGGGACTGGTAAAAGTTAGGGTTAGGTTACAATGTGGGTTAGGGTTAGGGTTAGGGTTAGGGTTAGGGTTAGGGTTAGGGTTAGGGTTAGGGTTAGG